GAGTGACACTGAGGATTGAGTGACAAGTTCCATTTCATTTTGGTACTAGTGAACGTAAATTGGGCATAGGTGTAGGCTTACTGGTATTGTTCAGTATAAGCAAATAAGCCCCAAAAGAATCCTACCACTCCTGTTCCCCAAATAAGTGTCGCTAACTACAATTGATGTTGTTCAATGAGAAAACTGAAATTTTGCCAAGGCAGAGATGAATGGCTGAGATGTGCACGGACAGCAGTGGATGCATAAACTCTGACCTAATGACAATTTCCAAATGTCATTAACTAGAAATGTCTCAAGTAAAAGTGAAAGTCACCCAGTAAAATACTACTTGAGTAAAAGTCTAAAAGTATTTGTTTTTAAATATACTTAAGTATCAAAAGTAAATGTAATTGCTAAAATATACTTAAGTATCAAAAGTATAAATCATTTAAAATTCCCTATATTAAGCAAACCAGACAGCACGATTTTCATTTTTATTTTATATACGGATAGCCAGGGGCACACTCCAACACTAAGACATAATTTACAAATTATCTTTGTGAAAAAGAACACTTACCCTTTTGTGCATAAATCCAGCAACTGCAGTTAGATGAAAAATGTCACTGAAGTTGAAACCTAGGACAGTTGTTTCTCCTCAGAGTGCATAGCAGTGAGTCTCAGAAGTGCTGTCTGGTCCACAACCCCACCACATGGTCCAGTGCTTTCCTTATCATTACAAATGACAGCCCAACACTCCAAAGCCCATTCACCTGGCAGGTGCTCTCTCTCTCTCTCTCTGTATATTATGCACACCTGATGTCTCTGGCCACCTCCTCCTCTACTTTGAACTCTCAAAGTGATCAGGCTCCGTGTCAGGGGACTTGCTCTTGTCAGTGTGTGAAAGAGAGAGAGGCACAGAGAGAGAGAAAGAGAGAGGGAGAGGGGGAGTATGGGGAGGGCATGGGCTCTTTTCTGTCTTTATACAGAAGGCTATTGAGAGCAGACACTTGACTCAAGTCTGAGATGCAAGCTGATAGGAGGGCTAGCAAATAATGTAAACATAACAAATGCAGAGAGCCAAAGCACAAAGCTCTCGATTGTGCCAATTTATCAAGTCTGCTCTGTCTCACGACCGTATTGTTTTGTGGCGAACCCAGTTATATTACAGAACAATAGCCACAATTCATTTTTCAACCAAACAGCTGAACCTGAGGGATGGGCTTGAAAAACTTTATACTGTTCTCAAATTAAGGACTGACAGTTTATGTATATTTTGAAACTATACAGTCGTGGTCAAACGTTGAGAATGACACAAGTATTGGTCTTCACAAAGTTCGCTGCTTCAGTGTTATGAGATATTTTTGTCAGATGTTACTATGGTATACTGAAGTATAATTACAAGCATTCCATACGTGTCAAAGGCTTTTATTGACAATTACATTAAGTTTATGCAAAGAGTCAATATTTGCAGTGTTGACCTTTCTTTTTCAAGACCTCTGCAATCCGCCCTGGCACGCTGTCAATTAACTTCTGGGCCACATCCTGACTGATGGCAGCCCATTCTTGCATAATCAATGCTTGGAGTTTGTCAGAATTTGTGCGTTTTTGTTTGTCCACCCCGCCTCTTGAGGATCGACCACAAGTTCTCAATGGGATTAAGGTCTGGGGAGTTTCCTGGCCATGGACCCAAAATGTCGATGTTTTGTTCCCCGAGCCACTTAGTTATCACTTTTGCCTTATGGCAAGGTGCTCCATCATGCTGGAAAAGACATTGGTCGTCACCAAACTGTTCTTGGATGGTTGGGAGAAGTTGCTCTCTGAGGATGTGTTGGTACCATTCTTTATTCATGGCTGTGTTCTTAGGCAAAATTGTGAGTGAGCCCACTCCCTTGGCTGAGAAGCAACCCCACACATGAATGGTCTCAGGATGCTTTACTGTTGGCATGACACAGGACTGATGGTAGCGCTCACCTTGTCTTCTCCGGACAAGGTGTTTTCTGGATGGCCCAAACAATCGGAAAGGGGATTCATCAGAGAAAATGACTTTACCCCAGTCCTCACCAGTCCAATCCCTGTACCTTTTGCAGAATATCAGTCTGTCCCTGATGTTTTTCCTGGAGAGAAGTGGCTTCTTTGCTGCCCTTCTTGACACCAGGCCATCTTCCAAAAGTCTTCGCCTCACTGTGCGTGCAGATGCACTCACACCTGCCTGCTGTCATTCCTGAGCAAGCTCTGCACTGGTGGTGCCCCGATCCCGCAGCTGAATCAACTTTAGGAGACGGTCCTGGCGCTTGCTGGACTTTCTTGGGCGCCCTGACGCCTTCTTCACAACAATTGAACCTCTCTCCTTGAAGTTCTTGATGATATGATAAATGGTTGATTTAGGTGCAATCTTACTAGCAGCAATATCCTTGCCTGTGAAGCCCTTTTTGTGCAAAGCAATGACGGCACGTGTTTCCTTGCATGTAACCATGGTTAACAGAGGAAGAACAATGATTTCAAGCACCACCCTCCTTTTAAAGCTTCCAGTCTGTTATTCTAACTCAATCAGCATGACAGAGTGATCTCCAGCCTTGTCCTCGTCAACACTCTCACCTGTGTTAACGAGAGAATCACTGACATGATGGCAGCTGGTCCTTTTGTGGCAGGGCTGAAATGCAGTGGAAAGGTTTTTTTGGGGATTAAGTTCATTTTCATGCAAAGAGGGACTTTGCAATTAATCTGATCATTCTTCATGACATTCTGGAGTATATGCAAATTGCCATCATCAAAACTAAGGCAGCAGACTTTGTGAAAAACTTTTGACCACAACTGTACATTGTTTGGGTTATGATATGGATGCTGTACTAAACCTGTAAGTTATATTACTTAAGAATCAAAGGGTATATATAATAAATTAATAAGAAAGACCTAGTTAAGCTGCAGCTGGCCCAGAACAGAGGCACGTCTTGCTCTTCATCGTAATCAGAGGGCTAATATTAATACTATGCATGCCAGTCTCTCTTGGCTAAGAGTTGAGGAAAGACTTGTTTGCGTAGTCAATTTACACACAGCACTGACACAAGCACTTACCCCACCAGACATGCCAAAAGGGGTCTTTTCACAGTCCCCAGGTCCAGAACAAATTCAAGGAAACGTACAGCATTATACAGAGCCATGGGTGCATGGAACTCCCTTCCACCTCATATAGCGCAAGTGAACAGCAAACCTGGTTTCAGAAAACAAATAAAGCAACACCTCACGGCACAACGCCTCTCCCCCATGTGACCTACAGTACTTGTGTGTATGTACTGACATGTATGTGTGTAACTGATAGATGCACACACACTACATGTTAATGTTTTAAAATGTATGTAAATTGTAAAGTATTTTGTCTGTAATGTATTTTTCGTTATGTGTCGGACCCCAGTAAGACTAGCTGTCGCCCATTGGCGTCGGCTAATGGGGATCCTAATAAATCAAATCGGGATGACCATTGAACAGCAGGAAATCTTATGTATTGTGCTTCTAAAAGCTGTTTTTATTCATTCTGCATTTTCAGTTTCAGATTAAGCCTACTCCTGGACCAAAATGCACTTTCAATGGAGATTTGCCTACTCCTTTGGACTTGTGAGAATATGGACAACTGTATTTGGTACCACTACCGTCCATTCAACGGCAGTAACTTGGTGTCAATAGAGAATGATCCAGACATACGAGCCAAAGATTGATGAGTCCATTTTGCTCTGGGAGGCGGGATGTGACAAAATGTTGTCATACAGCACCGACTATTACAGTAAGGGGAGGTGGCCACTGTTCCTCACGCTCCACACACTATAGCATTTCAATCCGGAAGGAGAAGCATAGGGATCATGCTGATCGCCCACCCTGCCTGTATCCCTCCCCCCTCACCATTCAGCCTTTTGTTGAGCGGGGTGCGTCCTGGCAGGTACACGCCCCGAGAGCCAGGCTGAGACTCAGACTAGGCGTGCATGTGTGGAATGCAGATATGGCATGGGGTTCTGTGCGTTCACATCACAGTTTCAGCAGCAAAGGTGGATGGGTAATCAGGCCAGACAAGCCCAGTTCAAAAAGCTAACAGTGAAACCATGGCAACCTCCACCTCTGTCCACGCCACGATCCTCATGTGGCGGCATCAGATTCCTCTTCTCTGGTATTAGAGTTTGCCCAACTGCCACTACCAGCACGTATGAAACCAAGAAGGCTGCCATCTGTCATTTACAGACAGAGCCTGTGTTATGGGCTCCCGAGTGGCGCAGCGGTCTAAGGCACTGCATCTCAGTGCTTGAGGCGTCATTACAGACCCCCTGGTTCGATTCCAGGCTGTATCACAACCGGCCGTGATTGGGAGTCCCATAGGGCGGCGCACAATTGGCCCAGCGTCGTCCGTCATTGTAAATAAGAATTTGTTCTTAACTGACTTGCCTAGTTAAATAAAAGGTAAAAAATAAAATTATGCTACTGATGGTTTGTCGAGATCAGGGGAGAACGACTGCCCGCTCTCATTTAAGTCACCCAGTTCAAGGCCTCAAGTTTCCATCCACCTAACCTGCTACGTAGTCACTTCTGTCCGTAGCTGGCTTAGCTAACATGCTACAGTTTTCAACAAACCATCAGTATCACAACGGCACCAAACAATAATTCAAGCCCCACCAAACCCAGGAGAATTTGACTCCCAGTGAGTGGTACAGTGAATAGAAGTAACAGTAAGTAATTAATTACATTTGACACTGACGCAGGAATCTTAATCCAAAGGATCCGCACCACTTAAACTTTTATAAAGTAAAGTCTGGAGAACAGGTCCTAATGCCTAAAAAATGGATAGACATAAGTGACAGGTAGTGCTAAGTTCACAGGGGTAACTAAGCACTACCGTGTACATCGCTGCCGCACCTTACCCCACTCCCTGAAGTACAAAGTGGGCCAATTTACACCCAAAAAGTCCAAACAATTTTAATTTTAATTACATATCAAGCAAAAACTGACACTTTGATTAAGTATAGAAATTTTTATTTTTTTCCATTAGGGGAAGCTTCAAAGTACATTTGTCTGTGATGACACCAACAAGTTCTTGAAACCAACAAGGTCTTCTACTGAAGTATACAGAACCCCATTTAATTACACATACAATAGCAGGGTGGATAATATTTCGCAACAATGTGACTCCTCCAGCTTTTCCACCTGCCAACATGCGTGACCACATGATATTAACACTCCTATCAAATTCAATGGGACCAACTCATTCCTTTTTCATAATAAACCTATGAGTTTGAGACTTCAACCTTGTATGATTGACGACCATACAAATCAAAACGAGTCCTTGATGAATATCCACAGTTAGGTGGCTACTGTTTCTTGGCTTTTTTCTGCTTCTTCTGAGCCTTGCTGGCGTCTTCGTGGGCCTTTCTCTTGGCCGTCAGTTTGTTTGCCTGCGAGGGGAAAGTAGATTGAGTTAATGAACAGTGGAGTAAATCGAGAATTCATTGGTATGCAACCAAGGTCACATTCCCTTTAAAAGGGCTATTGTTTTAGCATGCAAGGTTTCCAGGGCCCGGCTATTCAAACCCTGTTAATCATTATCCCTACAGCTCAATAGGGAGGTACTAGGTACAGAGATAGCAGCATAGAGGAAAGTACACTGCCAGTTATCCCAAAATGCCGGGCCTGATCCTCTACCTCAATGTATATTAATACGGCTGTGAGACTGACTGTTCCTGAGGCAACCGTACTGATGGGTCTGACACGGTAATGTGCTGCGTTTATCTCTCCATCTATCTATTGTGTTGTGAAAAGTATTCGCCCCCTTTCTGATTTTCTCTATTTTTCTCCAACTAAAACCTAATATTAGATCAAATAAACCTGAGTGAACAAATAACACAAATGTGATACTTATTTGATTGATTTAATAAACAAATTTAAGCAACAGCCAATGCCCGTGTGAAAAAGTAATTGCCCCCTTCAATCGTGTTGTTCCGGAGTTAATACATTTTTTGGGTATAAACTACTAGTTTCAGGTCCCGCCACAACATCTCAATCAGGTTTAGATATGGACTTTGACTAGGCCATTCCAAAACTTGAAATGTGTTGCTTTTCAGCCATTCTGATGTAGACCTTGTGTGTTTTGGATCATTGTCTTGATTGAGATGTTGTGGCAAGACCTGAAACGTGCAGTTTATGCTCGAAAACCCACAAATGTCGCTGAGTTAAAGAAGTTCTGCATGGAAAAGTGGGCCAAAATTCCTCCATAGCGATGTGAGAGACTGATCAACAACTACAGGAAGCATTTGGTTGCAGTCATTGCAGCTAAAGGTGGCACAACCAGTTATTGAGTGTAAGGGGGCAATTACTTTTTCACACAGGGGCATTGTGTATTGCATAATTTTTTAAATTTTGATAAATGAAATAATTATCAAATTTTTGTGTTGTTTATTCACTCAGGTTTATCTAATACTAGGTTTTTGGTTGAAGATCTGATAACATTCAATGTAAAAAATATGCAAAAATAGAGAAAATCAGAAAGGGGGCAAATACTTTTTCACAGTGCATTCGGAAAAGTATTCAGACCCCTTGACCTTTTCCACATTACGTTACAGCCTTATTCTAAAATTGATTAAACATTTCCCCCCCCCTCATCAATCTACACACAATACCCCATAATGACAAAGCAAAAACAGGTTTAGACATTTTTGCAAATGTATAAAATAAAAAATGGAAATGAAATTTACATAAGTATTCAGACTCTTTACTCAGTAACTTGTTTAAGCACTTTTGGCAGCGATTACAGCCTCGAGTCTTCTTGGGTATGACGCTACAAGCTTGGCACACCTGTATTTGGGGAGTTTCTCCCATTCCTCTCTGGAGATCCTCTCAAGCTCTGTCAGGTTGGATGGGCAGCGTCGCTGCACAGCTATTTTCAGGTCTCTCCAGAGATGTTAGATCGGGTTCAAGTCCGGGCTCTGGCTGGGCCACTCAAGGACATTCAGAGACTTGTCCCGAAGCCACTCCTGCGTTGTCTTGGCTGTGTGCTTAGGGTCGTTGTCCTGTTGGAAGGTGAACCTTCGCCCCAGTCTGAGGTCCTGAGTACTCTGGAGCAGGTTTTCATCAAGGATCTCTCTGTGCTCTGTTCACCTTTCCCTCAATCCTGACTAGTCTCCCAGTCCCTGCCACTGAAAAACATCCCCACAGCATGCTGCCACCACCATGCTTCACCGTAGGGATGCTGCCAAGTTTCCTCCAGACGTTACACTTGGCATTCAGGCCAAAGAGTTCAATCTTGGTTTCATCAGACCAGAGAATCTTGTTTCTCATGGTCAGAGTCCTTTAGGAACCCCATTTAATTACACATACAATAGATTAAAATAGGGTGAATCATAGAAAAAAATGTATGGTACAGAGTACTGACCAGAATATCTGAGTTCACACAAATAAGAACAAAGCAAACATTCACCTCGCGATGGTTGAGGTGGCAGGGTGGAATATATTTCGCAACAATGTGACTCCTCCAGCTTTTCCACCTGCCAACATGCGTGACCACATGATATTAACACTCCTATCAAATTCAATGGGACCAACTCATTCCTTTTTCATAATAAACCTATGAGTTTCATGAGACTTCAACCTTGTATGATTGACGACCATACAAATCAAAACGAGTCCTTGATGAATATCCACAGTTAGGTGGCTACTGTTTCTTGGCTTTTTTCTGCTTCTTCTGAGCCTTGCTGGCGTCTTCGTGGGCCTTTCTCTTGGCCGTCAGTTTGTTTGCCTGCGAGGGGACACCTCCATGACCAAGGCCCTTCTCCCCCGATTGCTCAGTTTGGCCAGGGGCCAGCTCTAGGAAAAGTCTTGGTGGTTCCAAACTTCTTCCATAGAAGAATGATGGAGGCCACTGTGTTCTTGGGGACCTTCAATGCTGCAGAAATGTTTTGGTACCCTTCCCCAGATCTGTGCCTCTACACAATCTTGTCTTGGAGCTCTACGGACAATTCCTTCGACCTCACGGCTTGGTTTTTGCTCTGACATGCACGGTCAACTGTGGGACCTTATATAGACAGGTGTGCCTTTTCAAATCATGTCCAATCAATTGAATTTACCACAAGTGGATTCCATTCAAGTTGTAGAAACATCTCAAGGATGATCAATGGAAACAGGATGCACCAGAGCTCAATTTGGAGTCTCATAGCAAAGGGTCTGAATACTTCTGTAAGTAAGGTATTTCGGTTTCGTATTTTTTATAAATTTGCAAACAATTCTACAAACCTGTTTTCGCTTTGTCATTATGGGGTATTGTGTGTAGATTGATGATAATTTACTGTTACTTAATCAATTTTAGAATAAGGCTGTAACGTAACAAAATGTGGAAAAAGGGAAGGGATCTGAATACTTTCCGAATGCACTGTATCTATTTAACTATCTCCATCGACAGGCAATGGGACGCAGTGATGGCATGTGAGGTGCCATGTCAGTTTGGCCGGTGCAGAGTGTAGGGGACTCACCTCTCGGGTCGTCCTCTTCTTGCCAAACATGATCTTGTCGTACAGGTACTTCTCCTTCTTCTTCATCATCATGATGGCCAGACGCTTCTCCTCCGCCTTCTCCTCCTGCTCAAGGCGCACCTTGTTCCCCACGGAACCAGTCTCCCAGGGTTTCACTTTGCCGGGGGTCACCTTCACCCCCAAAGTCTGCAGGGACAGGAGAGAAAAGATACTTCTAAGGGTGTGTCCAAAATGTCAATGCGCCTTACGATAACGTTTTATGTTGGATGAAACAGGCCATTCAGATGTTCAAACGTGTAGAGCAGGGATCATCAACTACATTCAGCAACGGGATGATTCTTGAGCGGAAGGTCAGGAACATCATTCATAATAATTTGTAGACTGCAAATTGACCGCAAGAAATCCAAACAGATATAGTATTTGACTAAAACATAACAATTTCAAAACCTTGCTTACATTTGTATACGATCACGTCTCTCTTATGCGTGGGAATACTTGGAACAACATTTCCAAAATTAAAAAATCACGTGGAGCTGATGTATTTATTTTTTGCAAAGAAAACTTTAGGGAGGGGGGGGAATACAATCACCCAAGGGTCAAATTCAGCCAGTTGGGGAACCCTGGTGTAGACCGCTAGGATTATCTCACCTTGCCCTCGGCTCGCTTATTCTCCATCTTCTTCAGATTCTTCTCCTCGGTCAACTCTTCTTCGTCCACATCGTCATCAGCCTCTTCTTCTTCCTCATCATCATCATCCTCTTCTTCTTCCTCCTCCTCCTCATCTTGTACTGAAAAAAATATATATATATGGTTGAACATTTTAGTTAAACGCAACATACATCATGCAGACGCAGAAACATGTGAAGCAGAGATACAGGTAAGTGCAAAAATAATGGAATCACTTCAGTAAATGAGGGACACAAAGTATATTGAAAGCAGGTGCTTCCACTCAGGTGTGGTTCCTGAGTTAACTAAACAATTAACATCCCATCATGCTAAGGGTCATGTATAAAATGCTGGGCAGGCAATTATTTTGGCCACCATGGCTATGCCCTGATACGATGACAATGTCCCTATCCACAGTGCACGGTTGTAGGGCCCTATAACATCTGTACTCCTTCTAGTTTTTCCCAAATTCCGTTGTTTTTACAGGTTTCCGTTAAAAAAAAAAAAATAAAAAAAGGCCACAACAATGCTTGAACCACATCAAGAGACCTCGAGGGTAAAATCTAAGAATTGTGGATTCAACTGCGCACCAGCCAGAGACCGTTGTTCGGTTAGTGATGTTTCTGTAGCGCTCATGTGATTGCAGTTTGCAAAACAACTGGCCACCGGATTGATACAAATAATCATGATATCATTCTGCCAGGTAGGCATAGGCTACTTTGTATTAAACATTTAATTGAGAACCTTTCCATCTACCAGAAGACGGTTGTCATTACATTAGATTCACCGCTAAAGGCTACAAAAAGTGGTAGACAAAGGCACACAGACGGGCATTCCTGTGCCGTTGCCTCTTCAGAAAGTTGAAGGAAAATATGAATCACTGATGCATTTTGTTAATGTCTAATAATATTGAGCAAATTAATGAATTTTCTAATAAGTTCAATACATTTAGTTTTTTCTTCCATTTTAATGTCTGGATTCCGTGACTCCGTCCGCAACGCATATTTTATAGGGCCCTACGAGTGGTCACTGAATGGTTTGATGAGCATGAAAATGATATGCCATTGCCGTCTTAGTCTCCAGATCTCAAACCCAATTGAACACTTATGGGAGATTCTAGAGCGGCGCCTGAGACAGCGTTTTCCACCACCATCTACAAAACACCAAGTCATGGAATTTATTGTGGAAGAACAGGGTCGCATCCCTCCCATAGAGTTCCAGATACTTGTAGAATCTATGCCAAGGTGCATTGAAGCAATGAGCCCAACGCCCTATTAACACAATTTATGTTGGCATTTCCTTTATTTTGGCAGTTAACTGTAGGTTGCATAGGAAAGGGCACCCCATTACCCCCACAGTGCACTACTTTTGAGTCTGGCTCTGCTCAGCTCTTACCGGGCTTCTCGCCGCGCTGCAGGGCCATGAGCTTTAACTTCTCCGGGGGCACGTAGTCGCCGTCCTTCTCCTCCACGAAGGGCGAGAGGTGGGGCGGCAGCGTCGTCCCCAGGAAGTAGTCCTCAACGGGCAGGCGCATCTTGGCGTTGACTGAGTCAAACACCCACTGGGGCTGGATGTAGTACCTGGAGCAGGACACGACCACCAGACACACGGTTACAGTTACACACCTGCCTGCCTCCTTTACGACCAAGGTTTCTACACAGATATGGATCAAACTGGGTTCAAATAATAGCTGTCTTCTTTCAAATACTTTAAGCGTTTGATCCAGACTGTCTGAAGTGCCAGATGGGCGGAGTTCGCACCTTTGGGACAATTCCATTGTGCCAGGTTGGCTCCATTGGGATATTTATACAGTCAGTCAACCCAACCAACCTTTGAATGTAACATTTAAACATTCCAAAAAGATTTGAGACCATTCACACATTGGCAAGTTGAGGATGTGTTGTATGTATTGATCACAACAGCTAAAGACATGAAGGTTTGGACAGGGTTAGCAGGCCCATTATGTACCCTGTTTAAAGCTAAGCTCTATGAAAAGGGATAAAGGGGACAAGGTCTGAAAAGGGGGGGGGGGGGGGGGGGGGTTGTATTTAGTTTTTTCCCCAAAGATCATTCATGCAAACATTTTGAATGAATGGCAAGACATTGGCAACAGCTGTAATGACTACAGATAAAGTTGTATGATCCGTTGGGTTCCCTTCACCTGTTGATGTACTGCTTGTCCAGGTCAGGCCTGTCCACAATCTGATGGGTGATTGTCTCGTCGGTCACTTCGTAGGTGCCACCAATGCAGAGGGACTTGTCCCAGGACACCTCAGCACCAAAACACCTGACAGACAGAGAGGGATGGAGATCAATAAAAAAAAAAACACTTCCCAGGGTGCCATAATGGTTGTGACGTTGGGCTGGTTCTCACCTCAGGATAAAAGCCAGTGACTCTCTTGGAACTTCCCTGTTCAGGAAGAACTTGAGCCCCTCAAAAAGCCTTTTCTGGGCCTCCTGCTCTTTCTGCACCTTCTCTCTGGCCTCCATATTCTCCAGGTCCTCCTGAAGAAAGAGAAAGAGAAGGGGGGGGGGGGGGGGGGGGGGGGGGGGTGAAAGGAGTTTTTAGAAGGGTACACAGGCAGTTAGTGGGATGGGATTGGTTTCATCATGTTGTTTATAAACACCTCCCTTGTAGCCATAGAGGAGTGCTAGCCAGTCTAACACCTCTAATGAGGTGAATCCATTGGGGGAAAATGTAGCTCTCTGTAGACCCACTGATTTGCAGTGTTTCCTTTATTCCCTGTTTGTTTGGCCTCTCAATCCATCCTTCTGTGAGCAATTAGTTAATCAGCTATTTTTATCCCAACTTCAAACTGCCTAACAATGATTTATAAGAACATCAACATCCTTCAAATATCGAGGATGACTTTTGTATCAGAACTATCAATTTACATTGAGTGGGCGCTACAAATAGTTCCTCCACCCACGTCCTGAAGATTTGGGAAAGAAAGTGCTTTCTAAATGGAAGGAATGAAAGGTGAACGTGGCAGGCATTGGTTATAACACACTCCTGACCACCAGGTAGCTAGTTTATTCAGTGTGTCTCCTTACCCCCTCGGTAGGGAACTGGTCCAGCTGGTTCTCCTCCTCCTCTGCGGTGGCGACCACCCGTGCCAGGCTGGCACTCAGGGCTGACAGTTTCTGTTTAGCGCATGAAACACACAGGTTCAGTTTACACACAGCTTAAAAACAAACACATTTCTACTGATAGAGTACCATCAAGGTAGGGCAGGTAGCCCAGATCAATAGAGAGAGGGCTGGCTGTCCTGTCTGACATATACAGGAATCCTCAAGTTAATATAAATCGATGAGTAGACCTTATATCAATCCATAACAGTGATGAAAGGCCCACCTCCAAGTAGCTCTCTGAGTCCATAGCGTAGTCCTCCTCGTGCTCTGCCTTCAGCTCCGACTCAGCTTTGCTGTCCAGCTGGAGAGAGGGGTGGAGTTAGCAACAGCTCAGACACACAACTAGCTGGCCAATAATCTCTTTATACTACAAGACAATATATGTTCATCGACAAAAATAACATGGCTACAAAAAAGGCACCACTTGTGACGTGAGATAGTTGAAATGGTTCTCCGGGATTGTATTCATTAGGGCACACTGTAGCAAAATGTTTTGCAACGGAAAACAAAAACGAGCATTTCTTATTTGATTTCTGGTAGCCACTCCCTGTTTCAGTCAGTTTTCTTCCGCTTGGTGCGTAATGAACACGATGCAAGTTTAGGCCAGGTACTGGGTTACCTTGGGCGGGTAGACCAGGTTGAGGGTCTGGTAGAGGCGGAAGTTAATGAAGCCAAAGAGGGTAGTGTACATCTCTGTGAAGGTGGCCATTACTCTGTAGTCCACATCTGTCGGGTGCTGGGGGAGAAAGGACAGGTAATTATTGTCTGAAAGCTTGTATTGTAGAGTCAATGTTAAGGAGAGCCATTGCCACATACACTTATCAAGCTCATCTAATTTACCCACATTTAACAGCATCAACTTAAATTGAATTTGCCTTGAAACAATAAAGAGCAAGTGGCCGTATTAGTTCTAAAAGCACTCTTGATCATTTCACCACAAAACGACTAACAATGTCCTATAAACAATTTACAAAGTGGAGTCACAAACCTGACTGTTCCCTGAAATGTGAGCGTCTTTCAAACAAACTTGTCACTATCTTCGCAAACAGCCTATAATTTACCTCTTTAAAGTCAAGCTCTCAAAATCAACTGAAATCACCAGGCCCCATGAAAGAGATGGGAAGTCAATGCTAAGTCAACAAGCGGAATTAGGGAGCTACAGAGATAGTGAGGAGAGAGTATAGAAACTTTCAGTGAATAGTAGTAAATTCATAACACTGTTTAGTTACCAAAATGAAAATTTTCTTCTGCCCCATTTTTCTTAAATAACCTATTACAACACTTGAGATTTGAGAACTTGTGGGTCTGTAGCCTGCCTGAATAACTAAGAAGTCTTAATTGATTAAACAAATACATTAACTTGTGCCCTAATTAGACAAAACTCAGTGACTGAATACATTTGAAAATGGCTCTTTGGGACTTCCTGGTTGGTGAGCGACAGAATGGCCATGTAGAAAACAAGCTCCCTGTCGGTTGTAAATAATTCACCCCCAAATTCATATTTTCAAAACTCTAATATATAAAGCTTCAGTATAAATGAGTGGTGGAGATAGAACAAGAAGTCAGTATAAGTTTAAAAAACAAGTTAAAAACTTGAATAAAGCTGAAATGGATGAAGACACACACAGCCCTCAACAAGCAAGGCAAGATGGCGACGACGACTGAGATGGAGGAACCCGGCGAAGGAAATGCTGATAAGTATTAGCAGGAAAATCTGCAAACTTAAAACTGAAATGAGAGGGAACCTTACTACATTCAAGGACGACATTAAGAAGGAAATAAAGGAGTTAGAGGAATTAAAACACGAAGTTACAACGAGGCTCCAGGAAACTAAAGGGGAACTTCACGCCCAAAGTACAGCTTTGAAAGGGGCAGACACACGGATCGGGCAGCTGGAAGAACAAACATGGAAATTGGTGAAGCTCTACTCCAGTCACTGAAACAACAACGAATAATACAGGAGAAGCTGACGGACCTTGAGGAAAGGTCCAGGCACAACAATATCCATATTTGCAGCATTGCTGAGGAGGCAGAGGGAAGAGATATGCCCCAATTCAAAGAAGGTTTATGCAAAAATGACAGATACAGATCTTCAGATCCAGAGAGCACACAGAGCACTTGCTCAAAAACCAAGTGCCGATCTACCCCCTAGATACATTGTTGTCAACTTCCTTCAATACAATACGAAGGAAATTATTTTTGAGGAAAGCCTGGCAGAAGATTAAACATGGAACACACATACTGTCATTCGACCACAATTACGCTCACAAGGTTATTCAGAGACGCAAATCCTATGCTGGACTGAAGAGAGCTCTTAAAGAAAAAGGAATCCGCTTTCAATCCCACATGGACAAGATGAGAATCCACTGGGAGTCCGAGGGTCAACAGCAGTGTGGCCAAGGCAGCGCAGGACATGAGAAAGAGGGGATTCAGTATCGAGGAACCGGCCGGAGGAGATGACGGGCACAACAGCATCACCAGTGAGGGACAACTACAACGAGGGTCGACGTGGAGGCGTGTGGGAGGGGAGCGCAATAGCCCATCAGGATTAAGGCCAATCGTTAACATACTGACGTATCATTATATCCAGAAAATTATCGCTCAAAACGCTGTCCGTAAGGCCGACTATTTACTTTAACAACGTTTTATTTGGAAACTCACAAACGAATTGAATCTTTCAAACGGAACACTGATTCATTTTGAACAGTAACCAAGACTGTGGGGTGAGAGTCGGAAACTGGTCCTAGCTAGTCTGTGGAGGGAGAATTCGACCATCTCCACACTGCTAGAGAGGGGCCGAAAACATTGAGTGGATTTTTCTCCTCGAACCACACAGGGGGTGTGTGGAGAGGGCTTCATTGGGAAACCCATTTTTGGAGGTCTACTTTTTATTGAGATTTTGTACCCAGATGTTCAGGGTTTGAATGTTTTTTTGTTACCTGGTTTGAATACCATCTTGATGTACAAAAACAATGCAACATATGACTAATGACATTAAGTTGGTGTCCCTAAATGAGAATGTTTGAACAATCCTATGAAGAGAATTAAGGTTATTGCAACAACAACAAAAAGAGAAAAGTAAAGCCCAGGCCATATTCCTCCATGAAACACATTTATCACAATTGGAACACAAAAAACTGAACAGGTTTGGTTTTAAAAACACATTCTACAGCTCTTTTAAACAAACACAAGAGCGGTTGCGATCCTTATTCCAAACTCAGTTCATTTTGAAAGTATTAAGGAAATGAATGACAAAGAGAGATTTACGGTAGTACAGGGGAAAATAGAGGTAACGTTTGTTAATGTTTATGCCCCTCCAGAGAGCAACAAGTTCTTTTTACAAATGTATTTGAAACCATTGCATCAGAAGCAGAGGGGATTGTAATTTGTGCGGGCAATGTGAACGTGGTGTTAAAATCATAATCTGGACACGACCAGTACTAAGAGAAATAAAATGGCCCTTACAATGTTGATTAACACCTGATTGATAAAAACTGGGACTGATTGATATCTGGAGGGACCTCCACCCATTGGAAAGGGATTATACCCATTACTCACTCTATCCTAGGATAAATGATTTCCTTATAAACGGAGGAGATAGGTATAGAGTGAAGGAATGTGGGATTTGGGTATCTGATGTATTAGACCATAGTATAATTTCTATGGCCATACATCTAAACTGTAGGAAAATATATAGTGTGTGGAGATTGAATGTTGGAATTTAGAACAAGGTAACGGTAGATCAAATAAAAATGGAAATAAGGAGATGTATAGAGGAAAATGACAATGGTGAGGTGAATCCTAATATTCTATGGGATGCAGTGAAGGTTGTCATTCGTGGGAAACGAACCGCACTTACAACATTCCAGAAGAAAGGTAGATTGGCTATATATCCGAATTTGAAAGATATGGAATAAAAACAAAAGATCACTTGATCCATTAATAATAAAATAAATAAAAGAAACAAGGAGAAAAATAGATGATATTCTTAGTAACGAGACGATACTTATTGAAACAGATTTTTGAAACAGACATTTTATGAGGCGGGCCCTAAAGCTACTAGACTGCTAGCTAGACGCATCTGCAAACAGATAGCAAATACAATTTATACCATAAGAGATCCACAAACTAGACAAATTAAAACACGGACCTATAACCATAGCGCATATATTTGAGGACTATTACAAAAACCTGTATACTCAACCACCCGCAGCAGACGATATAATGAAGGAGTTTCTTAATTCTCTGGATTTGCCATCTATTGGGAAAACACAGAATGACACCCCCACAGCACCCATTACAGAGGTAGTGAGTGCAGTTACTAGACTTAAGAACAACAAATTTTCAGGGAGCGACAGCTTCCTATCAGAGTGGTACAAAACCTTTGAGGAATTGACCCCATTGCTTGGATCATCCTTCAATTGAACCTTGAAGGAGGGCCTTATTCCCCCATCGTGGAAGGAAGCTATTATTTCAATAACCCCCAAAGAAGGCAAAGATAAATAATTATGTAATAGCTACTGCCCTGTGTCAATTTGAAATGTAGATTAAACTGTATACTTCAATTATATCCAAGAGATTTGAGAAGTTCATGCCAGATTTGATTGATGAAGACCAAACCGGATTCATTAAGGGTCGTCAAACATAAGACAATATTAGAACGTCTTCACATTTTATCAATCCTATTCAAAATGGGGAGAAAAGTGCAGCTTTGGTTAGCCTAGATGCAGAGAAGGCTTTTGATTGTGTGAATTGGACATTTCTATATCAAGTTCTGAAAAGGTTTGGATTTGTATGCACTCACCAACTGTAAGTCGCTCTGGATAAGAGCGTCTGCTAAATGACTAAAATGTAAATGTAATGTAAATGATTTAAGGAAGAGTCAATCAAATGCATCAAAGCCATTTATCAGAATCCGACAGCTAGAATAAATGGGAATTTGACAAACAAGATTAACCTCAAAAAAGGGGCACACGACAGGGTTGTTACTTGTCGCCGATCCTTTTCACCCTGTATATAGAGCCTCTAGCCCAGGCAATTAGACAGAGAGAGAACCTAGGGGGTATCACTGTGGGAGAAGTGGAACATATCACTGGACTATTTGCAGACGGTGTCATAGTATTTGAATAACCCAGAGGTAGGTTTCCCTAAACGGATGAATCGATTATTCTGGATATAAATTGAATGTGCTTAAAACGCAGATCCTGACATTTACCTATTCCCCTTATCTAGAAATTAAGACAAAATTACTTAACCAAAGATTCCCTCAAAAATATATATAAAGCTAACTACGACCATATAAATGTTTTGAGATGGTCCATACTCCATAAGTATGAATATTGTACCCAGACTGTTGTACTTATTCCAATCTCTTTCAATTATAATGCCTCAAAGTCAATATAGAGTATGGGACAAACTGATATTGAGATTTATCTGGGATGGTAAGAAACCTAGGATTAGATATTGCAACTTCCCAAGGATAAAGGGCACTACCCAACCTGAGAGAATATTTCTATGCGGCAACACTCAGATACATAGTTTACTGGTGTGATAGAAGTTACTCTGCAATATGGAAGGATATAGAGAGGAGCATAATGGGAAAGCCAATCCAAACTTTGGTGGGAGATAAGAACCATTTAAGACCATATTGGACCCAATAACAACATTCACATTAGATATTTGGTTTGATATGGTCCGGAAACACAAATTGGAGAGAGGAAGTAGGATGATGAGATGTTGTGCATATGGATGTCAAATGTCAACCTGGCACATATGATCAACGGTTTAAACAATGCGTTAATCAGGGTATAATGGCATTGTGTACTATTGTTGAGAATGGGGAAATTATGATTTTTCAGGATCTAAAGGCAATGTACAATTTGGAAAATAAGGATTTTATTTTAGATACTAACAATTCATGGATTACTATATAAAGGGGGTAAAGCAGCCAACTCCCCCATGGACTCAGATTGAGTTTTGAGAGCTATTAGTAAATCATAGAAGGCAAGTACATTTTCAGGTAATCTCAGTATTGTACCACAGCTTGATGGAAAGTAAAGATAACTCAACCTTGTACATCAAGGAAAAATTGGGAAAATAAATCAACTTTATCTCAGAAGAAGAGTGGAAGAACATGTGTAAAACAAAACAGGCCACCACTAATTCAAGAATATGGAAAGAGTTCTGTTGGAAGAACCTGACGTGATTCTTTATTACACCTAAAATTAAGAGTAAACAACTTTGTATGCAACACATTTGTTGGGAGAATGTGTGGACACATGGAAGCTAACCACTATCATATCTTCTGGGAATGCAAAACATTTGATGAGTTATGGGATAACGTGTGTTCTACTATTAAAGCCATCCTGGGTTATGGTGTCCCTAGGACTTTGTTGTCTACCTAGGAAATGTACAGGATGAAATAAGGGCATGTGAATAGTATATGATTAGGGACCTTCTTGCAGCTAGTAAGAAAGCTATAACAAGACACTTGTATTAATTAGATCCTCCAAAACTAGATGATTGGTTAGACATTATACAAGAAATCTATAATATGGCAAAAAATGACTTATGTGTTAAGAATGAGGGAAAACGAGTTTGAGGCCAGATGGGAGCGATAGATACGGTTTGAGGCTCAGTAATGGGACATTAACTACTAAATGTGGTTATGACATAACTGTATGTACGTTGTAATGTGAATATTGCACGTAATGTATCCCTGAACCCCAGCCTTTTGCATTTATTTTTTGTATTCATTTTTCTATGGTGAATTTCTGTACATTAGTGAAATAAATCAATAAAAACCCAAAGTATAAAAAAAATACGAAAATGGCTCTTTGAGCTGCTGTGATGTGACTCAGCACTTACGTCATGGGCAAACTGGTAGGGCACGAGCCAGGTGATGAGCTGTCCAAGGACCTCTGCCTGATAGTAAATCCCCTTGATGGAGAGGAAAACCTGCCAGGGAAAGCAAAACAATGTCAAGTGTACAGCAGAATACCAGTTATTTTCTTGCCAAATAGCATGCATCTCATTCAGACATATTCAATGTGGACTAACCACCCCAAAAATGCTTTCACAACACTTAATAGGCATCTAACACTGCTACGTCTATACGTACACTGAACAAAAATATAAACGCAAAGTGTTGGACCCATGTTTCATGAGCTGAAAAATAATAATCCCTGAAATGTTCCATACACACAAAAAGCTTATTTCCCTCAAATTGTTTACGCCGCTGTTAGTGAGCATTTCTCCTTTGCCAAGATAATCCATCCACCTGACAGGTGTGGCATATCAAGAAGCTGATTAAACAGCATGATCATTACACAGGTGCACCTTGTGCTGGGGACAATAAAAGGCCACTTTAAAATGTGCAGTTGTCACACAACACAATGCCACAGATGTCTCAAGTTGAGGGAGTGTGCAATTGGCATGCTGACTGCAGGAATGTCCACCAGCGCTGTTGCCAGAGAATTTAATGTTAATTTCTCTACCATAAGCTGCCTCCACTGTCATTTTAGAGAATTTGGCAGTACGTCCAACCAGCCTCACAACCGCAGACCACGTGTAACCACGCCAGCCCAGGACCTCCACATCCAGCTTCTTCACCTGCAGGATTGTCTGAGGAGGGGTGGGAGGGGTGCTGAGGAGTATTTGATTCTGTAATAAAGCCCTTTTGTGGGTAATAACTCATTCTGATTGGCTGGGCCTGGCTCCCCAGTGAGTGGGTGTGGCTGCCAAGTGGGTGGGCCTATGCCCTCCCAGGCCCACCCATGGCTGCACCCCTGCCCAGTCATGTTAAATACATAGATTAGGGCCTAATGAATTTCTTTCAATTGACTGATTTCCTTATATGAACTGTAACTCTGTGAAATTGTTGCATGTTGCATTTATATTTTTGTTCAGTACATACAGTGCATTCCGAAAATATTCAAACCCCTTTACTTTTTCCACATTTTGTTAAGTTACAGCCTTATTCTAAAATTGATTAAATTAACTTTTTCCCTCATAAATTTACACACGATACCCCATAATGACAAAGCGTAAACAGGTTTTTAGAAATGTTAGCAAATGTATTAAAAATAAAAAAACTGAAATACCTTATTTACATAAATATTCAGACCCTTTGCTATGAGACTGGAAATTTAGTTCAGGTTCATCCCGTTTCCATTGATCATCCTTGAGATGTTTCTACAACTTGATTAGAGTCCAGCTGTGGTAAATTCAATTGATTGGACATGATTTGGAAAGGCACACACCTATCTATATAAGGTCCCACAGTTGACAGTTCATGTCAGAGCAAAAAACAACCCATGAGGTCGAAGGAATTGTCCGTAGAGCTCCGAAACTAGATTGTGTTATGGCACAGATCTCGGGAAGGGTACCAAAAAAATTATGCAGCATTGAAAGTCCAAGAACACAGTGGCCTCCATCATTCTTCAATGGAAGAAGTTTGGAACCACCAAGACTCTTCCTAGAGCTGGCCGCCCGGCCAAACTGAGCAATCGGGGGAGAAGGGCCTTGGTCAGGGAGATGACCAAGAAACCGATGGTCACCTTGACAGCCCTTCAGAGTTCCTCTGTGGAGATGAGAGAACCTTCCAGAAGGACAACCATCTCTGCAGCACTCCACCAATCAGGCCTTTATGGTAATGGCCAGACGGAAGCCACTCCTCAGTAAAAGGCACATGACAGCCCGCTTGGAGTTTGCCAAAAGGCACCTAAAGGACTCTCAGACCATGAGAAACAAGATCCTCTGGTCTGATGAAACCAAAATTGAACTTTTTGGCCTGAATGCCAAGCGCCACTTCTGGAAGAAACCTGCCACCATCCCTACGGTGAAGCATGGTGTTGGCAGCATCATGCTGTGGGGATGTTTTTCAGCGGCAGGGACTAGGAGACTAGTCAGGATCGAGGGAAAGATTAATGGAGCAAAGTACAAAGAGATCCTTGATGAAAACCTGCTCAGGACCTCAGACTGGGGCAACGGTTCCAACAAGACAACGACCCTAAGCACACAGCCAAGAAAACACAGGAGTGGCTTCGGGACAAGTCCCTGAATGTCCTTGAGTGGCCCATCCAGATCCCGGACTTCAACCTGATCGAACATCTCGGGAGAGACCTGAAAATAGCTGTGCAGCGACGCTCCCCATCCAACCTGACAGAGCTTGAGAGGATCAGCAGAGAAGAATGGGAAAAACTCCCCAAATATAGGTGTGGCAAGCTTGTAGCGTCATACCCAAGAAGACTCGAGGCTGTAATTGCTGCCAAAGGTGAATCAACAAAGTAATGAGTAAAGGGTCTGAATACTTATGTAAATGTAATACTTCAGTTTAAAAAATTTTATACATTTGCAGACATTTTTAAAAACCAGTTTTTGCTTTGTCATTCATTATGGGGTATTGTGTGTAGATTGGGGGGGGGGGGGGGGACTATTGAATCCATTTCAGAATAAGGCTTTAACGTTAACAAAATGTGGACAAAGTCAAGGGGTCTGAATACTTTCCGAATGCACTGTACACACAATTGTGATGACAAATCCATTTCAGAGGCTATTGTACCTGTAACAGTCAGTATCATTACTTAATCAATTATGCCTGCACTCATTTTCATTGAGGACCAACTATTTATGTTAGTGAGGACACATCTGCAGTCTTGTCCTTCCTACCTTCATGAGAGAGCGAGATGTGACTATGTAGTTCATCCACTCCACAGTGAGGCGTCGGCATAGCGTGATGGTCTGGACGTGGCACTTCCCCGTGCGGGCAAAGGTGGAGAACAGGAAGCACATGGAGAGGGCGTCGTCGATGTCACGGAGGGCATCGATGAAAGTGGGGTACCTGGCACACAAATAGACCCAAACATAACCCTGATCAGATAACCACAAATGTAGGACATCCTTTACAAATGTTATGCTGACATGAGCCGTAAACAGGGAACAACACCACAGAGATTTTATTAGATTATTATTTACTACCGAGTGGCTGCGGTTCCGGATTGTCTGGAACCCGACTTGCCGTGGCTATTGATATGAAGATTTCTGTGCAGGATTTGTACTCTTTTTAAGTAAATACCTGCAGTGAACTTGTAAAATAATGTGACAGGTGAAATGAAGGCAATCTGCTTTATCTCCTAACATATTGCACATTGTGAAGCTTACCATAGTTCCCCAGAACAGTTGAGCCAGTAACTAGGGTTGGGCGGTTTGCAGATTTTCATATCGTCATTCGGTCCTTCTCACATTCCGGGATTTACAGTATTACCGGCTTATTGCACAAGGGGGCGCCAGAAAACGCAAAAAGACCATTGGGCATATGTTCCCAGAATGCTAACAAAATTAGCACAAGTAATAGCGAATTTCCATAGAGGCTGCATGCTAAATATGCTAACGAGCACAAACGAAAAAAAACTAATTGTAAAGAGAGGCAATCCAGCTCATAAAGTTATACATGTATAGGTAGGAGCTACTGAATGTCATTTTTCGTGACTTTGGACATTTACAAGCAAATGTGAACGAGAGACATTGGGCAACTGAACAAAGTTTTGATGCATGCTTGTCTTCTCTGAAGCAGCATGTGAACATACACACCCTGTGTCTGTTTGGAGTCGCTAGGGCAACAGGCCTGCCTGCTCTGAGAAGATGGGGGAGGAGCAGACGGGCCCAGAATAGAGAGGAGAAAATAGGAAATCAAGATAGCGGCAGCTGTACAGATAACTCCTCCAAAGGGCTTTGACTTCTCAAACACGGCAGAAAGCTTACACAATATGATGCCCAGTCACCTTATTAATTAAGTAACTTAATTAGATAACTAGCAAGTTAAACTTAGAATTCTTTATTTTTCACGCAGGAAAAAAAGATAAAACGCGTAAGAAATCTCTTGCTGCGTTTTCTAAACGTAGATCAAAAATGTAAGATGACCTTTAAGCAAAACATTAGGAAATGTAGCTGGCTACAGTATTTTAATGATAAACATTATAAATATGATGGCCATGCATAGTGTGAGCAGCAGCTACAGTGTCAGGGCTGGGCGATACGGCCAAAATATCATATCATTCTTTTTTAAATTTGACAGTATGACGGTATTTTATGTTTTTTTAATAATACAAGTTATACATTTGCTTTATGAGTAGTGCGTGACCCTAGGGTGGCGACACATACATTCTACATGATTTCAATGGGTCTCTCTCCATTGTGATTGTTTTTTACTGTTCAATTAAAACTTCAACCAAAAATAAATTTCTGCATTTCCTGCACTCATTTGAGATCATTTCCACACTGCCACATTGGGCTGCATGATATGGGCAAACAATCTAGGCCATATTTTTAACCAAATGTTTCAATTGCAATTTGTCTTGCAATTTAGATCAAAACACTTGGGTGAACTGTTGGAATCATGGAAAAATAATAATTATTCTAATTCTACAGTTAGAAGATAATAGTGGGCACTTTGAATACAGTGTTAATTGACATGACAATGAATGCAAATGCCAGGGAGGAGTTATTGTGACAGGGTAGGAACCAAAGTGTTGGTCAGTGTTTCCTAGGGGACCCTATAACATGTAATGTAGCCTAACATTTTCTCTTAGCTACTTCATGTAGCTAACATATTCATGCTTCGCCTATTCCTCTTTCATTTAGAAGATACTGTTGCACAAACAACATGCTGATTTAGGCCTACACCGTCACTGATATCAGGCTGTATAGCCAGCTCCGTTTAGTCTGACTTAGTACATTTAGCCAGCTAACTAGCGATTAGCAGATAACACGACCTAGTCACAACTTGCTAAGAAAATACAAACTAGCTGTTTGCAGATGTAAGAAACAATTTAATAGTGTAACTATAGAACACTTGTAGATTTATATTAAAAAGTAAAGTGGAAAGAGCATCGTAGACATCAACATTGTTGCATGTGGTGCATTGACCAGGCAGACTGATCGCAAGTGTCTCGTGGTCGAGCAACAACAAATGCACTCCTTGAGTGACAGGGGGCGAGGCTAGGTCTGTGTGGAAAGCAGCATGGAGAGAGTGGAGAGAGAACTCAAGTAGCGGAGTAAACTATAAAAATGGGTGTTACACATGGCATTACATTTAACAAACCAAACATTCAAATACAGATATAGAAGGTAAAGTAAAAACCCAAACTGGTCTGTGCATCAAAACTGATATATAGTAAAATACGATATACCGCCCAGCCCTACATAGTGTGCGTAAAATAACACATGCATAGAACGTGATCCAGATCCTTAGCTTTGAGAAAGAGGCTTCCGGAAGGGCGGCAGCGAAAACTCTGTATTCACAGTCACGTTCTATTTTCTATACACTGAGTGTAGAAAACATTAGGAACACCTTCCAAATATTGAGTTGTGCCCCCTTTTGCCTTCAGAACAGCCTCAATCAGTCAGGGCATGGACTCTACAAGGTGTCGAAAGCGTTCTACTTGGATAATGGCCCATGTTGACTCCAATGCTTCCTACAGTTGTGTCAAGTTGGCTGGATGTCCTTTGGGTGTTGGATCATTCTTGATACACACGGGAAACTGTTGAGCACAATAAACCCAGCAGTGTTGCAGTTCTTGACACAAACCGGTGCACCTGGCACCTTCTACCATACCCTGTTCAAAAAGCACTTAAATATTTTGTCTTGCCGATTCACCCCCTGAATGGCACACATATACAAACCATGTCAACATTTTCTCAAGGCTTAAAAAATCCTTCTTTAACCGGTCTCCTCCCCTTCATCTACACTGATTGAAGTGGATTTAACAGGTGACATCAATAACAGATCATAGCTTTCACCTGGATTCACTTGGTCACTGTCATGGAAAGAGCCTAATGTTTTGTACACTCAGTGTATGTAACTATATGCTCAACATTGCCATCTCCTGTTTGCAGTTGGCGCTGCAGTGGAGTGAGACCTCACCTCTCCTTGATGATGTGGTCCAGTTTGTAGCCAGGCTTGTTATCTCTCAGTCTCTCCACCCCGGTCCATTCTGCCTTTCCATATGCCTTCCTCAGTTTGCGCACAAACACCTACCGGAGACGGAACAGGACAAGGCAGCCTTACTAGATTTGCCCCTTGATTTGAAAATAGTGGACTGGAAATTCACTGAACGGTACGAAAATGTCAATAAACACACAACATGTCTATATAGTAGTCAAAACAGTTGTATAAAACATTACCTTGTACTCTCTAAACTTTCGAACGATGGGCTCGTGCAGGAGGAACCGGATGTCTTTGAGCAGGTAGAATGTACGGGGGGCCGTGGAACCCTTGTTCACCTTCTTCTTGTGCTTGGGCTCATGAGGGTAGATGCCTTTCAGAATGCACAGGCGTCTGTGTGGAACAGTGGACGAACATGCAGACTGTCAATTTGGCATAGCAGAAACTGATAGGGGCAACCATGCTATTACATCCACAACCAGAGTACATGGCCGTATTCGCTAGACACCACAGGGAAGATAACGGACTGAAACAAGGAGGGACTACAACTTACAAAACACGTATTTTCCATTGCAAAACTTTTGCTACAGTGTACAGTGTGTACTAATGAATACGACCCAGGTTGTGGCGGGTTAGTAGTAACGTTACCCAGTACCTGAAATCTGCCAGGCTCAGCTGCAGCTTCTTGCGGGCTTTGTTCCGTGTGATGTAGTTGGTGGCAGAGCCCCTCTCATACTGAAACAAGACAAATGGGTTTACAGTTACTCACAAGACATGAAGACAGTAAACGATGTGTGGGGTATTGGAGGAACATGGCTTTTAGCTAGGGTGTCACTCTTAAATTGTTACTAGAAAACGTGTAACCAGACTAAAGAGCAAAAAGGTTGATGCTGACAATGTTCTGCACTTCTTTTATCACTATTTAGTACTCTGTCTTTTTTATGCCTCAGGTGAAGATGTAACGTGCTACCGTAGCAGCTAGGCTAACGTTAACTAGCTAGCATAGAAGGGTTGAAAACAATCTGCATCAACGGCAAAGGACTCGACTAGACCGACGTAGAACTACAATAGCTGAGTACAAAGACGTGTTTCATGCAAGCGATCTATTATAAAAATGTGATTATTAGCAAGGTTATAGTTTTATAGTTATCTAGTAACAGCTAGCTAAACATGTTCGGCCTAAACTCATAGCTAATTCTGTGCTCAGAGAAACTAGCTAACTTTAGCTGTACATAGCTTGCAAAATTGTTGGATAATTAATTTGACAGACAGTGACATCCTTACCTTCTTTTTCTGTAGACCCCCCATTTACAATAGATATATTCGTGTTATTATATAAATGACTTTTAAAAAATGGTTTTACTTCCCTAGACAATCATGTAAACACAACCGCCACGAAAAAACACCGTGGCTGATGCACGTGTTGTGTGACATGCGCGGAATAAACTTGCAGGACCCCGACACCTCAAGATGTCCATTTTTAGGCCTGAATATTATTATAATTTTTAAGACCTAAAACATAAAAGTGAATCAGTCACGTTTGGATGACCTATGTGTATCTATTTATTCATTGGAAGTCAGTTGGATTTTTAAGGATTCATTCAAACACACACAAACACACACATATTCCTAAAGAAAATAATGTATTTTTTACTCTCTACAAAATTAGATTTTGAATGCTTAGCAGGACAGGAAAATGGTCCAATTCATGCTCACGCACTTATCAAGAGAACGTAAATGGTCATCCCTACTGCTTCTGTTCTGGCGGACTCACTAAACACACATGCTTCGTTTGTAAATTATGTCTGAGTGTTGGTGTGCCCCCACCTATCCGTAAATAAATTAAAAACTAGAAAATTGTGACTTTTGGTTTGATTAATATACGGAATTTTAAATTATTTATACTTTTACTTTTGATACTTAAGTATATTTGAGCAATTACATTTACTTTCGATACTTAAGCATATTTAAAACCAAATACTTTTAGACTTTTACTCAAGTAGTATTTTACTGGGCGACTTTCACTTTTACTTGAGTCATTTTCTATTAAGGTATCTTTAACTTCACTCAAGTATGACAATTGGGTACTTTTTCCACCACTACACACCCACACACACACACATTTACATTTTACATTTACATTTTAGTCATTTAGCAGACACTCTTATCCAGAGCGACTTACAGTTAGTGAATACATATTTTTTTATACTGGCCCCCCGTGGGAATCGAACCCACAACCCTGGCGTTGCAAACGCCATGCTCTATCAACTGAGCTACATCCCTGCCGGCCATTCCCTCCCCTACCCTGGACGACGCTGGGCCAATTGTGCGCCGCCCATGAGTCTCCCGGTCGCGGCCGGCTGCGACAGAGCCTGGATTCGAACCAGGAGCTCTAGTGGCACAGTTAGCACTGCGATGCAGTGTCTTAGACCACTGCGCCACTCAGGAGACTCACACACACACACACACACACACACACACACACAGAAATGTCATATCAGCTACCATCAGAAATAAAACGTGTGTTTTCTGTGTAGCCTAAGTCAATGTTATGCAATTTATTATTGAGAACAGTACAACAGGGGTGAGGCAGAGGGATCGAGAGAGAGAGAGAGAGAGAGAGAGAGACTGACACTGACTCATTACACAAGCTTGGAAGTATCTGGGAACAAGTCACTCAGGACCTCACATCTGAACAGACAGCTGATAAACTCAGAAATCATAATGGGACTGCTTGAGTTTATTAAGGATTATTTTCTTGGTTTCTGGGACTATGAGACCCCGAAGATAATGGTTGTTAAAAACAAAAAACTTGGAGTCATATATAGGGGGGTTCAGTTTCTTGTGATCACCTATTTCATCTGGTAAGCATTGGCCTCCTGTTTATGCATGCATAAAAATATACAATTTTAAATAGTATTGTCTTAGTGTGTAACTATCCTGTTTTTTTTGTGATTGAGTATTTATGTTGCAGTATCTATGACCTGCCTTGGATATTGCAGATACTGTACCTAACAAGGCAATGTTAAGTTTGGTATTGGAAAGCATTGGTTGGCTTTTAAGCTCAGATTAAATGTGCTGTCAGTGTACCCATATTATTGCTTTCAATAGCTATACTACCCATAACACTGTGATGTGAAGTGAGTCATTTGCTGAGAATAGCCACTTTGTGGTGAGGAAATGCCTTTCAATCGCAATTACATCTCCAAACAAATATACAGCATAATTGATGGTAAGACATAACGGTTGCTGTGGTCAAGAGGGACAGCTGTAGTCTCACTGGCCATTGCTGACCATCTTTGTGTAATGGGATCCAAATAGGCCAATTTTCATAGATTTCATTTTCCTGATGGTCCTTTAGAGGGATATTTGTGTCTGTCTACTCATAAACATTATATTTCAGCTTTGGATTTTCAAACATTTAAAATAAAATGTTTGATTTTTAAGTATCCCTCAAAGTTATCAGTATATCATAAAACCCAAAAGATCTGAATTGATATCTTCATTGTCTGAATAAGCACAAGCATAGGCATGCATTAAAGTACAATTAAAATCACTTGAAAATACTGAATTTGTCCACAGAACAGAAGTTAATCTGTGTCTGTCATATTACCCTACTACAGGTATGTCTTTATCAGTCAGAAAGCCTATCAGGACAGTGAGACGAGGCCAGAGAGCTCCGTCTACACTAAGATGAAAGGCACAGCACTGCAGGGGGACCACGTTCTGGACATGGTGGAATATGTCCGACCCTCAGAGGTGAGCCAACTTGAGAGCATACATTTTGCTCAGTCGCATGGTCACTGATTAAGAAAACGGACTGATTTACAAATAATAGTGAGTCGTTATTTAGGATACAAGATGATTTGTAGATCAGTCAGTCTGCAGTCACCGACTGCAATGTAGTCGATCCTGAACATGCACTTTAGCTCTATTCATAAAGCAAGGATCATAGGTAAAATAGATATCCTATAGATGATGCAATATGTTATCAATCAATCAGTAATCAGTAATCAATCAATCAGCCAGCCAATATAATGTATGAAGTCCTTTTTGCATCAGCAGTGGTCACAAAGGGATTTAGTGTAACTTGGCATAGACCCCACAGAGCAAACAGAAGCACAGTGGCCAGGAACATACTCCCCAGAAGGAAGAAACGTAGTAGCACAATAAGGTCTAAAGGTTTCATTCATCAATATTTGTGTAGGAGAATGACTATGATTGTTTTGTTTTTATCTCCTACACAAAACCCCCGCTGTACATAATAATAATATGCCATTTAGCAGACACTTTTATCCAAAGCGACTTACAGTCATGCGTGCATACATTTTTTTTGTGTATGGGTGGTCCCGGGGATCGAACCCACTACCCTGGCGTTACAAGCGCCGTGCTCTACCAGCTGAGCTATGCATAATTTGAAGCAACTCAGTAGTTTATAGGTGGCATAGTAGGTGTATTATTTTCACAAAGCTGTTATAGTTCATAACACCAGGCCTACATATAGTTCAATCGAGTAAAGGCTTAACTCCATGACAACAGAGACAGAATACAATATGGCATTTTTATTGAATAGTTTGGGGTAGGCCTTGTCTCCCCAACCCCCTGCAAGTGTGAGACACAAGGTTTGAGCTGACATATAAATATTCCGCTAGATTCATGCCCATATGTTGAAGGAAAGTGATTATTGCACGAGTAAGCCCATAGGTTAATCAGCAAGCGTGGTGTGCCATGCTCATAGGCTGAAGTTAATAGATGAATGACATTCCGCACACTTGCTTATAGTAAAGGAAAATGAAGGACGTGATGCCATGCTGATGAGGTACCATTATGACTAGGGCTGTTGTGGTGACCGTATTACCACCACACCGGCGGTCAGGTGTCATGAAGGCAGTCAAATTCCACGTGACCGTTTAGTCACGGTAATTAGGCTTCTCCAAGCTCTGATGCTGCTGATGGTCATTAGTAGCCTACCAAACTTGCTAACTGCCTGGTACTCAGCACTCTATTGTCCCTCTAATCACTCTGACATCAATGCAAATGTGTTCGAAAATCTAATCAAACACTTAATTCGAGCCCATGAGCTCATGTTGCGCAACATTTCTATAGGCTATGCAATTGCGCGAGAAAACAGAGTGATGGGCTCTACTAAAAAGAGGATGATCCCATCAGCTTTCTATAGGCTAGGCCTACTATATTTATTTCTCAACTTTCCTAAAATTAAGCACATTGTTTATCTTTACAACAGGAATATAGCCTACCTGGCTGGCATGAAAATCAACCACTGGAAAAGCGTCCTCCGTTCGCTATTTAAGTGCATAAATTACATGTATTTTTTCCCGCTGCCCTGTTTCGAGACAGGTGCATGATAATGGTCCATTCTAAATCAAAACAAATTTCACACATATATTATTTAGTACATGTAAAGAAAAAATTAAATCAAGAATAATCTGAATATTAGCCTATCACTTGTGAATTTATATATTATCACTTGTGAATGATGCCCAGCATAAGAAACTGCCTTTTTTCCCCTTCACTTTTTAGAATCATAGTCGCACACCTCATGTCCCGTGTGGCTCAGTTGGTAGAGCATGGCGTTTGCAACGCCAGGGTTGTGGGTTCGATTCCCACGGGGGGCCAGTATGAAAAAATTATAAAAAAATGTATGCACTCACTAACTGTAAGGCGTTCTGGATAAGAGCGTCTGCTAAAATATGTAGCTACAGTCGTATGAAAAAGTTTGGGCACCCCTGATGATTTCCATTTATAAATAATTGTGTGTTTGGATCAGCAATTTCATTTTGATCTATCAAATAACTGATGGACACAGTAATATTTCTGTAGTGAAATTAGGTTTATTGGATTAACAGAAAATGTGCAATATCCATCAAAACGAAATTAGACAGGTGCATAAATTTGGGCACCCCAACAGAAAAATCACATCAATATTTAGTAGAGCCTCCTTTTGCTAAAATAACAGCCTCTAGACGCTTCCTATAGCCTCTAATGAGTGTCTGGATGAAGGTATTTTGGACCATTCCTCCTTACAAAACATCTCCACTTCAGTTAGGTTTGATGGTTGCCGAGCATGGACAGCCCGCTTCAAATCATCCCACAGATTCTCAATGACATTCAGGTCTGGGGACTGGGATGGCCATTCCAGAACATTGTACTTGTTCCTCTGCATAAATGCCCGGGTAGATTTTGAGCAGTGTTTTGGGTCGTTGTCTTGTTGAAATATCCAGCCCCGGTGTAACTTCAACTTTGTGACTGATTCTTCAACATTATTCCCAAGAATCTGCTGATATTGAGTGGAATCCATGCGACCCTCAACTTTAACAAGATTCCCAGTACCGGCACTGGCCACACAGCCCCACAGCATGATGGAACCCCCACCAAATTTTACTGTGGGTAGCAAGTGTTTTTCTTGGAATGCTGTGTTCTTTTGCCGCCATGCATAACGCCCCTTGTTATGACCAAATAACTCAATCTTTGTTTCATCAGTCCACAGCACCTTATTCCAAAATGAAGCTGGCTTGTCCAAATGTGCGTTTGCATACCTCAAGCGACTCTGTTTGTGGCGTGTGTGCAGAAAAGGCTTCTTCCGCATCACTCTCCCGTACAGCTTCTCCTTGTGCAAAGTGCGCTGAATTGTTGAACGATGCACAGTGACACCATCTGCAGCAAGATGATGTTGTAGGTCTTTGGAGGTGGTCTGTGGGCTGTTTTTGACCGTTCTCACCATCCTTTGCCTTTGCATCTCCGATATTTTACTTGGCCTGCCACTTCTGGCCTTAACAAGAACTGTGCCTGTGGTCTTCCATTTCCTCACTATGTTCCTCACAGTGGACACTGACAGCTTACATCTCTGCGATAGCTTTTTGTAGCCTTCCCCTAAACCATAATGTTGAACAATCTTTGTTTTCAGGTCATTTGAGAATTGTTTTGAGGCCCCCATGTCGCCACTCTTCAGAGGAGAGTCAAAGAGAACAACAACTTGCAATTGGCCACCTTAAATACCTTTTCTCATGATTGGATGCACTTGTCTATGAAGTTCAAGGCTTAATGAGCTCACCAAACCAATTGTGTGTTCCAATTAATCAGTGCTAAGTAGTTACAGGTATTCAAATCAACAGAATGACAAGGGTGCCCAAATTTTTGCATAGCCTATTTTTCACATCTGATTTAATTTCATACAAATTAATATTGCTACACTAAAAATCTTTGTCTGGACAATACCCCAGTACTCAGCTTTTATTAAAAAATTAATGGCATGCCACTGTGATCATTTTCTGTGACGACAGAGTAAATTATTATGCAGCCTCAGAGGGGTGCCCAAACTTGTTCATACGACTGTATACTGTATGTTTTCTACATGTAGCCTATGTGATTAGTTACCATCATATACTGTACTTTATTTTCTGTGGCATTTCACCTGTAGGGCGGCGATGTGATCAGCACAATACTGAGACGAGTGGTCACACACAACCAGAGGCAAGGCACGTGTGCTGAGGTGATGACGTCCCAACCATTCCACACACTCATATGTTCTCCTGAAACCAAAAACAACTAAATACAAATACTACAGTCATTTTAGATTGATCAACACTAGGGCTTTATATTAAGTTATGTGCCTTGCTCAATACTCTACTATTACAACTAGCACTGTCTCCTGGAAAAGCTCTGTAAGATAATGTGATAAAGATGTATCAGTATCACTACCACTCCACCGCAGGACAGCCGGGAAAAGCTGATAATGTCTAAACGATGATACTTTCCTCGTTTCTTAGCATTTCACCGTTCCCAGTGCCAACTGCTCAAAGGACTCTGACTGCGTCGCAGGAGAAGTGAACTTTGATGGCAATGGTACGGACTGAAAAAGAGGGAACTAAGTGAAAAGTCCCACTAAGCCAGTTCTATGAATCTGTCTGTCAGTAGATGGTTTATCCAGCTAATGCACTCAGTCTGATGTGTTTCCTGTAGGACAGAGAACTGGGCGCTGTGTTCCCTATTACAACCAGACCTTCAAGACCTGTGAGATTCAGACCTGGTGTCCTATTGAGGACTATGCCGCAATATGGTGAGGGTCAATATCAATAAGACATTTTAGATAGGATGCAGTCACAAGGGCGGCAGGTAGCTTAGTGGGTAAGAGCGTTGTGCCAGTAACCGAAAGGTCGCTGGTTCTAATCCCAGAGCCGACTAGGTGAAAAATCTGTCGATGTGCCCTTGAGCAAGGCACTTAACCCTAATTGCTCCTGTAAGTCGCTCTGGATAAGAGTGTCTGCTAAATGACTAAAAATAATAAACAAATAAACAAAACGACTGTCTCCCTAGTCTGGAATAAGTCACTTGTAAAATAATGATGGCATAAGCGTGTAATCTGTTGTTGTCTCCTTCAGGGAGCCGGCATTGGCAGAGGCCATCAATTTCACTGTTTACATCAAGAATGCCATCCATTTCCCCAAATTTAAAGTGCTGAGGTATAGTATGAACCCCCTCAACAACACACACAACTGTAAAGGGAACTGTATCCCTGTTAATATGCAGCCTCAACTGTTTCTACAAGCAATTCTCTCTTATCTCTTTCGCAGAGGAAACATCAAACCAAACAAACGAAATGGACAGAAATATCTGAATAAGTGTCATTACAATGAGGAGAAACACCCCTACTGCCCCATCTTCCGGCTGGGCTACATCGCAGAGCAGGCCAGGGAGAAGTTCAGCGAGCTCTGCAGGACTGTACGTTTACACCCTCAATCTACATCCAGACAGTCACACTGTATATCCCATTTTACAAATCATATACACTACCGGTCAAAAGTTTTAGAACACCTACTCATTCAAGGGTTTTTCATTATTTTTACTATTTTCTACATTGTAGAATAATAGTGAAGACATCAAAACTATGAAATAACACACCTGTTAATTGAAATGCATTCCGGGTGACTACCTCATGAAGCTGGTTGAGAGAATGCCAAGAGTGTGTAAAGCTGTCATCAAGGCAAAGGGTGGCTATTTGAAGAATCTCTAATATAAAATACATTTTGATTTGTTTAACACCTTTTTGGTTACTACATGATTCCATATGTTATTTCATAGTTTTGATGTCTTCACTATTATTCTACAACCTAGAAAATAGTAAAAAATAAAGAAAAACCCTTGAATGAGTAAGGTGTTCTAAAACTTTTGACCGGTAGTGTATATAGAGAACCTTATTATTCGGGGCTCACATGAACTACAGAACACAATCTTCCATCTAGGTCTAATGTCTCTAACAATATGTGTGTCTAATATTTCAAAATCAGACAGTGATTACTGATAATGGAAATAAGTAGTTAAATAGATCATGGAAATCAAGCTAATAGAAACAATCCACATTAAGGAGGAATGAGAAGATGTGTTGGACAGAGCGGCAGTAATGGTTTAGTTAGATAGCTCATTAATTCTATCCTGTCAGGGGGGAGTGATTGGAGTGTTCATCAACTGGAAGTGTGACCTTGATCTGGACCCCTCAGAGTGTACCCCCACTTACTCCTTCCGCCGCCTGGACCTTCGTAAGAACCTGCCCAGCTCTGGTTACAACTTCAGGTGAGCCTCTTCGTAGCATCTGGTGAATGCCTGGGTCGTATTCATTAGTGCACACTATAGCAAAATGTTTTGCAACAGAAACTGGAAACGTGTTTCTTATTGGACAAGTTCAGGTGGTTCCGCTCTGTTTTAGTCCGTTTTCTTCTGTTTGGTGCATAGTGCATACGATCATGTCTTTACTATTGCCATCTCACTGACATGACCTACTGTAACATTTAAGACCATCTCTGCTGTAACTTGGTTATGAAGAGGCATACAGGTCTTGATTTATAAAATTGTCTAGGTTTGCCAAGTATTACAGTAAGGATGGAGAAGAGTTCCGGACACTTATCAAGGCCTTTGGCATTCGTCTGGACGTCATAGTTCATGGACATGTAAGAAGTTACTCCTTCAACATCCTTCATCAGTACTCAATTAACCAATAACCAGTTGATCAGAACGATTACTCAGTGACATAAAGCTCACTGTAATCTCATATTCTGCAATAATACCTCTCCAGGCTGGACGATTCAGCATCATCCCAACTATCATCAACACAGTGACAGCCATGACATCAGTTGGAATAGTGAGTTTGATTCTCAGCACTCTTGTGGTATGAGTTGATGTAGTCTGTAGGTACCAGTTTCCCTTAAATGGTTGTGTCAGCTCCTAGTTATTCATTGACATATTACTTTGATTCATTACAGTGTTCCATTATCTGTGACTGGATCATGCTCACTTTCATTGACAAGAACGATATCTACAGTGACAGAAAGTTTGATGACGTAAGAAAATAACAATTTGATTCCATACATTCATGATCATATTTTATTTTGTTAACCATTTTCTGCTATAGCACTTATCATTGCACACCCAGTTAGGTAATTTAGCTCCCAAAGAATATAGTAGTGTGTAAAAGTATGTGTATTGGGAAACCCTGTTCTAAAGTAATGTTATGTTATTCTGACTGTATGTTTCTTTAGGACAGTAAAGTGCCCAGCCCCAGCAAGCCCCTCACGGTTCCCACAGAACTCACCATCATCAGCTATGGCTCCAACCACTCAGACCTGTCAGAGGGAGTGGCCCTGTGACATCCTGCCGCTACAGTGCTCGTTGGCCACATGCATGGATGATGCTATTCCGCAGATACCTGACTGCTGAACAGACGGACAGACGGACGGACGGACGGCCTTTCCCCCAAGCGGTCTCAGACGTCCACAGAGAGGCCTCTTTGATGGGGTCAACCTCTGTCCCTGCGGAATTTAACTGAAAGACAGCCAAGACGTCCTTCTTAGTGTGCCACCCCGGTTATTTCACCAAAAGCAATGTTCTATGATGGGTTAGTGTCAATTTCATGTAGATTCCTTTTGATTCAGGAATTGAATTACATTCCAATAAAGAAAGTCCATGTCTACTTCAATTGACAGGGACTGAAATTATACTGATAAACTGAATCTCAAATAATTGCAAAATGTTTGAATTTAATCAAACCTAAGAAAAATAAACCAAATCATTTATACCAATCAGCTAAACATGTAGGAGTAAGTTTTACTGAGAACCCTCTTTCCACAGTCTAACCCGAGCCAGGTCAATGACTGTATACTGTAAGCTATACATGCAAATATAACAATAAATGTCTAACCAACTTATAATGTGATCTCTGCCAGTCAATCATATACATATCAGATTAGAAGGAATAAAAAAAACATGATATTTCTGGTTTGAAAACACAGAACTATGCATTTCAAAAGGCTGACCATTTTAGTAATCATTGTATGACTTTTAATAATTGGATCAATCAAAAAGATGACGATGGAAAACACAGAATACTATACTCAGGGAAGTACTCAGGGAAATAATACTCTCTGGGACTCTTATATTCCCTCCTTCAATGTTCATGTAGATTACTGATGCTGAGCATATACGGGAATAAAAGGGCACAGAGGCCTAAGAGGAGAGCTACTCTCAGAGAGAGTAATCAAATAATGATTACATTTCCCACAAAATGGTTTCTATAACAAGATTGTGGGAAAGTGTGAATCCATCTGGACTCGTAGAGAGTAATAGAAACATCGATAGTGAAAAGGACTCATGTCTGAGGTCTAATGGAGCAGTGTCTTACGCAGTAGATGGATTGCTGTTGTCTGTTGATAGCCACAATGACACTTTGGAACTAGGTGATATGAACACACAAAGTCAGATATCATGGATGCAACAAGGAACATCAAGGCAATGCTATTAATGCTGTTTTAATGCAGAGTTCTATATCTTTTTTCATTTTGGAACATACAAAGTAGATACCCTTCACCATTCAATTGCAAAGGCATTTTTTCCCCTGCAACATATCATAGGAAAACAAAGCATAAAAAGTAGAATTGTAAATATTTTGAGCTCTGTACTTAACTCCATTTAAAACAAATCAAATCAAATTGTATTTGTCACATGCACCGAATACAACAGGTGTAGAACTTACAGTGAAATGCTTACTTACAGGCTCTTAACCAACAATGCAGTTTTAAGAAAGAATACCAAATAATTAAAGAGCAGCAGTAAAATAACAATAGCGAGGCTATATACAGGGGGTACCGGTACCGAGTCAATGTGCGGGGGCACCGCTTAGTAGAGGTAATTGAGGTAATATGTACATGTAGGTAGAGGTAAAGTGACTATGCATAGATAATAAACAGAGAGTAGCAGCAGTGTAAAAGGGGGGGGGGGGCAATGTAAATAGTCTGGGTAGCCATTTGATTAGATGTTCAGGAGTCTTATGGCTTGGGGGTAGAAGCTGTTTAGAAGCCTCATGGACCTAGACTTGGCGCTCTGGTACCACTTGCCGTGCGGTAGCCTATGACTAGGGTGGCTGGAGTCTTTTACAATTTTTTGTGCCTTCCTCTGACACCGCCTGGTATAGAGGTCCTGGATGGCAGGAAGCTTGGCCCCAGTGATGTACTGGGCCGTACGCACTACCCTCTATAGTGCCTTGCGATCAGAGGCAGAGCAGTTGCCATACCGGTCAGTGATGCAACCAGTCAGGATGCTCTCGATGGTGCAGCTGTAGAACCTTTTGAGGATCTGAGGACCCATGCCAAATCTTTTCAGTCTCCTTAGGGGGAATAGGTTTTGTTGTGCCCTCTTCACGACTGTCTTGGTGTGCTTGGACCATGATAGTTTGTTGGTGATGTGGACACCAAAGAACTTGAAGCTCTCAACCTGTTCCACTACATCCCTGTCAATGAGAACGGGGGCGTGCTCGGTCCTCTTCTTTTTCCTATAGTCCACAATCATCTCCTTTGTCTTGATCGCGTTGAGGGAGTGGTTGATGTCCTGGCACCACACGGCCAGTTCTTTGACCTCCTACCTATAGGCTGTCTCATTGTTGTCTGTGATCAGGCCTACCACTGTTGTGTCATCGGCAAACTTAATGATGGTGTTGGAGTCGTGCCTGGCCATGCAGTCATGAGTGAACAGGGAGTACAGGAGGGGACTGAGCACGCACCCGTGTTGAGGATCAGCGTGGCGGATGTGTTGTTACCTATCCTTACCACCTGGGGATGGCCCATCAGGAAGTCCAGTTGCAGAGGGAGGTGTTTAGTCCCAGGGTCATTAGCTTAGTGATGAGCTTTGAGGGCACTATGGCATTGAACGCTGAGCTGTAGTCAATGAATAGCATTCTCACATAGGTGTTCCTTTTGTCCAGGTGTGAAAGAGCAGTGTGGAGCGCAATAGAGATTGCATCATCTGTGGATCTGTTGGGGCGGTATGCAAATTGGAGTGGGTCTAGGGTTTCTGGGATAATGGTGTTGATGTGAGCCATGACCAGCCTTTCAAAGCGCTTCATGGCTACAGACGTGAGTGCTACGGGTCGGTAGTCATTTAAGCAGGTTACCTTAGTGTTCTTAGGCACAGGGACTATGGTGGTCTGCTTGAAACATGTTGGTATTACAGACTCAGTCAGGGAGAGGTTGAAAATGTCAGTGAAGACACTTGCCAGTTGGTCAGCACATGCTCGGAGTCCACGCCCTGGTAATCCGTTTGGCCCTGCGGCCTTGTGAATGTTGACCTGTTTAAAGGTCTTAATCACATCGGCTACGGAGAGCGTGATCACACAGTCGTCTGCTGATGCTCTCATGCATGTTTCAGTGTTACTTGCCACGAAGCGAGCATAGAAGTAATTTAGCTCGTCTGGTAGGCTTGTGTCACTGGGCAGCTCACGGCTGTGCTTCCCTTTGTAGTCTGTAATAGTTTGCAAGCCCTGCCACATCCAGCGAGCGTCGGAGCCGGTGTAGTACGATTCGATCTTAGTCCTGTATTGACGCTTTGCCTGTTCAATGCCATCGGAAGATTCCCGGAACATATTCTAGGCAAAACATTCCTGTAGCTTAGCATCTGCTTCATCTGACCACTTTTTTTATTGACTGATTCATTGGTGCTTCCTGCTTTAGTTTTTGCTTGTATGCAGGAATCAGGAGGATAGAATATCCTATCTGTCAGCAGGGAACCAACTCAATGCAACCAATCTAATTTTGAGACTCAGCTCCAGGGTAGATGTGAAATGACATTACTGGTCTGAGAGAGATGCCCATCAGTAAGCAGTGTTCTCTGGAACAATGAGGTTATCGTGATGGAGGTCGACGGGTTAACATAATTTTGATCTAGACTGGGATATGCCATAACCAGTGGATGTTTTCTTTACAGATGACCACAACAAAGGGAGCCAGGGATGAATGTGCACTCTTCCTCATCTTCACTCCAGATAGGCTAAATCAACAAATGCTAACGCCAAGCACTTCTGCACTAAACTGTACTTTCAATTCCAGGAAAATCATCCTCACAGTATCAGCAGTATAGTAATGATAAAAAAAGTAAAGTAAAAAAAATTGTTCTAAAGAATTGAGTTGCTGGAATGTGTTTTTCATTTTGATTAATGTTTGTTTTATGTTTCACTAACAAGCTCAATAGGACACATAAATCATGGTTTTGTAACAAAATGTGGAATAAGTCAAAACCATTATTTATTATGGATACTTACTTTTTCTATCATGGTATTGGAGCAGCAGGCTCTGATAGCCTTCTGTGTTCTGATTACAATGAAACTCAAATGTAATTTATCTCCCCTAATTGTCTATGACCCTGAAGACTGGGGTTCAATCCCCATGTCCACCCTTCACATAATGTTCTTTTAATCTCCATTAAATAAAAACTCAGACTATTCCTCTGAGCCACATTAGCGTCCAATTACAGAGGAAGGAGAGTCACCATGTGATGCTGAGGACTGATGGGGGTTCCAAATCTGGGCAGCAGCACTCAGCACTCAATGAGTATGTTTACATGAGCACTAATAATTCGATATTATATATATATATAAATTGTATTTTACCTTTATTTAACTAGGCAAGTTAGTTAAGAACAAATTCTTATTTACAATGACGGCCTACACCGACCAACCCTGTGCGCCGCCCTATGGGACTCCCAATACAGCCTGGAATCGAACCAGGGGGTGTGTAGTGACTCCTCAAGCACTGAGATGCAGTGCCTTAGACCGCTGCGCCACTCGGGAGCCCATATATTAAACGGATTATGGCAGTAGCAGATTATGCAAACACCCGGTTCTGAGCAATCTTTCAAATTATTAAAACATGTAATCACCTCAAAAATCGGCATTCCAGCGGTGTATTTGATCTGCGCATGTGCTGGGCTAGCACCAGCCGAGCGAGCCTCCCTCTTCAGTACGGGTGAAGTGAATTCGGAACAACAATGTATACGAAGTAGAAGTAGTTTTCACATACAAACTTTGTCCGAACTAAGAATAAAATTGGCTTCCCAAAAATAACATGTTCGCTGTGGTAGAACGTTTATTTTGAGTGCCGATTTTCTGCATTTATCAGTGCCATCAATTAGCCTGATTTCAGATGTGTCCATGTAAACAGAATGTCTAACTTACCATGGCCGGTGCAACAGATAAACAGGACAGATATAGATTGAGTGTTTCAGAGAAAAACGAATGATTTCTCACAAACTTTGCCTTCAGAAAATGTGCATTGAAAAAAAAGAAACCGTCCATTCTGTTCTCATTACCAAAACATTTTTATTGACAAAAATATTAAGACAAGAAAAACCCTTTACAGAAGGCCTATAATTTCTCTCATCAATAAGCATTCCTATTCCAAAACACCATATCTACAATTTCGTCTGGAGACTGGAAAGCTGATTGGCAACTCTTTTACATTTACAGTACATGGGTGGTCAAGAAATTACATTGTTTATATGTTGTTTTTACAGCTACAGTACAGAAAAGCATAGAAGAAGAAAGATTCATTATCATAATTTGTCACATCAAAGTTAGTTTGTCTCAAAGTGAGCTATATATATCCCATTCTGTCCATTCACCCCATTCTGCATTTGAATACCGCCAGCAGTGAACATCCCACCACGAGTGATATCTTGGTGAATTTGTCCAATAAGAAAAACGCTGCAAAACAAACTTTTTGCTACGGTGTGCTTTCCTGAACACAACCCTGGTAACTGACAGGATCTCCAGATACGGCCAGTTAGCTCACCGACTCAGATTGTGGCTCATCATGTCACTGTTTGGTAGACTGGCTTATTTGTGGACTCATGACCAATAGCCAGTCAATGGTCTCTTCCAGGAAGTTCATGTTGTAGTGGGCGGCGATGTTCCGGAACACTTTGATCTGCTCTGAGAAACTCTGTGGACGGAGAAGAGGAGACCTTACAGATCCTAGCAACACAATGTTTCATAACCTTTGAATTTAACATATTGTGGTGGGTGGCACATTGTTTTAACACAGCTAGGGACACATGGGTTGGAGGAGCACAAACCTTGGTGGGGAAGGTGAGTTCAAAATCTCCTGCACAGGTGCAGTAAAGAGGCATGTTGGCCTCCTTCACTCCTTTACACTTGGCACAAGCCTGCAATGGAACGCAAGGCACGTTTTAGACCTCGCAGTGAGACACGATCACAATTCCTGAAAACAGTAGTTACTGAGTAGTGAACCTGGGCTGTGTTCATTCGGCACCAAACGGAAGAAACAGGCAGGGACTACCTGGACTTTTCCTTTTCAAAACGTTTTCTGTCGCTTTCCTTAATGAACAAGACGCAGGTCATATCTATCCCAAAGGATGCATCAGGTGTGAGGATGTGGATTGTTTCCTCACCAAGTCCTGCAGAGTGTAGCTCATCAGTTTCTTCTGAAGGGCCTCCACCAGGGCCATCTCAATGGACTCAGTCTCATACTGGGTCTGGCAGTTGGAGCAGAACCACTGTGGCAAAACAGAGCCGTCCTGTGAACACAGAACCGATGATTTACATAGTGTATACGAAGGAGCACACACACACAGCTGTTTGAGAGAATGGTAGGTGGATGCAAAATGAGCATAGCTTTAAGGAAACTATGGTTCAACTTGAGCATATACAGTGCATTCGGAAAGTATTCAGACCCCTTGACTTTTTCCACATTTTGTAATGTTACAGCCGTATTCTAAAATTGATTAAATTGTTTTTTCCCCTCAGCAATCTACACACAATACCCCATAATGACAAAGTAAAAACAGATTTTTATAAATTTTAGCAAAGTAAACCCCCAGAAACCTTATTTACCGTATTTTCCGCACTATAAAGGCGCACCGGAGTATAAGCCGCAGCAGCTAAATTGAATGATGTGTACATATATAAGCCGCACTGGACTATAAGCCGCAGGTGTTTTAATGTTTAATTACCATATGTAAGGGTTCGTGCACAGAGGGGATTGTCGGGAAAGAGATGGCTGCTTGAGGAAGCTCCCATTTATTAACATTTCAACAAACAAGTTGCATATTTGCGCAACGTATTCAAGTGTTACCATTTAGTGCAATAGTAGCTACAGAACATATACTGTGCTGTGTAAACTGTACTGTATCACATAGCGTTTCAGACACACAAACTTTTCAACTTTCAAACTTAAACGGTGCGCTCCCAGCGCACATACCGGCAGTGATCTACAGCAGTGGTTTTCAACCTGTGGTCCTTGAGGGAGTGCTAGGGGTTCCCCAGCAAAATTAGTTAATAGCGTCACAATCATTTAACCACTTAACTTTGGTTATTTTTGAAAAACCTTGAAAAAGTGTGCACATCTTTGAATATTTATCTACATTATAGCCTACAGTAGTACCATAACAAAAAACTAAGCTTACAGCGCTTGACGAGGCAATATCAATGGCTAAATTAAATGTGTTTTTTTAAAAGTGCAAAATAAAGTGCCTGTAACACGACAGTAAGCGCTTACATTAGCCGCACCGTTATATAAGCCGCAGGGTCGAAAAATTGGAAAAAAGGCGCGGCTTATAGTCCGAAAATTACGGTACATAAATATTCTGACCGTTTGCTATGTGACTCGAAATTGAGCTCAGGTGCATCCTGTTTCCATTGATCATCCTTGAGATGTTTCTACAACTTGATTGGAGTCCACCTGTGATAAATTCAATTGATTGGACATGATTTGGAAAGGCACACCTGTCTATATAAAGGTACCACAGTTGACAGTGCATGTCAGAGCAAAAATCAAGCCATGAGATCAAATGAATTGTCCGTAGAGCTCAGAGATAGGATTGTGTCAAGGCACAGATCAGGGGAAGGGTACCAAAACATTTCTGCAGCATTGAAGGTCCCCAAGAACACAGTGGCCTCCATCATTCTTAAATGGAAGAAGTTTGGAACCACCAAGACTCTTCCTAGAGCTGGCTGCCCGGCCAAACTGAGCAATCGGGGGAGAAGGGCCTTGGTCAGGGAGGTGACCAAGATAGAGCTCCAGAGTTCCTCTGTGGAGATGGGAGAACCTTCCAGAAGGACAACCATCTCTGCAGCACTCCACCAATCAGACCTTTATGGTAGAGTGGCCAGAGAGAAGCCAATCCTCAGTACAAGGCACGACAGACCGCTTGGAGTTTGCCAAAAGGCACCTAAAGGCCTCTCCGAAACAAGATTCTCTGGTCTGATGAAACCAAGATTGAACTCTTAGGCCTGAATGCCAAGAGTCACGTCTGGAGGAAACCTGCCACCATCCCTACGGTGAAGCATGGTGGTGGCAGCATCATGCTTTGGGGATGTTCTTCCGCGGCAGGGATTGGGAGACTAGTCAGGATCGAGGGAAAGATGAACTGCGCAAAGTACAGAGAGATCCTTGATGAAAACCTGCTCCAGAGCGCTCAGAACCTCAGACTGGGACGAAGGTTCACCTTCCAACAGGACAACGACCCTAAGCACACAGCCAAGAAAATACAGGAGTGGCTTCGGGACAAGTCTCTGAATGTCCTTGAAATGGCCCAGCCAGAGCCCGGACTTGAACCCGATCGAACATCTCTGTTTTTGCTTTGTCATTATGGGGTATTGTGTGTAGATTGATGAGGGGCAAAAAACTATTTCATCCATTTTAGAATAAAGCTGTAAAGTAACAAAAAGGTAGAAAAAGTCAAGGGGTCTGAATACTTTCCGAATGCACTGTAAGTAGAATGTAGAGGTATCAGTGTCATTACAGTGGAAATAGATTGATATGAAGATGCTTTTTGGACCATTTATACTGTGTTTTGGATAGGTTGAGTGTCCTGACTGTGGCACTTTCCTTTGGTGCTAAATTCCCAACCTGACCTCATTCCATCATGTATCATATACACTGTACTGTATATCACTTCTGACATTGCCACTATGATAGCTGATGAATGGTGAGCTTTCTGCCGTTTCCCTCCTCCCCTTAGTATACAAAGCGCTTTGAGCATCTGTAAAAAGCTATTCATAATTCCAATGGATTTTATGAGCTGTGGGGGGGCACTGACCTGTGCCACTGAGGGGTCCTTGCAAAGGTCGAGGTCGCGGCAGAAGTTGCAGTGGTGGCAGATGACCTCGGGCAGGATGTAAGAATTGCAGGGGTCGCGGAACTGGGCATCCTCTGAGAACTCACCCACGTCTATCAGACGCAGCAGGTCCCTCTTCAGCTTGTTCACCTGGTTCACTATGTTGGCATCCAGGGAGAGGACCTACAGGGGAAGGTTGTGTTCATTAGGCACCAAACAGAAGAAAACAGAACTGAAATGCTAATTTTCGTTTTCCGTTGCAAAATGTTTTGAAATGGTGTGCACTAATGAATACAACCCTGGCGTGTATTCACTAGGCACAAAACGGAAGCAAACTGGCTGAAACTGGGAGGGACTACCTGAACTTGCCCAATAAGAAACGCACATTTTTCATTACAAAACGTTTTCCGTTGCAAAATGTTTTGCTACGATGTGTACCAATGAATATGACCCTAGTTCCCTGTCACTGACCTGGCAGACGTATTTGATGAACTCCAGGGCTGGGTTGCTAAGAGGCAGGTGGGAGCCGGGCAGGACGGGGAACATCTCAGAGGGCTGGGTCACGCTCCGGGTGCCTGTCACCTTCTTCTGGATCTTCTGGGTGATGGTGAAGAAGTTCTGGGTCAGCTCGCTGGACACATACTCCTGGGAGAAGGAGATCATACCTGTGGAGGAGAGACAGCTTATTTTCATCTGTAGTCTGGTAGACTGGATATGGGGGAGACTATTGAAGGCCATAGCTGGCTAATAGTCAGGTAATGCTGGGTTTTCCAGTGTAGGCCAGCTAGGGTAGACTATTGAACAATGTAGCTGGCTAGTAGTCACAGGATGTAAGTGGTGGACAGCAATTTAAAAACGATTAGGATTAGATTAGACACAAACCCAGATCACTTTAGAGACCTGTAGTGCTGACTCCTCCTTTGTTCACGTCCGCGTCCGGTTGGGGTTCCTCTTTCGCTCTAGTTACTTACCAGGAAGTGCTGAGGAATCTCCTGCTGCCTGCTGGGAAGTCTGGCTTCCGCCCCGCCTCTTAATAGGCGTGGCTCCCGGGGCGTTGCGTCTTAGCTCCTCCCGCATGCTGTGGTAGACGGCAGCAATATAGGCTGAGAGGAAACATGATAAAGGACAGACGAGCACAGGAAGTCAGGGAGCTGTGCCCACGGACCCCCTCCAAATTCATTCTGGATCAAACACTATACACATGATACGAAAATGACGACAACGCTTGTGATAATGCGCTGGCCTACCGGAGATGATCATGAGGAAGTATTTCTGACAGGAGGCGGTCTGTGGCAGATACTGCATGATGTTCCAGCTGCTCTCGATCAGCTCCTCCACCTCGTCCACATCTCCGGCTCCATCCTCCTCCTCCTCCTCCCCACCCTCAGCTTCCTCCTCATCCTCACTGCCCTCCTCCTCTACATCCTCCTTCCCCTTCTTCTGGGCTGTCCCGTTCTGAAAGCCAATGCAGGTCGTGAGTGTCATTTCTACCACAGCGATTTTCATTGGTTATGAGACGTAGGAAAAACAAATACACATACATCCGTTAAATATCAAATAGTATTGGTTGCATCCACATATTTAGCAGATGTTAAAGCAGGGGCAGAACTAGAAGGTACCTCTCCATACAGGACGCTGGAGGGCAGTTTGCCCTTCACTCCTCCATAGTTGGCCAGATCCATCCACATAAGGAACTCCCAACAGCGGGAGAAGGAGATGGAGAGGGAATGGAAGATTTCCCGCGAGTGAATGCTAAGGAAGATTGAGGATTTTTTTTTAGTCGGACCAAGTTAAAATAAACAGCTCATAAAACAAAACCTTGCCTACTAATTTATGGTTAGTGCTTGATACAACAGGGTGATGGTATGCTTGGCTGCATGAAACCCAACAAGGTGCAGACTAATTTCCACAAACCTTCACCCCATGCGATCTAGCTCAGAATGTATTCAAGAATCCATAAACTAAACAGGGCTTGCCCTCACTCTGTAACCATGAATCACTGATTTACGAGCACTATTTGTTTATTAGGTCAATAATATTGTTTTCTTTGGCTTTGATAGACAGCATATTGATGTTATAACATGACAAAGTACAGTATAGAGGCATAGTAGTACATGGGTAGGTTAGCTAACCAACCAACCTGTTGGTGATGTACTCCACGTAGCCAATGGCGTCGTCAATTCTCCTCTTCTTAGTGCAAAGGAGGATGCGGTTAAAGTTCCCATACACCACTGTGGAGCCCAGCCGCTTGAACTCTGCCACCAGTCTGAGAGCGAGAGTGACATTCATTAAGGCATCCTTCATTCTTTCAAGTAACGACCGTTTTCAATACATGACGACAGACCGTTTAGAATGAGAATAAATGAATACAATGATTTATCCATGTAGAGGAGGAATTTTCAAAGTTGTGGTAGGAAGATGATTTGAAAATAAATAGTTTTGTGTCCAATCAAATAAAAAAATTACGAACAATAAGAATTCTGATCATTTTTGACATTTTTTCCAGATAAAGCTGCATTTGAAACGGCTACAGTTGACTCCAATGGAAACGTAGGGTTGTGTGTGTTGAGCAATGTTACTTACTGAAGGAACACCTTCTTCATCATGTTGTGTAGGGTGCGGTGCAGCGCCGGGTCGTACAGCAGCGAGCTGGGCGAGCGCAGCCAGCGGTAGAAATGCATCACCTGGTTGTCGGCGTAGACGTTGTGGTACTGCGTGATCTCCCGCACCCAGCCAACCACCATGCTCTTCAGGATCCTGCTCACGGACACACATCCAATCAAATCAAACTTTATATAAAGTAAATGTCAAAATAGTATATTATTTTAACCTACGCTGGGCTACAGTGCAGGGAAACGTTTAAAACAGCCGAACTGTATCTGTTACACTCCAAAACCACACAGACTAGTTAGTTTAGAGCCTAAATAGGTTGCTTGAGGGCTCTGGAGTGTTTGGAGGTGTCCGTGGCAGTGGTTGCATGTTATTACAAAGCAGTCACCTGAAGGTGTTGGAGCAGAGGGCGGTCTCGTCGTAGCTGGCCACGGCGCCGGCTCCCTGGTTCCCCGACATCATTTCCTCCAGCGAGGCCTGCTGGATGACGTCAAAGCTGACACCCAGGCTGGCTCCTCCCTCCATGTCGTTGACGTGCTGTGACTGCAGGATGGTGTTCACGGCCAAACTCTGCAGGTCCAGCTCCACACACACTGAAACACACAGTAGAATGACATGGAAAAGTCGATTGAAACCTAGTTTGAAAGCATATTTCCTTTTGTTCCAATTAAGTTGGTTTTGAAATGTACCGCATCAGCGGTTGCTATGTACAGCTACTTAACGTGTCAGTGTTGTCATTATGTGTGTTTATTAGCGCTGGGATGATAAACCCAAATATTACAGGCACCATCATTTCCTACCTCTTTCTACAATTTTGCATTTGTCGGTTATTTTTTTAGTGATTATACTAAACAGCGTTCCTGCAGATGTTTTTATTCTAAAACCATTATTTGGTCATCAGCAATGTGAATTATATTGATTCCTGCTATGACAATATCTGAAAGTATCTGCCTGTCCCCGTTTCGCTGCCGGCTGCTGTTTGAGTGAGCCACTCCCTCTCCCACTTCGTTGACGTTGTGCAACCTTTCAAAATGCAATTGCGGGACAAAGCAACTACCGTTGTTTTTATTAAAGATAGGAGAGCGTCAGCTTTCTGTGGGTGTATCATTTATTTCTCAACTCTCAATATCGAGCAAATGGCACCACTTTACAACGGCAGTTGGCTATGTAGTATGGTTTTGATGGGCACACGGAGCGTGCCATCTGCAGTGAATACATCACGTAACCTAGGCCTAGAGCTGGTAAGGTTTAGTAGGACATTCATTACATGGCTATCTAGCAACACAATCATAATTAGAGCAATCTAGCTAAGTGCTTTGAATTCGGTGGTGAATTATGTAGCCTGCTCCAGTACGCACCATTTTTGGGGGACAAATTCATGTATAAAAAGAGCCAAGAGAAAAATCTGATAATTCTGGATCATATTTTTAAAATGTTGCACATCAAAATATCAAATCACACGTCCCCTGGATATGATAGATGAAATAGCCAACTTATTTCTTGAATCATACCATCTCAGTTGTCTTACTTGGCACAAGACAAAATTTGTCGCTAATGGGAAGCAACTGTGCATTCATTAATTTTTTTTATTGTTATCGAGCAAAATGTTTAAATGTATCGTGATTTGACTCTGTCCATATCTCCCAAGCATTAGTGTGTGTGCATGTGTAAGGCTGGCTACCTGTTGAGTAGCAGCCCTGAGCGTTGATCTCCATGGAGCCCCTGTCGTCGGCCTCCATCACCAGCCTGCTGTCGTCGGCCTCCTTGCCCCCCAGATCAGGCCTGGCAGTGGGTGACAGCCACAGCAGGTGGTTGTGCTTCCGCAGGTGCCTTGCCAGGAACAGGTCAGAACCAAAGATGGACACATCCTGGGGCAGGTTCCCCACCGGCAAGTGGTAGTACCTGAGGAGTGATGGAGGAGAGGGAACAGTAAGTGACCGTACCACAAAACGGGCATAAAAGTCATAATGATACATACATGAAACCCCAGACTAATATGTAAAATGTGAAGATTTTTATATATACAAAATAGAACGTTAAAAAAACACTAGTGCTCTTATTCCAGTTGTGTTGTTTAGAAGGTTCTAGGTGTACAGAGCCAGCAGACAGACCTAGTCTAGTGCTGTGTTACCTACCTGGCCATGTCAAAAGCCTGCGACAGGCAGCTGTCAAGGTTGAGGTAGTGGCGGACCATGCGGCGTGCCCCGTGGCGCTGCCAGTCCAGCACGTTGTAGCTGATCTCGTCCACCACATGCACCGGTACCACCGGGAACTCCTCCAGCACCGGCATGCCCGCCGCCAGCCGCCGCAGCTCCCAGTTGGACTGTACTGCGATCAGGGTGGGCCCTCGCCGCTCCCCCTGAATACAGAGAGAGAAGGACAACGGTCAATAGTGTTACCAGGGCTGTGTTCATCATGCACCAAACGGAAGAAAATAGACTGAAACAGGAAGGGACTACCTGCACTTGTCCAATAAGAAATGCTCATTTTGCGTTTTCTGTTGCAAAACACGACACTGCTCTATCCTATACTATTAATCTGTGATAAGCATATAACCTTAAATAGCAAGTTTGAAAACCTTAGAAAGAGAAGGCCTAAACAAAGTAACACAGAGAACAAGCTAGAGAGAGCGATACAGTGGCAGAACCATACAGGTGAGGGGTGCAGTGGTTGGAGGCACCTTGTAGTTGAGCAGTATGCGCTGCAGGGCGCGGTGGATGGCCTTGACGTCGTTCTCGGCTCGCACCTCAAAGGTGTGTTTCTCAGGGGGCAGGAGCTCTTCGCTGGTCTTCTCCAGCAGGGCTGTACGCTCTGCCCCATACAGGGTGCTCAGGTTGGGCATCTGGTTACTGCGGACCTAGGGGAGGAAGGGGAGGGGGACTTTATGTCTTTTTTCTTCAACATTTTACTTGGAAATGACTAAAATCACTCTCACGTCACATATTTGTGTAATGAAGCATTACAAGGGCAAAGTCAACTATTTGAAGGGGAAATCTGATGTGTAGGGTGTTTGGGCACAAAGTAGATGAGGTGTGGTTTTACCGTGTCCAGGACAAAGATGCTGGCCTTGCGCTGTGAGGGGATGAACAGGCCGAACAGGGCTTTGTGGCCCTGGCTGTGATGGTAAAGGTAGATGTGTCGGACGCTCCCTGGGGAAGACAACACAATCATACTGATTCAACGCTCCCATCATCACGTTCCATATAAGGTCGTATTCATTAGGCACCAAACGGAAGAAATGGCAGGTTGAGGTTGATCTACATCATAGTAAATGTAAAATCAGTCACACAATAACTTCAAAAAGACAGGTAAAGAAAGATTACAAATAGATATCAAATATATGGACGACACATTGAGAAACAGTAGAGAAACAGTGAAGTGAATCTGCAGTGCCAGTGGAGGCTAGTCGTACCAGGCTCCAGGTAGCTGAACTGGGCCAGGGACCTCATCTCCAGGTGCTCCAGGTCGTAGGTCTCAGCCTCCCGGCCGCCCAGGTCCCGGACCACCTGCTTGTTGACCATGCACATACAGCCCAGCTGTACCAGGGCCCGGAACAGCAGAGGGACCTGGGAGAGAGAGAGAGAGGGTTGTTCATTAGGCACCAAACGAAAGAACAGATTAAAAACAGGCAGGGGCTACCTGGACTTGTCCAATAAGAAAGGCTTTTTTTGCTTTCTGTTGCAAACTTATTTTAAACACACTCACTGGCATACACATGGAGAATAACACTCAAAACACAGGCATTGCTTATATTTCCCTAACTATGAAATGTTAACCAAGACACAGAACACTAGATTCGGGAATAAAGTACAATCCTTTAACCCCACTAACTGCTTCTTGTACACATCAAGGAGGAATAAGACAGACCTTGTCCTATCCTAACCCGTAGGTACCTGTGTCTCGTAGACCCCCTCTATGTCTGGGGCAGAGAGGTCAGCATTGATCTCGTTGATGTGCTCCTGGTACATATCCTCAGGGACAGAGTACTGGTACAGATAGTACACCACGTTGGAGCGCGGCAGAAGACGGTTCACCTGCACAAAACAAACACCAGAGTTCTCAGTCATCTAATAATAATACTAATAACGATAAATTGAACTTTTATAGTGCTTTTCATTACAAAAGAACCTCAATGCGCTTTAAAGCAACAAAAAAAGCCTGACAATTTTAAACCGACAACATATCATTCATTAGTAGACGGACGGTCATGAGAGGGTCAGAAGGCTTGAGCAGTCAGTGGAGGGAGGTGCTCATAGATCTATTAATCAATCAATCTATCATGAGACTAAATGTACCTTCTTGTATGTGGCTCCCTCCTCCTGCTTGGGGACCTTCTGGTTGACGTAGAACACCCGTGGGATGTTGAGCTTCATGCAGTACAGGTCACTGCCGATCACAGCCCACAGTTTATACAGCCCAGGGTGACTGGTCTCCGCAATCTGGGGGAGAGAGCACAGGACATCCAGTCACACACACACAAAGACTTCTGGGTTTAGGTATTTTGCTTATTAGAGGTGCATTCACAAGATATATACAGTATGTCTTTATTTTGTTCTGTACAGTTCCTATAAACTATTCTGAAACAAAACAAGGCAATGGTATTTGGAGTTTTAGCCAGTATGGACACAGTTTAAGCCTAGTCCTGTACAAAAAAGCACTTTAAAACAGATTCTCCATTGAGCAGCAGCATGCTTTTTAGTTCAGGACTGGGTTTGCCGGAAACCGGCCTAACTAAATGTTATTTGACCCCCTAGGCCTAACCTAACCCACCTGTACGATCTGCCAGGGCATGTCCAGGATACTGCGCGCCGTGCGGCGGAGGAAGCTACCCAGGCCTGTGGCGGGACCCGCGTCCCGGATCACCCCTCCACCCATGGGCTGGACCTCGCCGTCCAGCAGGCGCCTCCGCTTCCGGCGCTCCTTCCTCTGCCGCAGCTGCAGCTCCCACTTCTTCTTGTGGTAGCGCAGCCACACCAGGCGCGCTTCCTGCGTTTCCCCCATGGGTGGTGGTGGGCCGAGGATCTCTCTCCAGGACTGGGTGAGCTCCATCTCCTGGGACTCCACGGCCTGGCTGTCCTCTCCTTGTGACACCCGCTTGCGCTTGGTGCTGATCAGTATGGCCGGCTGCAGGGGTCTGGCAGGCATCCCAAAGTCCTCAATGTCAGCCGCTTGCCCTGCCTCCAGGGCCTGATGGGCCACCTGAGAGAGAGGAGGCGAGAGAGGGGAGTGGCGTGAGTGTGTGTCATTTGTGTGTGTCGCCGCTACCGTTGGCTAGGCGGGTGTACCTGTCGCTTGCCCTCGCTGGTGAACAGCTCGCTGATCTTCTTCTGCTTGTAGATGTCATTCTTCTCCAGCAGCTTTTTGTGGAGCCAGTCTGGGTGGCGCACTCTGGGCACGGGGTTCTTCACCTACAGCCCGGATCACAATGGGACCAGAATGGGTGAGTAGCGAGCACTGAGCAGGGTACAACCTGAAAGAATCTAGTGCCACAGGAGTAGGGTGAAGTTGCACCTAGACACTGATCTTGGATCATTTCCCCCACTAATGGGCAAGGTTAGGATTTGGGGAGGGCAAGCTGATCCTAGATCTATACCTCGGGGCAACTTCACCTCAGAGCCATGGTTCAGAGCTGCTGTGGGTTACCTGTTGCAGGGCAGCTGGAATGGTAATGATTTTCTGGATGGCACTACCCAATCTCTCAATGTAGTAGCTCCAGTCAAGAATCTGAAGAGAGCCCATGGCTAAACTCGTTAGTGACTGCGATTTAGCTAAAACATTAAGGAAATAATTGATTCAAACATCAATCTTATAAAATCACTCAGGCAGTACATCAACAGTCTTTGTATTGCTGTACTGAAGCTTGCCAATATGGAAGCGCTATGAAAATGTCTGAGGTGAAATAGCCCAGAGACTTACGGAGCGGATGTCCAGGTCGTGGAGGCTGGGCATCTTCAGCCACTTGCGCAGGAAGTGCTTCTTAACACTGGGCTCAGCTTGGAAGATGGCCAAGGGGATGGCCCTGTCAGATTGAGAGAGAGGAATGAACACTTCTCCATTGTTGTCATTAGCAATAAGCGACACCACGCTAAAATGAGCTGAAGACAAAATCGGAAATGATGAGCCATGACCGTCAGCCTGTGGTAGGGTTGTGTGGGTCTGTCTGCCTCACCTCTCTGTGACCGGCGTGCCCTCTGGCTTGCGGGAGATAATGTAGCGGCAGCTCAGCCCGGCGTCCTTCACCATCTGGTCTCCCAGGAACTCGGCCAGCCGCTTGGCCGTGCTGATGGTGTTGGACTTCTGCTCGCCGTAGTCCTCCAGCTTCCGCGACATGGAGCGGTTCTCCGAGATGAGCTCAAACAGCTCCGCGTCCGGCATGTTGGCAGCCTGGGCAAAATACAAATCCCATCAGGACACAACATAGTAGAACATTCAGATATAAATATATTATGTCGAACAAACATGCCCTCTGACATGTAGCCTCGCCTACAATCAGGAATCACGTCAGTTCTCTATTATTGACATTACGATCTGAAACTTTCCTCATCGTTTGCCTACTGAACGTGGTCCGGTTGATGTAGCTTTCAACATTCAAGCAGAGATGGGGAATATTATTACAATGGCCCAGGTTGGCTCACTCTTTTAATATATGGATGAATTAATAATAATAACAACCGATTTAAAATGTAAAGTTATTACACACGCAGGGAAACAAACACGTTACCTTGCTGTAGAGCACATCGAGCCAGTAGTCGGCCACCTTGGCCACCGAGTCATAGACCTCCTCCAGGGTGGTGCCTTTGAGGAAGGCCTCAAACACGGACGACTGGAAGATCTTGATGAGCTGCAGCTCACCTCTCCTCTTCACCTCAAAGCCCTTCAGCTCGGCCAGAGAGCCGTCCTCGTTGAACACAGCGTACCTGGACACAGCACAATGTTGTCATCATGTTATTATCAATGTTACCATCAGGAGAACGTTATTATCAATGCTATTATCAGGAGAACGTTGTAATCATGTTAATATCAGGAGAATGTTGTAATCGTGATTATCAATGTCTTTGGCTGGATTCTTTCTCTCTGCATTGTTGGGAAGGGTCCGTAAGCATTTCAATGTTAGTCTACACCTGTTGTTTACAAAGCATGTGACAAATAAAATTTGATTGGATAATGTTATTGTTACCTAACAAAAATCTCAACGATGCCAACCGGCCTATATGGTAAATACAGAATTGAATCTTTTCACACACGGTCCACCAAGAAAGGAGAACCAGCATTCTCCATATTTTCTCATTGCCAGTATATACAGAATCGCTTGTATGTACCTTTTCTTCAGCTTCTTTCCCTCCTCTTTGGAGGCGGGCAGAATCATGGCTAGGTAGGGCCCGTCCACCTCGAAGAAGATGCTGTTTTCCGCCCGCGTCTCGTAGGTCAGCGAGGCGGGGTCCACCAGCTCCTGGTACTGGTCGTTGGTGAAGCCTTCCTTCACCATGATGTTGAGCATGGCGCCCGGGTAGGAGATTGTCACCTTAGGCTTCTTCTCATTGCTCGTCTTCACCACAAAGTTCTCGGGGAAGGTGTTGGGCAGGACGCACCAGATACCGTCCGTATCCAGCTCCAGAGGCCTCCTGTAGTGCCACAGACAAACATGGTAACATAAGTGGCCAAAAACCACAGAAAATAGATAGGGGGTATTAAACTGAACAAAAATATAAGCGTAACATGCAACAATTTCAAAGATTTTACTGAGTTACAGTTTATATAAGGAAATCAGTCAATCGAAATGCATTAATTAGGCCCTAATCTATTGATTTGACATGACTGGGAATACAGCTATGCATCTGCTGGTCACAGATGCCTGACAAAAAAAAGGTAGGGGCGTGGATTAGAAAACCAGTCAGTATCTTGTGTAACCACCATTTGCTTCATGCAGCATGACATCTCCTTCACATAGAGTTGATCAGGCTGTTGATTGTGGCCTGTTGAACGTTATCCCAATCCTCTTCAACGGCTGTGCGAAGTTGCTGGATATTGCCGGGAACTGGAACACGCTGTCATACATGTCGATCCAGAGCATCCCAAACATGCTCAATGGGTAACATGTCTGGTGAGTATGCAGGCCATGGAAGAACTAGGACATTTGTGCACAGATCCTTGCGACATGGGGCCATGCATTATCATGCTGAAACAATGGCACGACAATGGGCCTCAGGATCTCGTCTCGGTATCTGTGCATTCAAATTGCCATCGATAAAATGCAATTGTGTTCGTTGTCTGTAACTTACGCCTGCCCATACCATCACCATGGGGCACTCTGTTCACAACGTTGACATCTGGGTTGGCGCCCCCCCCCCCCCTTGGTTTGTGCTGTGGTGGAGACCTCTGTGGGCTATACTCGGCCTTGTCTCAGGATTGTAAGTTGGTGGTTGGGGATATCCCTCTAGTGGTGCGGGGGCTGTGCTTTGGCGGAGTGGGTGGGGTTATATCCTTCCTGTTTGGCCCTGTCCGGGGGTTTCTTCGGATGGGGCCACAGTGTCTCCGGACCGCTCCTGTCTCAGCCTCCAGTATTTATGCTGCAGTAGTTTATGTGTCGGGGGGCTGGGGTTAGTTGGTTATACCTAGAGTACTTCTCCTGTCTTATCCAGTGTCCTGTGTGAATTTAAGTATGCTCTCTCTAATTCTCTCGTTCTCTCTTTCTCTCTGAGAACCTGAGCCCTAGGACCATACGTCAGGACTACCGGGCATGATGACACCCTGCTGCCCCCAGTCCGCCTGGCCTTGCTGCTATTCCAGTTTCAACTGTTCTGCCTGCGGCTACGAAACCCCTACCTGTCCCAGACCTGCTGTTTTCAACTCTAAATGATCGGCTATGAAAAGCCAACTGAGAGACCTGAGCCCTAGGACCATACGTCGGGACTACCGGCCGTGGTGACTCCTTGCTATCCCCAGTCCGCCTGGCCTTGCTGCTATTCCAGTTTAAACTGTTCTGCCTGCGGTTATGGAACCCCTACCTGTCCCAGACCTGCTGTTTTAAACTCTAATGATCGGCTATGAAAAGCCAACTGAGATTTATTCCTGATTATTATTTGACCATGCTTGTCACTTATGAACATTTTTGAACATCTTGGCATGGTTCTGTTATAATCTCCACCCGGCACAGCCAGAAGAGGACTGGCCACCCCTCATAGCCTGGTTCCTCTCTAGGTTTCTTCCTAGGTTTTGCCTTTCTAGGGAGTTTTTCCTAGCCACCGTGCTTCTACACCTGCATTACTAGCTGTTTGGGGTTTTAGGCTGGGTTTCTGTACAGCACTTCGAGATATTAGCTGATGTAAGAAGGGCTATATAAAATAAAATTGATTGATCAGCACACCGCTCGCCCACACAACGCCATACACGTGGTCTGCGGTTGTGAGGCCAGTTGAACGTACTGCCAAATTCTCTAAAACAATTAGAGGCGGCTTATGGTAGAGAAATGAACATTCAATTCTCTGGCAACAGCTCTGGTGGACATTCCTGCAGTCAGCATGCCAATTGCACACTCCCTCAAAACTTGAGACATCTGTGTCATTATGTTGTGTGACAAAACTGCATTTTAGAGTGGCCTTTTATTGTCCCCAGCAGAAGGTGCACCTGTGTACTGATCATGCTGTTTAATTGGCTTATTGATATGCCACACCTGTCAGGTGGATGGATTGTCTTGGCAAAGGAGAAATGCTCACTAACAGTGATGTAAACAAATTTGTGCACAACATTTGAGAGAAATAAGCTTTTTGTGCATATGGACAATTTCTGGGATCTTTTATTTCAGCTCATGAAACATGGGACCAATACTTTATAGGTTGCATTTATATTTTTGTTCAGTGCATATTCGCTACATCTGCAAAGTTACTGCCATGGTGAAACAGAGTGCTGTTCATGCATGATCCTTATGCTACCCAGCACTACACACAGGTATCTCTAAAAAGACAATCTCCATGACATGGGTGCTAAAAGAGAAAGCAGTAAGAGGCCTTCTGTAAGAGGATGGACATTATTAAGTTACCCAATCTGTTCAACGAGCTCTCTGGCCTGGGTGATGATGTTGGCTCCGGTGTAGCACACAATGCCGGCCATCTCCATGGAGTACCAGCGCGCCCTAGTGGACAGACATGGCAGCCACACAAACACAACAGCACTGTCAGCACTGTCAACAGGTTGCAAAACATTTTCTACCTCCTGAATAGAGGCCAGATTTTTGGGGGGTTGATAAAACAAATATTATTTTCTGGGAGAGGGGGAAGCTGCAGCTGCACCTACCCTTTCCTCATGACGTAGCCATAGAAGGAGTTGAGGATGCATTTGTGGGCTAGCTGGAGAGAATCGTAGAGGATCTCCATGTTCTTACAGCGCTTCACCAGGGCAGCGTCACCACTTTCCTGGGCTGCAGACAGCTTCTTCTTCCACACCTACAGTACCACAGAGAGGAGAGAGGGAAACACTTAACACACTATGGACAGGCATAGCTGCTGGAATGATGCTGAAAAAATTGAATGCATCAACAACAACAAAAATCAGAGCCAGCACAGCACGGTTCGGATTGGCACTAGTGTAAAAAGGGTAAGTCTTCCTCCCAATGTCAACTGTAAACTTTGCGTTGACATCCTTGGGGCTAGTTTCTAGTGGGAGAAGAGCAAATAAGTTGGTAGCTCTTTGGCAAGTACCTTGTGCAGTCCCTTGAACTCGTAGCGGCGGTCTCTGAAGGCTCGCACGGTGTCCACGTAGAAGGAGTTCTCCCTCTGGCAGATGGTGGTGACCCGCTCCTCCAGCTTGGTCTGACGGACCTTCTTATAGGCCCTCCTGCAGTAGTCTGGGACAGAACAGAAAGCACGCTAACGTCATGAAAAGTCACTGAAACGCACAACCCTAAAGTAACAGTAACTCACTGACAACTTCTGTGCCAATCTAAAAACATTTCTCCCTCTCTCACCGCCCAGGCGTTTCTTTTCGTGGCGGGCCTGCTCCTCCTGGTTGAGCTCATGGAAGGCTCGTGGCCTGCCGTTGGGGAAGAGCGGAGGAAACTTCTCTGATTCCAGCTGCTGCTGGATGCGGTGGAACTCACTGCGGCTGGCCGGCACTGCAGACAGGGAGGAGCAAGCAGGTGAGTGAAGGGAAGAAAGAGGCATTTCCGATTAGGGCGATATATTGAATTAATTCAAATTAAAATGTTTTAGTGCAATATTCCAAATGCCTGTGTCACAAGAATCCATTTTCAAAAAAAAAAATATGAGCGTTTATGTCCACTTGGTTCTCATATTGTCTTTTGGTCTCGTCTCCTTCTGTGCACCTTCCCATTCTCTCTCTCTCACACACACACACACACACACACACACACACACACACACCCCCTGCCACTCACAACAACAAATATGAGAGATCACTTCTTCCTCTCTGACAAGCAGTTTCAAATTGCTATTTGCATTTGAGGTTTGATCCAACAGAAAATCGGTCATATGGACACTGAAGACAGGCCACTTGATTTCAACATCTGAACAAAGTGGACAGGCTAGCACGCTTTTCAAACAGTTGGAGACGGACAGAAGGGTGTGTTCATAACAATTCAACTGTTCTACCTTGTTAGCTAGCAAATGGATCCAAGTAGGCTAAACTATAAAGATTAGCTGGCTACTCACTAGCACATGGGCTTGTGCTTGAGAGATTGTTTATGAGACCTGTGTTTATTTTCTATAATACCTTCTACAAGAAGTTATTCATTATTAGTGCATGGTATATGTGCATTATGCATGGTTCTGGTTATATTTTCATAGACAGATCAGTGATTATTGCAAAAAAAGCAGGTTAAACTATTTTGATAAAATTATTATTGGGTTATGGTTGTGGAAGGCTTATATTTAGCCTAGGTATAATTTCACAAGCCCTGAATTAATTTGATTATTGCTGAATGTTTGAAATGCAGTGTATTTTACCTTGACATTGTACAAAAAGCTAATTTAAATAAAATAAAAATAGACTGATGGGCGATTCACAGTATACTGTAGGTTTAAACAAAACACACATACATACAGTTGTGGTCAAACGTTTTGAGAATGACACAAGTATTGGTCTCCACAAAGTTTGCTGCCTCAGTGTTGATTATGGCAAATTGCATATACTCCAGAATGTCATGAAGAGTGATCAGATGAATTGCAAAGTCCCTCTTTGCCATGAAAATGAACTTAATCCCAAAAATACATTTCCACTGCATTTCAGCCCTGCCACAAAAGGACCAGCTGCCATCATGTTAGTGATTGTCTCGTTAACACAGGTGAGAGTGTTGACAAGGACAAGGCTGGAGATCACTTTGTCATGCTGATTTGAGTCAGGATAACAGACTGGAAGCTTTAAAAGGAGGATGGTGCTTGAAATCATTGTTCATCCTCTGTCAACCATGGTTACCTGCAAGGAAACACGTGCCGTCATCATTGCTTTGCACAAAAAGGGCTTCACAGGCAAGGATATTGCTGCTAGTAAGATTGCACCTAAATCAACAATTTATCGGATCATCAAGAACTTCAAGGAGAGAGGTTCAATTGTTGTGAAGGCGGCTTCAGGGCGCCCAAGAAAGTCCAGCAAGCGCCAGGACCGTCTCCTAAAGTTGATTCAGCTGCGGGATCGGGGCACCACCAGTGCAGAGCTTGCTCAGGAATGGCAGCAGGCAGGTGTGAGTGCATCTGCACGCACAGTGAGGCGAAGACTTTTGGAGAATGGCCTGGTGTCAAGAAGGGCAGCAAAGAAGCCACTTCTCTCCAGGAAAAACATCAGGGACAGACTGATATTCTGCAAAAAGGTACAGGGATTGGACTGCTGAGGACTGGGGTAAAGTCATTTTCTCTGATGAATCCCCTTTCCGATTGTTTGGGGCATCCAGAAAACACCTTGTCCGGAGAAGACAAGGTGAGCGCTACCATCAGTCCTGTGTCATGCCAACAGTAAAGCATCCTGAGACCATTCATGTGTGGGGTTGCTTCTCAGCCAAGGGAGTGGGCTCACTCACAATTTTGCCTAAGAACACAGCCATGAATAAAGAATGGTACCAACACATCCTCCGAGAGCAACTTCTCCCAACCATCCAAGAACAGTTTGGTGACGACCAATGTCTTTTCCAGCATGATGGAGCACCTTGCCATGAGGCAAAAGTGATAACTAAGTGGCTCGGGGAACAAAACAACATTTTGGGTCCATGGCCAGAAAAAAAAACTCCCCAGACCTTAATCCCATTGAGAACTTGTGGTCGATCCTCAAGAGGCGGGGTGACAAACAAAAACCCACAAATTCTGACAAACTCCAAGCATTGATTATGCAAGAATGGGCTGCCATCAGTCAGGATGTGGCCCAGAAGTTAATTAACAGCATGCCAGGGCAGATTGCAGAGGTATTGACTCTTTGCATAAACTGAATGTCATTGTCAATGAAAGCCTTTGACACTTATGGAATACTTGTAATTATACTTCAGTGTACCATAGTAACTACTGACATAAAGATCTAAGAACACTGAAGCAGCAAACTTTGTGGAGACCAATACTTGTGTCATTCTCAAAACTTTTGACCACGACTGTACATACATACAGAATTTTTTTGGGGTCCATATCGCCCAGCTCTAATTAGCTCAAAAACAAAAAACGGTTATAAGTGAGAAGTATGCATTGGTCTGAAGCCAAAAAAATGAAGACATTTACATGAGCACCACAAAGCCTACTCCACCCATGCTCTACCAAGTTTTTCCAGCACACAGCTTTGACCTACTACAGTAGCTATGTTGGTCTATTGTACTTCAAACAATGAGTATGCAGGTTGCTTAGGATTCAAACCTTCTCAAACAGATGTCTAACAAATAAGTAATTTGTGTAAAAACCTTCCATAACCAAATATATCTTTGCCTGTTCGTTAGCTAACTTTCAGATGACTGGTGTTAGCTAGTTACAGAGGCAAGCTGCTGGACTTTGGACACACAAGCAAACATTAGGTAGGTAAGGCTAGCTAGCTATCTCATTTCTCAACATGGTGTTAGAACGTCTGAGCTTCGGCTGAGAAACATGTTAGCATTGTCAGACATGCTTAAAAAAGGAAGCACATAGTTGGTTCTTAAAAGGACAGAAATGGGCACGTGAGAGCGATAAATCATCAAAATGTAAGAAAAACTGTTGCACCTACAAACTTAGTCAATCCGACATGTTTTAAGTCCAATGGTCACTTTATGGACGCTATAGTTTCGTTTTAATCCGATGTCTGGAATGAGCTAGGTAGGTGCAAAAAATATTCAGAAAACTCAATTGCTAACGACCTTGTTAAAATTCCGGTATGACGAAAGGCAAGGAGTGTGTTGTGTACCTCAAATCATGTTGATTTGCGAATTTCCATCGACATTGGTGTTATATTGGCTTAGATACAATGGTAGGGAGATTTGAATTTAACATTGAGTTCAACCAATGCCATACCATTGTGACTAGTTACATCTCTGAAAGACTGTCTCTAAAGCAAAGCTAGGGCCTAGGGTGACATTGGTACAGCAGCAGACCACAGAAGTCAGTCTAAAGAGCTGACCTCCGCAACACACACACACACACACTACAGGAAGAGCTTACTGATCTCCCCCCTCCACTGCCAGCTCATCTTCCTCTGACAGTTGGCCCCCGGCTTGTTGAAATCGCAGGCAGCACACGTGGCCTCGTCAACCATTGCAGAGGGCTGAGGAAGAGACAAGGAACAGAACAGTGTTACTTTCTGGAGTTTTGCCTGACTTTTTGTTAGAAGCCTGACCAAGCCCTTCAAAATGTTGCATGCAATGTAAGTATAGGGGAGAATTCAACATTGTACAGGGTTATCGATTTCTGACACACACAGCTGTGTAGTTTACCTGCAGGCGGTTGGTGAGGATGATGTTGGGGTACATGGCCGCCACGTCCAGATGATAGATGAGTGGACACTCGATCCTGTTGGGGACCTCCTTCAAAGAGATCAGCTTCTTCTTGATCTCATCACACACCTGCAGACAGGGCAGATCAGATGATTTATGGAAAGTACAGCATTTCTTGTGGAGAAAAGAGGGAATGTATTTTCCTTTTACCCGCACATTTTGTGGGTAAATTCTAACTTTCCCCTTTCTTAGGGGCAAACTTTAACAATAAGAAAGTGGATGGTGTTTTGTGGCCCGAGATTGTACATCAAAAGAAGTTGGTAACGCTATAGGTGTCACAGTTTCTAAATGTAAGGAGACATAGGTTGATGGCATGATAATGGGCAGACCACAATGGCAACAAGTCTGACTTTTTGTGTATATAATGCTCTGCAATTTTGGTAAATGTATTGGTTGCCTGGTGTGGCTTCTTTATATACTGCATTTTAAATTGTTAAATCAAATCAAACCTCATTGAAGTTGGTGACTTGCTCCAGGGGAATCTTCTCCTCCTCCTCGATGGCATGACGCAGCGTTTGCTCCACCCGCTGAAGCAGGAAGTCAAATGCAGCTGGATTCTGTCCAACACACCAGAAAGAAAACAGTGTCAACAAAAACACGTAAACTAAATCCCTACACAGACAAATAATGGACTGGGCCGAGCAGTGCCGAGCAGTGCCATACCATTTTGAAGCGGCAGGGGATGTCGCTGCGGAACACGCCGGACTCCAGGGCCTCCACGTGACCCCCCACGTAGGTCTCAGAGTCCATGACGTGGCCATCGTCCGTCAGCTTGTTGAACACCTGCTCCTGCTTGTTGGGGAAGACGATGTTGGCATGGTAGGCCTGCACCATGAGCAGCGCCTCACACAGGGTCCCCGAACCCTTACGCAGCACCTGCACACACAACCACACACACACCAGTGAGCAATAGTCCAATTCCTTTCCCACACTGTCCATGTTTCAACTGACAAACTGATAGAGACAAACCTCATCCGGCTCCATAGGGATGATGGTGCAAAGAGCAAAGATGAAGGGGTGGACGTACTTCATGTAAAGATAATACGTGGCCACGGCATCCGACACAGAGTAAGTGGCCAGAGTCTGGGGGCACAGCCATGAGAAAACCAGTCAGACAACCAAACTGCATCACATCTACACCCACAACCACAACTTGGACTCTTTCTCAATTAATTCATCTTTCCTTGCAACCTCTCTACATGCCTCCTTCTCAAAAGACACTGGCGAATGAGGCCTGAGAGGGGGAGGTAGCTTAGACCTTCTCCTCCAATACGATTGAGAAGGAGGCGAGGAGATCGGATACCAGGACTCCGAGAAAGACATTGAGATAGGACCTATAGAACCACTGCTAAGAGCGGTGCCTGTGTTTGTGACTCCCAGAATGCACCAGCTGACCTGCGGCTCCTCGGTGGCCATGCGGCACATCTCCTCGGGGTCCAGCTCCACTGGGTCATAGCCCAGCTTGGCCTTGGCCGCCGCCTTCAGGTTGTGACTGCCCACCGGCAGGTAGCTGTCACGCTTCACCCACCTGGCACACACATACACACACACAGCGGTGGGTTAGTCAGTTTGTGTTAGTGTGTGCGTATCATTATTTGTGCAGGCACAACACCACACAGATAGCGAGGTACTGTATTATGAGATGCATGGTGGCCCTTACCTAAAGGCATCCATGTGGATGGCCTGGCTAGCCCTGTACTCGCCCTGGTTGTCCTTCTGGAAGCCAATCTCTCTGTACATGTTCAGGCCGTGGTGGGCAGCCCTGGTCTCCACAAAGGGCCTTTTGGAGGGGAGAAGTGGAAGATAAAGAGGGAAATAGGGAGAGAAAGGGAGAAGGATGAGGGGAGAGTGATTGGGGGGGGGGGCAGTTGAGCACAGTAAACCTAATTTAGTTCAGTTGATCAAAGAGTTGATCGGTTGATCTGTCCTCCAGACCGACTCACCAATCGAAAAAGTCTCCGTTGTAGGTGACAAAGATTTGGGGCTTGGTTTCTTGGACGTGCTCGAACCATCGCTGAATGAGACCCGCCTACAAGCACGGAACACAGCATGTCATCAAGTAGGTATGTCTTTATATTGTATGTATTTATGTATGTACGCCCTTAGGCATTTACTTGTCCTTCATTATTGATGCTCCACTCCTTACCTCGTCAGGCTCATTGAACACAGTGAAGGGTCCCTCGTACTCTGGCTTTGGGGTGAACTCAAAGTCCTCAATGTCCTCAGAGACAATCTCTCGGTTTGTGATCAGGTAGCCCTGGCAGGAATTATGAACAGTTAAGACGGCAGTTAAAGAAGAAAAAAGAGCAGACAGGAAATCCAAAGCTACAGATTAGGACTGGAAATGGGACATCCTCAGAGTAGACCCAGATCGGGATGTGCTCTTGTGCTGTACAGCCAACTCCTATGGTCGTTGTTAATGACAACGATGATAAGAATCGGCAAGACAGTACAAAAAGCTCTGAGACCAGGCTGGTCCAACATACCTGTCCGTCGATCATGTAGGAAATCATCATAATCTGGTCCGTTTCTGCATCAGGGAATTTCAGAGGAAGCTTGGTGGTCTCTATGTCAAAAGCCAGCACAACGGGGTCCTGAGAAACAGAATCACAACTAGAAACACTGCTAGGACTGCTAGTCAAGATTGTGAGTTCAGTCAATTCAATTATAAAAATGGAGATGGAGAAAGACCATGGTATCTTGACAAGAAACCTGGATGGCTCAATTAAAATCCCAAACGACTGGAAATCAGTTTAAAACATCAGATTGATGGACATCAGGCAAACATAAAAAATTATTTAAAAAAAGAACATTTTCTTACTGGTCGTTCCACCAGGTCGCTTCTCAGTATGATCTCCGGTGGGTAAGCACTGCCCCTGCATCGAACGTTGTACCAGTGAGCCTAGGGAAGAAACAAAGGACGTGAACGCTAAGTCTTCATAGGGGATTACTGGGGAGATCAATCCCATCATTCCACTGAGCATCCACTGCCTAGCCTGGTCCCAGATCCGTTTGTGCTGTCTGGCCAACTCCAATGGTCATTGTGGCAAGATAACACAAAACGATCTGGGACCAGGCTATCCATTGGCCAAGCAGGAATGTCAAAGGCCCTTACCACGTGGATCTTAAGGTCGATGGACAGGCGCACGTGATAAGGCACGTCGTACTCTCTCATGTCCACTACGTTGTCCATCTGGTCTGAGATTTTCTTGGACATGCCATCTTCATCCGCTGCCGAGACACTGCCTCCCGCCAACGCACTGATGAGCAGAGAGCTTGTCAAAAACATTTATGAAGACCCAGAATAGCAGAATTTCAAGATGAGACTGTACTACTGCACTCCACATCACAGTAACACTTTATTTCACAGCCTACTAGGTATTTACCGAGAAACTACATGGTAACACCATACTTACATAATTAATACCCAATAATTACTTTATTGTAACGAATACCAGGAGGTAACCATTTTCCCCACCAAGTTATTAACTCTTAAATACTTTCAAATTATTACCAGAAAGCACCAAATGTTACCAAGTATTTTCACATTAAATGCTGGATAAATAACAGTGGCAATAGGGCTGTAAAATAAAACGTTTACCAAAATCACAACGTCAGTCTGCTCCTCCTAAGTTGTAAGACTGGTAGAGATACTGTACCTTGATAACATTGAGGTGTAGGTATCGTTGGACTTCTCCCTCTCCCGATTCTTGCGCACCGCCGGCGAGATCTCCCGTTTGACCTTCATGAGGTCATCCACAGTGTTGAATGAAAGCTTGATGTAGTTCCTCTTCAGTCCCACCAGGTGATTGGGCTATGGAGAAAGGACATGTTTATCCGACAGTAATACTGGATGCCATCTCCCAGAGGTCGATGCCTGAGCCAGCGTGGACGTTGTTGACGTCATCACGTTTTATTAAATAAAACCCTGTGTGTTTATGCTAGAGACGTCCTGCTGCAGCATAATCCACTGAATCTGCTGGTATAAGCCATTTGCCTATGTGGTGTCAGCGCATGCGTTTGTCAGAGATGACAGAATGCCGAAAAGTCCAAACAGTTTGCGCTAGAAACTATTTGGACCCTCACGAATGCAAACATTTTTGCTCTACGATGCCCACAAACTTCACGGGACTCGTCTCAAGTTGCGGACGCCGACGTCCCAACTCCAAACAGGTCTTCTCACAAATGGTCTGAACGGTTTGAGCTACTATCGAAATAATACATCGAAAGCTGAGACTCATGAACACGAAAGTGTTATCTGTTTTGCTCTACGATGCCTACATGCTTCACAAGACTCGTCTGAAGGTAACCCGGTAATGAGCGATAAAAAATGACTGAAAATTAATAGGTTTTTTAACACATGTAACTTTTTTGGTTCTATTTGAGATGCTCAACGCACTGCAAGACCCCTCCTTATTGGATATCAAAAAGATATAAACCCACATGGATGCTTGAAAAACAAACGAGGAGAGATACATCACATACTGCATAACTAAACACTAACTAGGTTTCCCTTTTTATCTGTGGATTAATCGTCGGAGTAGAGAAAGACACGACTCCTGGTCAAAATTATACACAGAATCTGCTAAAAAGAGGACCATATGCATGTCAGGTAAAATACTAAACAATAACAACCCAATGTTCATCCAGAACAAACTAGGTAGCAACAGCTAGCTAGCTAAAATGTCAATGACTGTTTCATGTGTTTCAACCTGCCCCAAAAGAGGGTTAATACAATTACACATTGATACAGACCAGGGCCGTATTCATAAAGCTTGTCAGTAGGAGTGCTAAACTTCACTTGGATCAGTTTACCCTTGTAGGTCATAATGAATAAGATTAAATTGAACATGCAGAACCTAGATCAGCCCTCACTTTATGAATACCGGCCCAGACGTCATCTTGGAATGATCAGATGAGCTCAATGACCGTATACGTCCATTATTCCTTGACTTGTCTATTTCTAAATAGGCTATGGTTAAGTTTCTCACCAGATCCAGGTCCTCCTTAGGGAGCATCTCCAGCTTTGCCACCTTCCCTTGGAACTTCTTGGACAAGAATGAGATTACTTCTCTCTCACAGTTCTGGATGGGGCACACGTGGTCGACGTTGTCATTCATATGAGAAGTAATAATGCCTGTTCATTTAAAAACGAGTACCTGGTCATCCCTGACTTACCTTTTTAGTGGCTATGTAGAAATAGGGCTTAAAGGGGAGGGCCACCTACAACAAAAGGAAAGTGAAAAAGGAGGAGATTGCAGCAGCTGAACATAGCCATTGGGATCAGTCTTTCACTAGTGTTTATATGAGGTGCTCAGATCCTCACCTTGAACCTGCTGCCATCTTCCTGGATGAAATAATAGTCCACAGCGCTGACCATCCGTTTGTCATCGTCCAGAATTTCTGTCTGAGATGGGAACAGGAGGATTAGATATTGACAATAGTCACATTAAGATGAGATGATCAAGCCTTGCTAAAACATTTATTCAATTCAGGCACAAGAACAAGACATGTATTATAAATACGATGTCATCAGGACCGTGACCTTATTTGTCTATGTAGGCCTAAAAAAGAGTCTTCCACAATGCAATCCCCAATTAAACTATAATAAAAATAGCCCATCAAATATATGAAGCTAAATGACAGCAGGTCCTGCTTAAAGTCATCCTGATCAACTGCTTTCCAGAGCCCACTCTGGTCTGCCTGATTGACCTACAGGGTGCATGTTGATGAGCCAGCCAGTCTTCTCTCCTGGGTCCTTCATCCTCTCGAACCCGAAGCGGGTGTCCATCTCGTCGGTGAACTGGCTGCGCTCCAGCCGGATAGCAGCCGACATGGATGACCGGTCATCCCTACAGAGGAGAATACATAACATCAGACATATCAGTACATGCCGTCCACAACATTGAAAAAAGCAGTGTGACTGCATTGTGTATTTGTAATTAACTAACTAGTGAACTATGCATTTAGCCAGCAGCACGGCTGGGGTCAATTCGAATTGAAGGCAGTCAATTCAGGAAGTGATTTTAATTAAAAAATAATAACTTCTACTCCTAAGTTTATTGAGAAGTCATTCAAAGTAGATGCAGTTTTTTCAAATTTTGAATTGTTATTTAAGTTTACTTCCTGAATTGACTGCCTTCAATTCGCATTGACCCCAACCTAGCATCTAAAAACGGGATTTAATAGTTTCTTGTTCACTGCTCGGCAATTCTCCAATCGGAATCGTCTACAACTTCATGCATGTAGCTAGCTTCAGAGCGGGACATGCTCCTATCAGGTACCAATTATTTATGGTACAGGCATTGGACCATGACTTAGCTATCGCTATGTAATGACCTCAGATCTTGTCTCTTTAAGTAAGTAATTAATCAGAGGTCTAATATTGGGCAAACCCCAGCCCTGCTAAGCAGAGATATTTTGTTGACATGTGAATTGAAACTTGCATGCAGCCATTTCAGGCAGTGACTTACTGTTGATTGTCCTGGTTACCCCCTTGTCCTCTCTCTGACTTGTACCGTCCACTGTTTTGTAAAACCATCTTGGACAGGATTCTGTAGGTAACGTGGCCGTAAAAAATTTCACTAACATTCAGTGAAAAGTAGTTAGTGAGAGATATGCAAATCCACCTCGCAAGTGAAAGGTACAGCAAGTTGGCTAGCTAGATAACTGTTAGCTAACGTTAGTTGCCACGCAAAGCTGCTGTGTTGAAAACACAAAATATAAAACTGCTTGCTAACATTTGCAAATGGTTGGCATATGGCAAACTATTTCTCTCTGTACACCCAATTGAAAATCTAAACAAACAAAGTCGTTCAAATTCTCATTAGCTAGCCTAGCAGGCTTTGACAGATGTCTGTGTTGTTCTTTGCGAGTCAGAATTTGGCGCGTTCTCTCCTCTTGCCGCGAGAATGTCTGGGAGTGGTCAAGTCAACGCCTCTGCGGATGCCCCGCCTTTGGGGTGGTACTTCGCTAGCCCTTCCCTCTCCTCGCCCCTTTGAAATGTAGCAACTCGGGTGCGTTCAGTTCGCTTGAACGTTTGCTACGTTACTGAACGACACGTTTCCCTAAAACGTTCTTGTACGTTATTGGACAGACTTTGAGGTACGTTAACGCCATTCGGTGGATGTGCTGGTGTTTGGCTTGAGCAATCACTGCGGTATTTAAAGAGCAAAGGTGCATTTTGAAACCACAACCGAACCCTCCTTGTTTTTCAACTTGTCGTTCAGTACAGCACTCCTTGTTCAATTACGCGTTTATGTACTGAACGCAACCCCGCTGCAGCAAATCATTTTCACACAGGTAGTGAAATAAACTCAGGAGCACAGATATTTTTTAAATTATCTTAGTATACTCTATTCTTGTCACAAAAATCCATGCACTTCATCCAGGCAATACTAGATTTAGACAACTTCAGACAACTGCCCCTTTATAATATGGGTTTATCATTGATTGATTGATGGCAATATTGTTTGGCATAATAGCTACAAGGTTTTAATTTTGTCACTAATGAAAAACGGATTATTTTTGCAACAAACTAAAACAATTTTTAGCAGCACATTTTAGTCTTTTAGCAGACGCTCTTATCCAGAGCGACTTACAATTAGTGAGTGCATACATTTTTCATACTGGCCCCCCTTGTGAAACGAACCCACAGCCCTTGCGTTGCAAGCGCCATGCTCTACCAACTGAGCTACAGGAGTGTCAATAGCACGACATCACATAGCTAGCTAACATGTTGCAGCATCAATGGGCGGATTCTATTATGCTGAGACGCGGGGCGCGATCTATGGCCCGTGACATGAACGATAATCGAATCCATGCCATGTAACTATGCCAACAATCGTGACCACGGAAATTCAGATTTGATGACGTTAGCCCACTCACTATAAATAAATATACTCTTGTCGAATACATGAATCATGCCAACGTGAGCATGCGATATAGCTAGATATAATAATAGGCAGTAAGATGTGTACTCTTTGACACGTCTCTCAGAATGCCGTGGTCAAAATGGTGCAAGCGAAACGGCGTTTGAACTTTGAAACTCAGTAACGTTACTTGCTAGCAACAGTAACGATACTGTTAGTTAACTCGCATTCAGGAGTGTATTCATTACGCCGATTCTGTTGCAAAACGTTTCGTCTGTTGCAAAACGTTATCCAACAGAAACCGTTTAACGAAAACGAGAGTTTCAATTGGACAAATTCAGGCAGGTCCCTCCCCGTTTCGTTTGGTTGTTCCGTTTTCTCTGTTTGATTTCGTTTGGTTCTGAAACGGTAAACGGTTTATCTGTTGCACGCGTGTGGCTAGTCGACAGCACAATTGTAAGCATCAACACGCACAATAAGGCTGCAATGGACCGTAGAGGTAAGCCTACAACTAATTAGTTAACTAACGTTAGCTGCAGTACTGAACTAACCTTAGTCATCGAACAACAGTTGGCTCTCAAAACGCATTAAGATTGTAGCTAGCTAGCCAGGCTATTCTTGCTTCCATATACTAGTCCATGCCCATTGTCACCACGAAGCATGGTTAGTAATGTTTACTATATATTGTTGCTTATTTTTGCATTGGGGAGTTTAAACTTGTTCAGACATGTAGTCTATGTCTGAGATCCAGGTATATCCATCAACATTTTTGTGTGAAAATTGTGTAGAATGGGCCCTGAAAATGTTTTTGGACTAAATCCAGAGATTGATAGTCTACTGTAATCAATGTCCTATATAGCTAGTACTTTTGTAGAGTACCCCACCTGAAATATTGATGAGATGAGTTTCACGTCTGACCTAGTCTATTTGATGTTTGATAAAGTTATTAAACTGTTTTATGGTCATACATTGTTATGTGCTCACTGCTCTGCTATCTATCTACTCAAGCATGTCAGAGGAAAGGATATATTAGAAATGGCCCGCCAGCATTCTGAGCCAGGAGCCTATTCACTTTGAAGGTCAAACTTGGCAGAGAAGATTATGCCTTTTTGTAAGGAAGGTGAGGATAGCAAGGATGTCTTGCTTTACTGATTTTATATGTGACATGGTATCACGTGGTCCTCTGTAGCTCAACTGGTAGAGCACGGCGCTTGTAACGCCAAGGTAGTGGGTTCGATCCCCGGGACCACCCATACACAAAAAATGTATGCACGCATGACTGTAAGTCGCTTTGGATAAAAGCGTCTGCTAAATGGCATATTATTATTATTATTATTATTTGGCCCTTTAATCCTATGCTTCATCCTATACCACAGTTGTTGTTTACATGACTTGCCTGTCCCTGTCCCTCTCCCTCCCCACTCCATTCCCTCACTGCTGACCTTTCCCCCATATGGCACAAGGACAGCTGTCAGCCGTGTTCATGTGAATAAAACCTACTCGTGAATAAAACCCACTCTGCTCTCTCTCCAGCTGCCAGAGACCGGTTGTTTACTGGTCACAAGGTAGTAGTGAAGGCAAAGCCTGCCTCGCTCCGCCGTACCATGTAGCCTAGTCCCCGAAAACACTGCAAAAGTTTTCCCCTGAAAATGATTCCATTTGGGTTGTTTATACAGTAATTTACAGGCTACCTTGTGCACTGTCAAGACAGCATATTTGGCTGATTGTTGTTTACAGCCTATTTGTGTCTAGTGCTTTTAGACTGTCCTTTTCATTATGAGGTAGAAGTTGCCCTTTACCACAGATCTAGGATCAGATTACCTTACTCCCTGACCTTAACAATTAGCAGGATAAAGAACTAAGAAGATATCTGACCCTTGACCAGTAGTTGTGGCAACCTCCACGTAGTCAGTTCTCTCTGTGTAGTGTTGGTAAAGCATTGAGAGAAAGGCTAATCCATTCAGATTGTTTATCTGATTTTCTACAAGGTACACTATATATACAGAAGTATGTGGACACCACTTGAAGTTAGTGGATTCGGCTATTTCAGCCATACCCGTTGCTGACAGGTGTATAAAATCGAGCACACAGCCATGCAATCTCCATAGACAAACATTGGCAGTAGAATGGCCTGACTGAAGAGCTCAGTGACTTTCAACGTGGCACGGTCATAGGATGCCACCTTTCCGACAAGTCAGTTTGTAAAATTTCTGCCATGCTAGAGCTGCCCCGGTCAACTGTAAGTGCTATTATTGTGAAGTGGAAAGGTCTAGGAGCAACAACGGCTCAGCCGCGAAGTGGTTGGCCACACAAGCTCACAGAACGGGACCGCCGAGTGCTGAAGCGCGTAGCGTGTAAAAATTGTCTGTCCTCGGTTGTGACACTCACTACCGAGTTCCAAACTTCCTCTGGAAGCAACGTCAGCACAAGCTTCATGAAATGGGTTTCCATGGCCGAGCAGCAGAATAATGGTCTGGGGCTGTTTTTCATGGTTCGGCTAGGCCCCTTAGTTCCAGTGAAGGGAAATCTTAACACTACAGCATACAATGACATTTTGTGCTTCCAACTTTGTAGCAACAGTTCAGGGAAGGCCCTTTCCTGTTTCAGCATGACAATGCGCCTGTGCACAAAGCGAGGTCCATACAGAAATGGTTTGTCGAGATCGGTGTGGAAGAACTTGACTGGCCTGCACAGAGCCCTGACCTCAACCCCATCGAACACCCTTGGAATGAATTGGAACACCGACTGCGAGCCAGGACTAATCGCCCAACATCAGTGGGGTGGGGGGGGGTGGGGGGTCTTATGAATGCCCATGATTTTGGAATGAGATGTCCACATACTTTTGGTCATGTAATGTATTTTGCGTATGGTAACAGTTGCTTGTTCACTTTACTGAATTCCTTACATCTGAGGCAGTCACATAATTAATTTTGAATCAATATTAATTTTCTTATGATAAGAGTTTGTACAGTGAGGGCATTTGGATCAGAATTATACAGCTTAGGTTAATTATTTATTTTCATGGATTTGCAGTTTCAAGAGGATGTCTGTGAATGCTCCCACTTCTACTCTCGGGATTACTGCTCATATTGTGGCTACTCTGGAGGATTAAGGTGAAGATGATGATGGACAAAGGTGGGGAAACTCAGACTGGCTGTGGAAGCCCTGCAGCTGCAGCACAGGAGGAGATGCAAGCGGCCGATGGACCCACTGCAGCTGCACCCACCCTTGCTCCTGTTGAACACTCCACACCAATGGGTCTTGCATCATCTACCTCAACAGACAGCGAGGCCAACAGTCCCCAAACCCACATTGACCCCCCTGAGGGATCCATGATACCCAGGGCAGGGGGTTCCCAGCCTCCTCAGGCCTCTTCAGAGGGGATGACAGGGCAGTACACACAGCCCCAACCTTCTCCCTTCGTCGTCCCTCAACCTCCCAGCAGAACGACCAGGCCCAAGCTCAGCTCAGGCCCTGAGGCTCGACGAGCCTGCCTCAAGTTCATCCTGGGGGCATCGGAGGACAATTCATCAGATGATGAGCCACTTTTGACCATGAAACCCCCTACAGGTTCTAGTTCCTCTGAGTTAGCAGCCACCTCCTCCACCCTACGGCAAACTGCATCAGCAACCTCAAACGCCTTCTCCCCCCCACAGCAAGTAACATCAACCACCACCTCCCCTGGAATGAGGTAGGCCATTGCAATGTTGTTTAACTTCTTTGTTAACGTTAACTTCGTTTTCATTATAGAGTAAACCGGTTTAGGCATCCTAATTTTCTCTAGCCTGGTGACATCAGAAATGTATTTTATTCAGAATGTGTTGGTGGTGAATGCAAGTGCCTGCTCCATTAACCCAGTATGAAGAAATAAATGGATCATTGAGCAGATTAGCCCAGATCTCATTGACTAGTGAGGTGAGGGTACCTGTCAGTGCAGTAGCCTGTCACTGACAGCAGAGTGCGCAGTTGCTCAACAGGCGAGACCAAGTGTTGGCCAGGCCAGAGTCTAACTTTGCCAACCACATTGTGGTATGATTGCTGCCCCGTGTTCTGTCTCCACACGACCAGCCTGCCCGTGATCACCTGATCACAGCATGCTGCTGACAGTGAACTGTATTGTTGTTGCGTGCCTCACGTCTCTGCACTATTAATGGAAGTGTCTCTGACTTTGACCTTGGAACCAGAGTCCTAAGGGGCACTCAACAACGTATTGTATGTTCGCTAGACAAACGTTTCTCCCGCCCTTGGAAGTTCTCTGCAAATAAATTAGACTTGCTGTATGTAGCCTTTAGGTATAGCCCACAAGGAGCTATTGTTTATCTTTTTTTGGTGATATCGCGATGGATATGTGGGGTAGTTGGTCAGGTAAGCGTATCTAAGTCTACTTGACGCAAGTTCAGTTGGCTTTGACCGCCCCAGTCCACTCTCAGCCAAGTCTTAAAAGCTTGTTTGTACACTTGAGCCACTTGTGCAGGAATTGCCATGGAGGTGAAACTGAAAGAGGAGAAAGGTAAGAACTTACCGAGAGGTTTTTCATGTTGTTTCAGGAAATAGAGCCTTTTGTTTTCCCGAACATTAAGAAAGAGCATGGGCCTATGAGCAGCACTGACTGACCTCATACTACTGTGTAGGCTTACACAACAATGTTTTGGCAAATTCAGTCAGTTTGCAAAATTGATACATGAAAGGATTAGCCTTCCAAGTTTTTGTTTACAATGTGCTAGAAGGTTACGATAAGCTGTAGTTTGGTGGTTCGTGAAGGGACAACTTGTAATTAACTTTATTGATAATTGATACACCCTGTGTCTGTCTGTGTGTATGAGGGAGATATCAGACAAGATTGTCAAACGTCTACACACACACAAAAACACACACGCACACATAGTCTGCAGTGTTCTGTTCCCGTTCCATATGGGACTGTGGGTGAAGAATGTTTTTCTCTGCCTGTGGGAGGGGAGAGGGGAGGTTGTGGCTTAGCTGACAGGAAGTTTCTGGTGGAGGTCTTATTGTTTTGGTCTCAGATTTCAACTCCGCTATTCACACATCAGAGACAATCTGCCATGGAGGGAGATGGAAGTCTCAACTGGTTTCAGTATCTCAGGTTAGTTCCTTTCTTTAGTTTTTTCATGCAGCCTACTGTTTTTCTATGATTCTTGGACTGCAGGTTTCAGACACAACAGTTTTATTTCTGGGTTTGGGATTTCAGAACTGTGACGATGTCCAGAGAAGTTGTTTACCATGTTGTAGATTGGCATTGTTGATAGTTGGTGTGTCTGAGTTGGTAGACAGATATGTAGTAGGCCTAAACAGTGAATGCTGTTCTATTGATATTGTGGCTATGGTTATTTGTTTGTAACTGAGCTGTGCTGGCCTTGGCACATGTAGCCTCCTATAAAGAGGAAGTCAAGAAAATTCCCTCTCACGATATGCTGAGGTCACGGATTAGTATGGAACTCCCCTCACCTGGTTGTCTTAATTGAAAAGAAAAGAAAAAAATCAGCAGACACTAGGCCCTCCATGGAATGAGTTTGGCACCCCAATTTTAACATGTTGCAGTAGCAATGTTTCCACCGGTGGAATTGGGATGACCACATCTAAAAAGCCCAAATGCGAGAAGGGAACGATTTTTGCGGGACGTTCACGGAACGGTGGACAAAATACATTTTCCCCCATTCTTTTTGCCGACATCTTTGAATCTTAATTTGTGTGAAATAGAAATGTGTTTTTTGCATATCGCAACTTCTCCTGAGACACCCTCGGAGAGTGGGGTCACGGCCAGGCATCACCATTATTGACGGCGACCCTGTAGCTATTAGTTATGTTTTTTGCCTCTAACTGCAAGGCTACCTGCCGCCCTGGTCTCATAAACTTAGGGAGATTTTACTGTCATTCTGTTACCAAACTTTGTATCTGCACTGTTCCTCATGTAAATGTATTTTAGCAACGTTTTCTGTGTCAATTGTTACAAGAAGACTTCTGCGTACATGTGTATTGTTTGTGTAGGGTTTTTGCTTGGCATATTTGAAAGTGAAAAGGTGAGTCTCAGCGTTACTCTGTTACTGTGGAATTGTCCATTATCAGACAGATGGAGGCTATGATGAGTTGCAAGACTGCATCCCTAAAACTAGCCTATCTAACCGAATAATGGCTGGAGCTTGAGTAGTGCACTTTCAGCACAGGAATATGAAACCCCAAAGTACTGTATCTCTTTGGTCTTTTATGACTTCTAGCTTGATTTCCTGCAAACCTACGGTGCTATAGTCTAATAACAGAACAGAACATGCCAGTCACCCCCCCCCCGCCAGGATTGTGACTTACACTGCACGCACGTGTTATTTAGGCACGTGTTATGTCTTTCAGAAGTTTGGCTAGGCTGATAGCCTGAGGGCTGAAATTGCATGTGTTTTTTAAAAATTTGATGTCCAAATCATCCGAAGTAACAGGAAAAAGTCTCGGCACACTTCCAGTCAGATCCAAATGTATTTTAATTATAGCTGAGCTTTCGGTCAGTCGACCTTCATCAGAGCATATCTCCACAAACAATAGTGGGACAGATAAGGCCACACAGCGAGCCAGAGGTAATTGCAGACACCCGTGGTAATCTGAAGTACCCATAAGGCCACTAGGTAGAAATACAGGATAGAACAGAACATGTTATGGATGTATTTCTACTAGAACAAAACGCAGGGAATGTGGTGTTAGTATAAGGAACCCATACTCTCAAAGAGAGAGCAATAAAGCAGAAAAACGGCTTGTGCCCCGATACTTCAATTTTTTTGAAGTATCGGGCCACTAGGGCTGTCATGAATACAGGACACCCTAATACCAGGGAGACGGTGTGCGTGTGAAGCTAAGATGATGACAATAGGAATTACAACATGACCCTCATCAACATCCTCGTAAAATCCTCACAGTTGTAGGGTGCCTAAAGTATGAATCCAGAAGAGTTCTCTCCGGCAGAGTTTACGGTTGTTGTCTCCTCTTGGTGACACTTCCACCTTCTTCTCAATGCCCTGGAATAGTAGAGAAGATGCACTGTGAGAGCACTGGACAAAGTCCAAGTCATCCCAAAGTGTCTGTGTATCTCAATGAAGTTACTTTAAGATGATTTGTGTCGGACATTTTAAAACATTTAGCCTAAATGTTTTAAATGTTAAACATTTAGTCATTTGGGTGAACTGTCCCTGATATTTGATTTCCCTAGGCCTAGCTATAGCTTCAAATCTCAATTGTATATTGAGTACAGATTTCTTCCTGGTCTTGACATCCTCATTGTCCTATAATTAACTTCACTGGAAAGGGTCTGATAAAATGAAAATCCTCTCTAAGCACTTTTTTGCTTTATCCAAGTGGCAGGCTTCCTCTTAACCCTTCCCTGGTACGCTATATCGTTCAGTGAACTTCTTATCGTTTCATTGTGTCGTCTTATGTCACTTTTCAATTAAATGGGCAGAGTTTCTGAATGAGTCCGGCTACTTATTAAGTCATCACGTGATCATGTTGAACCCTGTGATCATTTGAAACCCATATCCATGTTAATCTTAACTGAGTGCAGTTATCATTGTATCCATTATCATGTCTTTTTCATATGAACTTGGTTCATATGAATGTTATTGGTGGTTTGGCACAATGGAGAGATGATAAAATGATCTATCACTGATAGGGTTAAGGTCTTGCATGTGTAACTAGGCTATGTATTTTTGCTGATAACACGTTAACCCTTAATTATCTCTGTGGTCTGGGAAGTCTTGTTTATACGTGCAGTAACTACCGGAGCCACAATATCTCTGACGCAACTCTGAAGGTAACAGAGCTGATTAGCACTTTGTTGTATTGACATCTGTCATATTGTAGCGGAGTTGGAACATTTGTCTATCAAGGTAGACTGAACACCTTACGTAAGAAAAGGCTGACAAGATCTTTGGCTTACAGAGAAGGTAAGGAACTTGTGACCTGAGCAACAACAGCACAGCTGCTACCCTCTGTAGAGACTGAACTTTGTCTGACTGCTGCAATGGTCCATCGATTACCAATGTCGCTGTTTCCTCCTCCTTGTTATGGGTTTTGTCACAGAGTCCGATGATGGTTTTCCCCTTGGGACAGTAAAGAAGGCTATAGCATATTATATGGTGAACTTGCTAGCGCTGGACGGGAATGTTCTTCTAGTACATTATACATTTTAGTCATTTAGCAGACGCTCTTATCCAGAGCGACTTACAGTTAGTGAGTGCATACATTTTCATACTAGTAGTCCTTTACATGCATAGATTTGTCACAATACAGAAATGAATGATTGCCAGTTGCTTGATGTTTTGCTTGAGTAGGAACTAGGTTACAAAATGAAATACTGTAGGTTACAACATTGACATAAGAGGACACAATGAAACTGTAATTTATACTCACTATAACCTACTTCATTGGAAAGGGTCTGACAACATAAATCCTCTCCAAGCACTTTTTTTGCTTTATCCAATAGCCTGTTCAGTGGAAGTGCCAGACTTCCTCCTAACCCTTCCCTGGTAGGCTATATTGTTCAGTGGAAGTGCCAGACTTCCTCCTAACCCTTCCCTGGTAGGCTATATTGTTCAGTGTTTGATCATTCTCGGTAGTGAACTTCTGAATGAGTCTGGCTACTAATTGAAGTCATCACGTGATCAAGTTAAACCCATGATCATTTAAAAACCATTTCCATGTTAATTTGAACTTAATAAAATTATCATTTTATCCATTATCATATATTTTTCATATGAACTTAGTTCATAAGAATATTATTGGTGGTTTGGCACAATGGAGAAATGGTACAATTATCTGCCAATGATAAGGTTAAGGGCGTATGTAACTAGGCTATGTATATTTGCTGATAACACGTTAACCTTTGATTGACTATGTGGTCTGGCAAGTCTTGGTTATACCTGCAGTGTGTAGTAACCTAATTACCAGAGCCACATTATCTCTGAGGCACCTCTGTAGGTAAGAGAGGATTAGCACTTTGTTGTATTGACATCTGTCAGATTGTAGCGGAGTTGGAACATCTGTCAAGGTAGACTGAACACCTTGTGTATGATATGGCTGACAATAGGGCCGGGACGATACCAGTATCGTGATACTCATTAGTATCACGGCAAGGAAACAAAACTTCTTTAGGAAAACAGCCCTAATGTTGGAAACAAACATCATTATGTTGTCATCCAGAGTCACATTTATTTATTTTCCAAGCTATAGCACATCATATTTTACATACAGCAGGTTTTTAAGACGAAAGAGTTTGCTCTGCTTTGTGGTTTCATTTTTGCCATGGAAAACATATTGCGATACTGGTATCATCCCTGCCCTAGCTGACAAGATATTTTGCTTACAGAGAAGGTAAGGAACTTGTGACCTGAGCAACAACAGCCCAGCTGCTACCCTCTGTAGAGACTGAACTTTGTCTGACTGCTGCAATGGTCCATCGATTACCAATGCCTCTGTTTCCTCCTCCTTGTTATGGGTTTTGTCACAGAGTCCGATGATGTTTTTCCCCTTGGGACAGTAAAGAAGGCTATAGCATATTATATGGTGAACTTGCTAGCGCTGGACGGGAATGTTCTTCTAGTAGTCCTATGTCCTACTTTACCGGGACATACTTTACATGCATAGATTTGTCACAACACAGAAAGGAATGATTGCCAGTTGCTTGAGTAGGTACTAGGTTACAAAATGAAATATTGTAGGTTATAACATTAAATATTAGCAAAAAACGAGAGGCATTGACACTTTTGTGCTCTTCGCCAACAACTCGTCTGTTTTCTCCTCCAGGCCTAGCATGTCTCGCCCACACCTGGTGAAGAAGGGTCGCGAGCCCCGGAAAATGGAGCTGCAGAGAGACTTCACCGTGGCCTCGCCAGCCGAGTTTGTCACCCGCTTCGGTGGAAACCGTGTCATAGATAAGGTAAAATGTCCCTGTCGGTCTGTCTGGGCCTTTTGGATGAGTGTCGCAAAATTGTTGTCGCTTACCAAACTCTTCGTCAAGCTACGTGCAACAGACTAAGCCACCAAAATACAGCGTCAAAGTTGTTCTAGGGTATTGTGTAGTTTATTCTCAAACTCTCTCTCTCTCTCATTCTTTCTCTCTCTCTCCATCTCCCCTTCTCTCACTTTCTCTCTCCCCCTATTTCTCTTTCTCAAGGTGCTGATAGCTAATAATGGCATAGCAGCAGTCAAATGTATGCGTTCCATCCGCCGTTGGTCCTACGAGATGTTCCGTAACGAGAGGACCATCCGTTTTGTGGTGATGGTCACCCCCGAGGATCTGAAAGCCAATGCAGGTCAGTGAGACAGGTTTTCGCAGGCCATCATCATCATCATCAGCAGCAGCTCCAGAAGGTTGTTCCTCATTGTTCAATGGAGATAAAGTCTACAGTGGGAAACACCATAAATTGTGCCCGAGTCATTCAATTACTCCATTGAATTAACTAAATCCTTTCCCTGTGAACCTCTGTTTGTGTCTGGCTCTTCTATAGAGTATATCAAAATGGCGGACCACTATGTACCCGTCCCAGGCGGAGCCAACAACAACAACTATGCCAACGTAGAGCTGATCGTAGACATCGCCAAGAGGATTCCTGTACAGGTCAGACTGCGTTCCTCCACCTCCACTTGCACCCACAGAGACATTCAAAATCCCAAATCAAGTCACAGTGTTCTATGATGGGTGGACCGGCGGCCATATTGAGTGTACCCATGAGTGTTCCAGTCAAATTCCCATGTTCTGAGGGGTTTTGTCCAATCTAGTAGTTCTATTTTTATGACTCTGATCTCTGCTTTCTCTATTGTTCATAGGCGGTCTGGGCCGGGTGGGGTCACGCCTCTGAGAACCCCAAACTACCTGAGCTCTTGGACAAGAACGGAATCTCTTTCTTAGGTACATCCCAGCATTAAACCATTTGTGGGTTATTTGATTGTAATGATTTCCCATTGGTAATTTCAGCTTTAATGACATTACAACAGAAGCGCCATTCATTGTGATGTAGAACTCGTTGGTTATTTTTGTTGGTGTGTGTCTCAGGGCCACCCAGTAAGGCCATGTGGGCTCTGGGAGATAAGGTGGCCTCCTCCATCGTGGCCCAGAGCGCAGACATCCCCACCCTGCCTTGGAGTGGATCAGGTGATGTACCCCCCCTGCCTGCACCCTTACCCCCAGACAACCCTGCCACCTTCCCCAACACCCCCATCCCCTATTACATAATACTCCTTACATACAGTATTAGGACTCTGACTGGGTTGTATTTTGAGACTAACGGTTGTAAGGGATTGTCAAGTTATTACTATTACTATAAGAGATCGGGGCACCAGTCCGTTATAGGACAAAATTGGCCTTCTAAGAAAACCTGAGTTATTTTATCAATAACTCCATAAGACTACAACTAGAATATTAGCAATACTTGGTCTATCTGAAGGTATAGTGTATTCTATAGAGCTGTTGGAACTGTCTGTAACCAGAAACAACACTTGTAAACACACATTTATTAAAATATAAAATAAAACAAACCAACAATACACAGGATAAAATGATACAGAATAAATGAATGGGGTTTTGGGATAGTGATTTTCAGTAAAGTATTCAGCTACTGTAGTCAACGCTAGGGCAGCATGGATACAACCCTTGTCAATGGGAAGTAGGCCGAGGCCTGGAATTGAAAGGAGTTGGGAAAGAATGGCTTGTCTGTGGGATATCATCTAAGCTAATATTTTAGCAATAGGAATACATTTTGCTGTTCAATAATCAATACACCGAATCATCAGATAACCGGTTTTGTGACTGCACCAAGAAGGTACAGACAGTTATGGACATAATTTGTTATGAACAAAACCTAACTCAGCCACACCTTCTTTCACACTTGGACTCAAATGGGATGGACTGATCTGAAGCTCGGCCAATCAGAGGTCAAGTACACAGTCAAACCCCTCCCTGGAACTAAAACATAATGTGAATTACTGAAAAAGAGCTGATGTGAAAAGATCTGATGTGATTGGTCGAAATACCAATTAGTGGAAAAAAAATATCAGGATTGGACTGTCTGTGTAAATGCAGCCTCAGTGTCTTTCAACTGTAGCCAGGTCCTTTGGTGAATTCCAAGGCCTACACTCTGCACATCTCTTTGTTGTGCAAAACGTGAAGCGCCTTTCATTGAAAGGTGACCATTTGCCGCTGTCTGCTTTGTTATCCAACTGTGGCCAATGTGGCAGCAGTCTAATCTCAATTTGAATGAGGGGGATGAGGTGAAGCCGTTGAAGTAGAATGGGGAGCCTCCCATAGATATCCTATTAAATTACTAGAGTGGCTATGTCATAAACCCTCAAAGTTCCAGAATGGGGTGAAAATGGCAGCCATATTGGTCAGGGAGAAATATAAGCCTGTCTGATTGGAATGAATGGCAGTAGAGGCATAATCCTGATTTTACTTATGCAGGAAAATGAAAGGAAGGCAAATGATATATCAGAAATTGTGTAATAGAATTATTGTCAACCTAAAATATTGTCATATAATTATAAATGCAGTTCATACAGGTTCTATACAAATTGTCTGTATAAATAGCCTCTAAAAGATATGTAAACAGCCCATGCATGTCTACATTTTTGTTTTGGAAAGCTGTGAGTGCTATTATATGATACAATATAAGTACTTATTGCATTTATGCCTGCAAGTCCTCTATCATCAACTGATTTCAGCCAGTGTATGGCTGTGGGTTGACTGCATTGTTTGAGTGGAATGCTAGCATATTGGCAGTTCATTTAAAAACAATTATGGAATAATTTCTCTAAAATTGGCAGGCTAGCTAACAAACATACAGTGCAGATAAATTCTTCAAATTCATTATCCCATGGTTGGCGAACTCCCTGACCAAAATGGCTGACCTTTATCCCATCATAAGAAGGTTCATGTCCATTCTAGTATTCTAATTCTATGGGGCGTCCTTCCTGGTGGAGAGGTATCTCCTTCTATGACTTTGGGGATTGGTTGACCGTCTCCATCTTGGTGTTAATTTGAAGTTTGGGAAATGCAGATTGGGAGAAGGTGTCCTTCCTGATCAGACGGTGTGGACAAGGGCGGTGGGGTGCGACTGCATTTGAAATGAGTGTCGCGGCGTGGCTACACGGTCTTGGAAGATTATTCTATTGTGCCTACACAGCCTATTGTTTATCTCTGTCATAAGGATATTTGTCCAGTGCAAGGTCTCATGGTCTTTCTCCTGCCTGTGCTATAGGTCTGAGAGTAGACTGGACAGAGGATGACCAGAAGCTGGGCCACGTGATTAGCGTACCTCCGGAGGTCTACGTGCATGGCTGTGTGCGCGACGTTGACGATGGACTGGCGGTAAGCATCGCCACGCCATCACCCACCTCATTAACGCTGAAACCATAGAGACATCTTTTCTAGGCATCATTCTGTGTGAAATAATGCCCTTTTAAAATGTCTGAAACAATGTATTTCAATGTACTTTTCCCAGAGAAAATTCAATACTGTCGCTATTCGGTTACAAACCAAGGTTCATGAACAGTGTAGCAAACTGAAGAAAAACGCATTGGTTTAAACAATAAAATATTTGATTTTAAGGGTAGGGTTGCTGAATATCCTTTCATCTTCAATGTGCTTTCTCCTTAAAGGGAGCAGACAGAATTGGCTACCCGGTGGTGATCAAAGCCTCAGAAGGGGGAGGGGGCAAGGGCATCCGGAAGGTGGACAATGCTGAGGACTTTGCCAGCTTCTTTAGACAGGTTTGTCTTGTCGCATTGTGTACACACACACACACACACACACACACACACACACCTGAATGCTGATTCTCATTGCTGCTGGGGGATGTAGACCACAATCAGGAAATGAATTGTACAAATTGGTGTTGTCTTCGACAATGTTTAACACAGCATATCTGCTTGTGTATGTGGTTGAACTTGTTTTAGTAAATTATCTAACAAAAATCAATCGATGGATCCCCATCGACTGTGTGATAACGCTCTCGGTAGCCGATGTGAGCAAGACCTTTAAACAGGTCAACATTCACAAAGCCGCGGGGCCAGACGGATTACCAGGACGTGTACTCAAAGCAGGGGCAGACCAACTGGCAAGTGTCTTCACTGACATTTTCAAACTCTCCCTGACCGAGTCTGTCATACCTACATGTTTCAAGCAGACCTAAATGATTGCCACCCCGTAGCACTCACGTCGGTAGCCATTAAGTGCTTTGAAAGGCTGGTCATGGCTCACATCAACAGCATCATCCCGGATACCCTAGACCCACTCCAATTCGCATATCGCCCCAACAGATCCACAGATGACACAATCTCAATCGCACTCCACACTGCCCTTTCCCACCTGGACAAAAGGAACACCTACGTGAGAATACTATTCATTGACTACAGCTCAGCGTTCAACACCATAGTGCCCACAAAGCTCATCACTAATCTAAGGACCCTAGGATTAAACACCTCCCTCTGCAACTGGATCCTGGACTTCCTGACGGGCCGCCCCCAGGTGGTAAGGGTAGGCAACCATACGTCTGCCACGCTGATCCTCAATCCTGGGGCCCATCAGGGGTGCTTGCTTAGTCCCCTCCTGTACTCCCTGTTCACCCACGACTGCGTGGCCAAACACGACTCCAACACCATCATTAAGTTTGCTGACGACACAACAGTGGTAGGCCTGATCAACGACAATGACGAGACAGCCTATAGGGAGGAGGTCCGAGACCTGGCAGTGTGGTGCCAGGACAACAACCTCTCCCTCAATGTGAGCAAGACAAAGGAGCTGATCGTGGACTACAGGAAAAGGCGGGCCGAACAGGCCCCCATTAACATCGACGGGGCTGTAGTGGAGCGGGTTGAGAGTTTCAAGTTCCTTGGTGTCAACATCACCAACAAACTATCATGGTCCAAACACACCAAGACAGTCGTGAAGAGGGCACAACAACACCTTTTCCCCGTCAGGAGACTGAAATGATTTGGCATGGGTCCCCAGATCCTCAAAAAGTTATACAGCTGCACCATCAAGAGCATCCTGACCGGTTGCATCACCACCTGGTATGGCAACTGCTCGGCATCTGACCGTAAGGCGCTACAGAGGGTAGTGCGTACGGCCCAGTACATCACTGGGTCCAAGCTTCCTACCATCCAGGACCTCTATACTAGGCTGTGTCAGAGGAAAGGCCAAAAAATTGTCAAAGACTCCAGTCACCCAAGTCATAGACTGTTCTCTCTGCTACCGCACGGCAAGCGGTACCGGAGCGCTAAGTCTAGGTCCAAAAGGCTCCTTAACAGCTTCTACCCCCAAGCCATAAGACTGCTGAACAATTAATCAAATGGCGACCTGGACTATTTACACTGCTGCTACCCGCTGTCTATTATCTATACATAGTCACTTTACCCCTACCTACATGTACAAATTACCTCGACTAACCTGTACCCCTGCACATTGACTCGGTACCGGTACCCCCTGTATATAGCCTCGTTATTGTGTTACTTTCTATTATTTTTTTACTTTAGTTTATTTGGTAAATATTTTCTTAACTCTTTCTTGAACTGCATTGTTGGTTAAGGGCTTGTTGGTAAGCATTTCACAGTAATGTCTACACCTGTTGTATTCGGCACATGTGACAAAAGTTTGATTTGATTTTATCCACAGGTGCAGGCAGAGGTGCCTGGCTCGCCCATCTTCGTCATGCAGCTGGCCCAGCATGCCCGTCACCTGGAGGTCCAGATCCTCGCCGACCAGTACGGCAACGCCATCTCCCTGTTTGGCAGAGACTGCTCCATCCAGCGGAGACACCAGAAGATCATCGAGGAGGCCCCGGCCACCATAGCATCTTCCACCACCTTTGAGCAAATGGAGCAGGTGAGACACAGAGGGGCTTTCCCTCGTCTTTATGTTCTCCATTTTAATGTCAATTCTCCACTTTGACATTTAGATACTGGTCTCTTAGCCATTTCCAATTCAATATTCCATTTGAACAGTAAAAATGTTAGGGCATGCAACGGAAAATGTTTCACAATGGAATGCCCATCCCTGTTTCAGTCTGTTTTCTTTCGTTTGGTGCCTAATGAACATGAGCCCTCACCCCCTCCCCTATGTCAGTATGCAGTGCGGCTGGCTAAGATGGTGGGATACGTGAGTGCAGGCACTGTGGAGTACCTCTTCTCTGAGGACGGGAGCTTCCACTTCCTGGAGCTCAACCCCCGTCTGCAGGTGGAACACCCATGCACAGAGATGATCGGGGATGTCAACCTCCCCGCCGCCCAGCTCCAGGTACGCTTCAGCCAGAGGTCAGGGGTCACACCCTAGCTATCACAGCCTTGTGGTTTAATCTCTGGTCCTTTGACTTAGTCAATGGTCGCATTCCAGGTCATATTTTCCGCAGTCTCAGTACAATTGCTATGTCATATTAATGTGGTTGTTGAGATGTTATGTTCTGGAAGCCCGAGGGACTGATTGGGGATAGACCATGTTGGGCCTAACTGGGTCAGTTTCCTTTGTTGTAGATAGCCATGGGGATCCCCCTCCACAGGATCAAAGACATCCGCGTGCTGTATGGAGAGACCCCTTGGGGGGACACCACCATCAACTTTGAGGCCCCCGACTGTGTCCCCAGTCCCCGGGGACACGTCATCGCGGCCCGCATCACCAGCGAGAACCCAGACGAGGTGTGCATTCTTAATTCTACCGGGCTTGCCCGCCATATTCTAAACAAGCGATGGCATGGGTTCTGTAGGCTCACAACTGGCCCGTCCCCTCTCCTTGTCACTCGCAGGGCTTCAAGCCCAGCTCGGGCACAGTGCAGGAGCTCAATTTCCGCAGCAGTAAAAACGTGTGGGGCTACTTCAGCGTGGCGGCTGCCGGGGGTCTGCATGAGTTTGCCGACTCCCAGTTCGGCCACTGTTTCTCCTGGGGGGAGAACCGAGAGGAGGCCATTTCGTGAGTTCTTCCTTACCTTGTTGTGCCTTAGACTAGACTATCAGGGCTTCTGATGATGGTTCTATCGACCCCCTAGCCCCTACTTCCTAACCACTCCTGTAGGCCTGAGAGGATTGGATAGGTGGAAGCAAACATTTCCACCCGGCCAATCAGAAGGCAAGGTGAAGCTATTATCATAAGACTTTTCCAATCCTCAGATCTACAGGAGCGACTAGGGTGTATGGGTTAGGCCCGGTTCCATTTGGAATGCAGCATGAGTTAATGGTGTGTGTTAGTGTCTTACTGTACCTGGGTGGTGGTTACTGTGTGGTGGTGCAGGAACATGGTGGTGGCCATGAAGGAGTTGTGTATTCGGGGGGACTTCAGGACCACGGTGGAGTACCTCATCAAGCTGCTGGAGACGGAGAGCTTCAGGAACAATGACATCGACACCGGCTGGCTGGATAATCTCATCGCTGATAAAGTTCAGGTAGAGCACCCTTGTGAAGTATGAATGTAAATCTTAACCATTTCAATCCTGTAAATCTACAGTTGGTAAAAACAAATCTCCAACGTGTGTGGTGTGTTCTCCCCGAAGGCAGAGAGGCCAGATACCTTGCTGGGCGTTGTCTGTGGGTCGTTACAAGTGGCGGACGCCAGCTTCAGGAAGAGCATGTCTGACTTCCTGCACTCACTGGAAAGGTATCACTACTATAGCCCAATTCACATTCTCACTCCTTCTCCCTGAAGTGTGTAATCATTTCTTCCCCCTCATGGCTGAAAAAGTATTGGATTGGTGTATAGTTTAAAAATTTAAGTATTTATATCTAGATTTGTTTTAGGGGGTAGATCAGCTTTAATATTGCAGACAGATTGTGGCTTCCATCAATGTAATTGTCTGCATAATTTCCAATTCCCCATATATTTTTTGGTAAAGATATACAGTACCAGTCAAAAGTTTGGACACATCTACATTGTAGACTAATAGTGAAGACATAAAAACTATGAAATAGCACATATGGAATCATGTAGTAACCAAAAAATTTTTAAACAAATCAAAATATATGTTATATTTGAGATTCTTCAAAGTAGCCACCCTTTTGCCTTGATGACAGCTTTGCACACGCTTGGCATTCTCTTAACCAGCTTCATGAAGTAGTCACCTGGAATGCATTTCAATTAACAAGTGTGCCTTGTTAACCTCTACGGGATCGGTGTCCCGTATGCGGGATGGTTGAGCTAACGTGTGCTAAGTGACTGTTCTAAGTAACAGCAAACTTTCCAGGACATAGACATGTCTTATATGGGCAGAAAGCTTACATTCTTGTTAATCTAACTGCACTGTCCAATTTACAGTAACTATTACAGTGAAAAAATACCATGCTATTGTTTTGAGGAGAGTGCACAACAACAAAAAACGTATCATGGCAACTGATTTGATACATTCACCTCTGAAGGTAAATAATGTACTTACATTCAGTAATCTTGCTCTGATTTGTCATCCTAAGGGTTCCAGAGATAAAATGTAGCATAGCTTTGTTTGATAAAATCAATTTTTATATTCAGATGTAGGAACTGGGTTCTACAGTTTGAACCCCTGCTGTCTCTGGCTCCACACCCACCGCGCCCGGCCATCTAGATGTGTGAAAGTTAGTGTATAAGCTAATGATCCATCATGTATGACATTCTTGGGAGTGTGTAAACTTACATTTTGTATTACCATATCATTTTTGTATGTTCTCTATAGTTATGTACTTGAAAATGTATAAATTGACCAATTCGGCACATTTGGGCAGACTTGATACAAAATAGTCCAGTATTGCAATGCTTCACTGGATCAATCTGAAACTTTGCACACACGCTGCTGCCATCTAGTGGCCAAAATCTAAATTGCGCCTACACTGCAATATTATATTGTGGCCTTTCTCTTGCATTTCAAAGATGATGGAACAAGAAAACAAAAAATGCATGTTATTTGGTTTGTATTATCTTTAACCAGATCTAATGTGTTATATTCTACATTAATTTAACATTTCCACAAACTTCAAAGTGTTTCCTTTCAAATGGTATCAAGAATATGCATTTGCTTGCTTCAGGTCCTGAGCTACAGGCAGTTAGATTTGGGTATGTCATTTTAGGTGAAAAAAAAAAAAAAAAAAAGGTCAGATCCTTAAGAGGTTAAAAGTTAATTTGTGGAATTTATTTCCTTCTTAATGTGTTTGAGCCAATCGGTTGTGTTGTGACAAGGTAGGGGTGGTATACAGAAGATAGCCCTATTTGGTATAAGACCAAGTCCATATTATGGCAAGAACAGCTCAAAAAATGAAAGAGAAACGACAGTCCATCATTACTTTAAGACATAAAGGTCAGTCAATCCGGAAAATTTCAAGAACTTTGAACGTTTCTTCAAGTGCAGTTGCAAAAACCATCAAGCGCTATGATGAAACTGGCTCTCATGAGGACCGCCACAGGAAAGGAAGACCCAGAATTACCTCTGCTGCAGAGGATAAGTTCAGTAGAGTTAAACTGCACCTCAGATTGCAGCCCAAATAAATGCTTCACAGAGTTCAAGTAACAGACACATCTCAACATCAACTGTTCAGAGGGGACTGCGTGAATCAGGCCTTCATGGTCGAATTGCTGCAAAGAAACCACTACTAAAGGACACCAATAAGATGATGATACTTGCTTGGGCCAAGACACACGTGCAATGGACATTAGACCGGTGGAAATCTGTCCTTTGGTCTGAAGAGTCTAAATTTGAGATTTTTGGTTCCAACCGCCATGTCTTTGTGAGACGCAGACTAGGTGAACGGATCATCTCCGCATGTGTGGGTCCCACCGTGAAGCATGGAGGAGGAGGTGTGATGGTGTGGGGGTGCTTTCCTGGGACACTGTCTGTGATTTTATTTAGAATTCAAGGCACACTTAACCAGCATGGCTACCACAGCATTCTGCAGCGATACGCTATTCCCATCTGGTTTGCGCTTAGTGGGACTATCAATTGTTTTTCAACAGGACAATGACCCAACACACCTCCGAGTGATGGAGTGCTGCATCAGATGACCTGGCCTCCACAATCACCCAACCTCAACCTAATTGAGATGGTTTGGGATGACTTGGACCGCAGAGTGAAGGAAAAGCAGCCAACAAGTGCTCAGTATATGTGGGAACTCCTTCAAGACTGTTGGAAAAGCGTTCCTCATGAAGCTGGTTGAGAGAATGCCAGGTGTGCAATGCTGTCAAGGCAAAGGGTGATTTGTTTAACACTTTTTTTTGGTGACTACATGATTCCATGTGTGTTATTTCATAGTTTTGATATCTTCACTATTATTCTACAATGTATAAAATAGGTGTGTCCAAACCTTTAACTGGTATTGTATAGACATTTTTTACAGTGGGGAGAACAAGTATTTGATACACTGCCGATTTTGCAGGTTTTTCCTACTTACAAAGCATGTAGAGGTCTGTAATTTTTATCATAGGTACACTTCAACTGTGAGACGGAATCTAAAACAAAAATCCAGAAAATCACATTGTATGATTTTTAAGTAATTAATTTGCATTTTATTGCATGACATAAGTATTTGATACATCAGAAAAGCAGAACTTAATATTTGGCACAGAAACCTTTGTTTGCAATTACAGAGATCATACATTTCCTGTAGGTATTGACCAGGTTTGCACACACTGCAGCAGGGATTTTGGCCCATTCCTCCATACAGACCTTCTCCAGATCCTTCAGGTTTCGGGGCTGTCGCTGGGCAATACGGACTTTCAGCTCCCTCCAAAGATTTTCTATTGGGTTCAGGTCTGGAGACTGGCTATGGCCACTCCAGGACCTTGAGATGCTTCTTACGGAGCCACTCCTTAGTTGCCCTGGCTGTGTGTTTCGGGACGTTGTCATGCTGGAAGACCCAGCCACGACCCATCTTCAATGCTCTTACTGAGGGAAGGAGGTTGTTGGCCAAGATCTCGCAATACATGGCCCCATCCATCCTCCCCTCAATACGGTGCAGTCGTCCTGTCCCCTTTTCAGAAAAGCATCCCCAAAGAATGATGTTTCCTCCTCCATGCTTCACAGTTGGGATGGTGTTCTTGGGGTTGTACTCATCCTTCTTCTTCCTCCAAACACGGCGAGTGGAGTTTAGACCAAAAAGCTATATTTTTGTCTCATCAGACCACATGACCTTCTCCCATTCCTCCTCTGGATCATCCAGATGGTCATTGGCAAACTTCAGATGGGCCTGGACATGCGCTGGCTTGAGCAGGGGGACCTTGCGTGTGCTGCAGGATTTTAATCCATGACGGCGTAGTGTGTTACTAATGGTTTTCTTTGAGACTGTGGTCCCAGCTCTCTTCAGGTCATTGCTCAGGTCCTGCCGTGTAGTTCTGGGCTGATCCCTCACCTTCCTCATGATCATTGATGCCCCACGAGGTGAGATCTTGCATGGAGCCCCAGACCGAGGGTGATTGACCGTCATCTTGAACTTCTTCCATTTTCTAATAATTGCGCCAACAGTTGTTGCCTTCTCACCAAGCTGCTTGCCTATTGTCCTGTAGCCCATCCCAGCCTTGTGCAGGTCTACAATTTTATCCCTGATGTCCTTACACAGCTCTCTGGTCTTGGCCATTGTGGAGAGGTTGGAGTCTGTTTTATTGAGAGTGGACAGGTGTCTTTTATACAGGTAATAAGTTTCAACAGGTGCAGTTAATACAGGTAATGAGTGGAGAACAGGAGGGCTTCTTAAAGAAAAACTAACAGGTCTGTGAGAGCTGGAATTCTTACTGGTTGGTAGGTGATCAAATACTTATGTCATGCAATAAAATGCAAATTAATTACTTAAAAATCATACAATGTGATTTTCTGGATTTTTGTTTTAGATTCCGTCTCTCACAGTTAGTGTACCTATGATAAAAATTACAGACCTCTCTACATGCTTTGTAAGTAGGAAAACCTGCAAAATCGGCAGTGTATCAAATACTTGTTCTCCCCACTGTATATATTTTAAAATATATTTTCCTTTTATTATTTTCCGCTAACCCTACCACGTCTCCCCTAATTGGAGTAAACTAATGGACAACAACACTTAGGCTTCTACTTCCAGTTTATACGTACTGTATACATTTTATGGACAGTATATTTTACAATAGTTATCTTTTGTTTTTAGTCCCATCCTTCAGCTAGTTAGATCGAGTGTCTATCTACCATATTTCTTACACCAATCCAATGCTTTTAAATCCTTTGGGTGGACACCGGTACGAAGCAAGAGAATCTCAATGTCTCCCTAGCCTGTCTTATTACTGTAATGCTTGTTCTATGTACACTTTTCTAAATCCAGTATGTGAAATGTCCTCCTGTAGAGGCCAGGTGCTGCCTGCAGCCAGTCTGCTGAATACTGTTGATGTGGACCTGATCTACGAGGGGGTCAAATACTGCCTCAAGGTAGGAGGACCTCATTACACCTCTCTCATTCTCTGTCATGGCTGAACTTCCTCATTCTCTCAGGGACGAATCCTAACCAGTCAAAGTCAAATTTTCACTTAGTCTCCCATTGACATCAATGCATGACTAAGTGAACATTTTGTTTTAAGAGGAAGTTAGGATCCGCCCCTCAGACCTATCAACCAATTCAACTCCAACTGTGTTTTATGACTGACAGGTAGCTCGCCAGTCCCCCACCACGTATGTCATCATCATGAATGGCTCGGACATCGAGATCGACGTCCACCGGCTGAGCGACGGCGGGCTCCTGCTCTCCTACAACGGCAGCTGCTACACCACCTACATGAAGGAGGAAGTGGACAGGTGGGACTTCCTGTCCAACTCAAATCTGAATGGATGGATGGACGGGCCATTAAGTCAATACTTTGGGAGTTGATGCTCCATCATAAACGTATGCACTTGTAACCCTCTAGCTACCGGATCACTGTTGGCAACAAGACGTGTGTGTTTGAGAAGGAGAAGGACCCCACTGTGCTGAGGTCGCCCTCTGCTGGTAAACTCCTGCAGTACCTGGTGGATGATGGAGGCCATATCTGTGCAGGGAACCCGTATGCAGAGATCGAGGTGAGCAGAGGATTCCATGAGAACATACTGTATGGTTACAAGTTTGGATATGACAATTATATCCTCATTAGATTGGTAGTCAGTCTTTGTGTGTGTGCGCACACGGACTGACTTCTGCATTATGGTTGCAGGTGATGAAGATGGTGATGACGCTGACGGTGGTGGAGTCAGGCTGTGTCCAGTATGTAAAGAGGCATGGGGCGGTGCTGGAGACTGGCTGTGTGGTGGCAAGATTGGACCTGGATGACCCCAGCAGCATCCATCCAGCAAGTCACCCCTTCACTAACTTCTATACAACTCTGGCTGTGTCTGAAATGGCACCCTATCCCCTATATACTGCACATGGCCTATATAGGGAATAGGGTGCCATTTCAGACTCAGCCTTTAATACAGCTATTATAGTAGGCAGCCTTTCATGAAATATCACATAATACAATACAAATCACATAGTACAAAAAATTATGCTATACGTTTAAAACATACATCATGTAAATCACACGCCTTCAGTCAGTCAATAGCAGGGACCCTATGACTTGGTGGTCAGTTCCACATTTGGAGGCTGTTTTTATCTGAACCCCGTCTTCCTGTGGATCTCCTAGGTGGAGCTGAACACGGCCTCCTTCCCGGCCCAGCAGCCGCTGCCTATCGTGGGGGAGAAGCTCCACCAGGTCTTCCACATGGTCCTGGAGAACCTGGTCAAGGTCATGGCTGGCTACTGCCTCACCGAGCCCTACTTCAGCAACAAGGTGAGGGCCTCCACCAACTGCAGCTGTGCAGCATGTACCAATACAGGGGCATACGGTGTTATTCCAGTTTGTCATTATTAGCAGATGATCAGATCTCACAACACCCCAAAGAAGTGCATTAACTTCTCTGGAACCACGTCAATCAAGTTGGAACGCGGGCAATAGAATGGCATGCCTTGTGGACACTGTAGAATAGGGATGTTGGTCGAGCTGTGGGATGGGGGTGTGATATTGGGGTGTGTGATGGCAGTATGTCCCCCTCCCCCTGCAGGTGAAGCAGTGGGTGGGCACCCTGATGAAGACCCTGCGGGACCCCTCGCTGCCCCTGCTGGAGCTCCAGGAGTTAATGACCAGCGTGGCCAGCCGCATACCGCCCAGCGTGGAGAAGGCCATCCGCAAGGTCATGGCCCAGTACGCCAGCAACATCACCTCGGTGCTCTGCCAGTTCCCCAGCCAGAGGGTGAGTGACTTAGCCTTAAGCTAAAGCAAACGCTCAAAGTATTTGAAACATTTCTAATAGTGGGTATTTGAACCAGGGGTTGGAACCGGTTCAGGGAACAGAACAGAAAACTGGAAAATAACAATCATTTTTAAGGAACGGAAACAGAACCGGGAACGAAAGTGATCTCTAGTTTTGCGGAACAGAATCATTATTTTAAAAGCATGGTTACCGGTTAATAACGTTATTTTACGTTCCGAGCATTTTTTTTCAGTCTCACAAATAACGCCAGCAAAGCACTCACTCTGTCACTCAGAAACGTTTCCTTCCAGTGTCTGCCTGCCAGCTAGTTATCGAGGATAGTTAAGGATACGATAGTTATCACGTTTCACATTGGATTTATTAACTACAAAAAGGTAAGATGGGTTTCGATTTCTTGTGCCGCTGTGCACACAAGCTTGTTAGCTAGCTCTGATCCATGGTGTTGAGCTAGCCTCTGCATTGAGCCAACTCTAGCCGCTATTAGCCGCTACTATATAGGAATCTAGCTAGTATATAGATAATTATGTAATTCAGTGAAGTAATGATAGGCCTACTTCTAATAGCCTAAACACATTATAATGCAAATCATATCATGATGCCCAGTGCTTCAAGCCAAGCCTCCTCCATGTCCGCCCATCTCTTTCGCTCTCTCCCCACCCCGCAGAATTTCAGTCGTATCTAACGCTCTACACTTGTCTGTGAGTCAAGCATGTAAACAACTAGCTTGCCCAGTCCATAGAAAGCTGCTCTATCTTCACTGATTGGTGGAGGAATTGAATGTGCTATATGTAAAAACGATATAAACCGGTACCCTTTTTTTCCAGTTCAGAACTTTATTAGGCTGGTCGGAACAGTGGAACAGAACAACAAAAAATAGTTGTTCTGTTCAGAACGAAACGATTGGAAAATAATTTTGGTTCCAACCCCTGATTTGAACCCAGGTCTGGTCTACAGTAGACCTGGTGAATTGGTTTCCCATCCATTTCAGATTGCCTGTATCTTGGACAGCCACGCTGCCACCCTACAGAGGAAGGCCGACCGGGAAGTGTTCTTCATGAACACTCAGAGTATCGTCCAGCTGGTGCAGAGGTCACACTTCTCTTATTTCATCATCTAAATCATCACTCCATAACATACACGACTTAAGATATGATGTTTGATTGGATTGTAATAGTGGGTGGATGAATTTGCTGCAGGTACCGCAGTGGAATCCGAGGATACATGAAGTCTGTGGTGCTGGATCTGCTCAAGTGTTACCTTCAGGTGGAGATGCAGTTCCAGCAAGGTGATTGGTGTTTCACTGTGGATACAATCGAGACAATATCCTGCTGTTTGAGTTATTTTCTATTGCGGTGATGCGTTGTATGACCACATTTTTCCTTTTGTGAACAGCTCACTACGACAAGTGTGTGATCAACCTGAGGGAGCAGTACAAGCCTGACATGACCCCTGTGCTAGAGAGCATCTTTTCTCACGCCCAGGTCTCCAAGAAGAACGTCCTGGTCACTATACTCATCGTAAGGCTAATCTCTCTGTCACTCAACTAAACACCCACAGCTTCGCATCCACTTTGATGAAGAACAATGAAATGAAGCTTAAACATAAATTCAATATAAAGGAAACTGCATTGTGCTAATGTTTATGCTATTTTGGAGGGGTCAACCAACGCAACCTGCAAGCTGTTTCTCTCATTGACTTTGTCACTGGATAATGAAACCACACTGTCTTTTAAGATGGTGTAATGTTTTCAGTGAAAAACACATTGCAGTTTTCCGTAATCTGCAATTGATTGTGATGGGGACATGTTTCAAGTCTCACCAATGCTGATACGGAGTGTGCTGTGTGTCCCTGGTGATGTTTAGGATCAGCTGTGTGGGCGGGACCCCACCCTAGCAGACGAGCTGATGGTCATCCTGAACGAGCTCACACAGCTCAACAAGATGGAGAACTCCAAGGTGGCCCTGCGTGCCAGACAGGTACGTTTCGCAACCATATGTACTGAATGATGTTTTCCCACAACGGAGTGTACCGTTCTTCAACATTCTAAGACCCCCAGTTAGTCTGGTAAGACCCCCACTCAGGTAAGATGATATATGTTATTCACTTAGATAGGCACTACATATTGTAGTTTAGTAGCTTCAAAACAACATACTGTTTATTGATGGACAAGTGTGTATTTTGCAGGTTTTGATTGCTTCCCACCTGCCCTCTTATGAACTGAGGCACAACCAGGTGGAGTCCATCTTTCTGTCTGCCATTGACATGTATGGACACCAGTTCTGCCCAGAGAACCTGAAGGTGAGCATAATCTTTCCCACGATTTATCCAAAACAGCTACAGTGAGGGGAAAAAAGTATTTGATCCCCTGCTGATTTTGTACGTTTGCCCACTGACAAAGAAATGATCAGTCTATAATTTTAATGGTAGGTTTATTTGAACAGTGAGAGACAGAATAACAACAAAACAATCCAGAAAAACGCATGTCAAAAATGTTATAAATTGATTTGCATTTTAATGAGGGAAATAAGTATTTGACCCCTCTGCAAAACATGACTTAGTACTTGGTGGCAAAACCCTTGTTGGCAATCACAGAGGTCAGACGTTTCTTGTAGTTGGCCACCAGGTTTGCACACATCTCAGGAGGGATTTTGTCCCACTCCTCTTTGCAGATCTTCTCCAAGTCATTAAGGTTTCGAGGCTGACGTTTGGCAACTCGAACCTTTAGCTCCCTCCACAGATTTTCTATGGGATTAAGGTCTGGAGACTGGCTAGGCCACTCCAGGACCTTAATGTGCTTCTTCTTGAGCCACTCCTTTGTTGCCTTGGCCGTGTGTTTTGGGTCATTGTCATGCTGGAATACCCATCCACGACCCATTTTCAATGCCATGGCTGAGGGAAGGAGGTTCTCAACCAAGATTTGACGGTACATGGCCCCGTCCATCGTCCCTTTGATGCGGTGAAGTTGCCCTGTCCCCTTAGCAGAAAAACACCCCCAAAGCATAATGTTTCCACCTCCATGTTTGATGGTGGGGATGGTGTTCTTGGGGTCATAGGCAGCATTCCTCCTCCTCCAAACACAGCGAGTTGAATTGATGCCAAAGAGCTCAATTTTGGTCTCATCTGACGACAACACTTTCACACAGTTCTCCTCTGAATCATTCAGATGTTCATTGGTGAACTTCAGACGGGCATGTATATGTGCTTTCTTGAGCAGGGGGACCTTGCGGGCGCTGCAGGATTTCAGTCCTTCACGGCGTAGTGTGTTACCAATTGTTTTCTTGGTGACTATGGTCCCAGCTGCCTTGAGATCATTGACAAGATCCTCCCGTGTAGTTCTGGGCTGATTCCTCACCGTTCTCATGATCATTGCAACTCCACGAGGTGAGATCTTGCATGGAGCCCTAGGCCGAGGGAGATTGACAGTTATTTTGTGTTTCTTCCATTTGCGAATAATTGCACCAACTGTTGTCACCTTCTCACCAAGCTGCTTGGCGATGGTCTTGTAGCCCATTCCAGCCTTGTGTAGGTCTACAATCTTGTCCCTGACATCCTTGGAGAGCTCTTTGGTCTTGGCCATGGTGGTGAGTTTGGAATCTGATTGATTGATTGCTTCTGTGGACAGGTGTCTTTTATACAGGTAACAAACTGAGATTAGGAGCACTCCCTTTAAGAGTGTGCTCCTAATCTCAGCTCGTTACCTGTATAAAAGACACCTGGGAGCCAGAAATCTTTCTGATTGAGAGGGGGTCAAATACTAATTTCCCTCATTAAAATGCAAATCAATTTATAACATTTTTGACATGGGTTTTTTCTGGATTTTTTGTTGTTATTCTGTCTCTCACTGTTCAAATAAACCTACCATTAAAATTATAGACTGACCATTTCTTTGTCACTGGGCAAACGTACAAAATCAGCAGGGGATCAACATTTTTTTTCCCCTCACTGTATTTTTGTTATACTTCCATAAGATCTGAAGGATAATATTGCTTTACTCCTCGGCAGAAACTCATCCTGTCTGAGACCTCCATCTTTGATGTCTTGCCCAATTTCTTCTACCACTCCAACCGGGTGGTGTGCATGGCTGCCTTGGAGGTGAGCATAGTGAATAGCATAAACTTGACATGGCGTCATCCTGATGTAGATTTTAGCTAAAAAACTCCCTTCCCTATAGGTGTACGTGCGAAGGGGCTACATTGCTTACGAGCTGAACAGCCTCCAGCATCACCAGTTGCAGGACGGGACGTGTGCTGTAGACTTCCAGTTCATGTTGCCCTCGTCCCACCCCAACAGGTACCCAGCCACCGCAGACACCAGTTCTCTACCAGTGTCACAAAGCAGCTCTACAACAAACATATACACTACCCTATAATGTCCCAACTCTGGAGTTCAGATTATTTAGAGCGTTGCCACTTTCAATACAAGGCTTCCATAGCTGCCAGTTACAAGTCTTCCAATGCTGCCAACTATCCCCTTATGCCAAAAAGTGACCTGTAAAAAGTCTGAGTTGAGATAGAAGGAACATGGTGGGTGCAATTTGTAATAGACTGAGGGATTAGAAAACAGACCGGAAAGACGGTTAGTTTACAACCTAAAGTTACAACTGTGCCATTATGATAACTCATTCATTCAAATAAAGTTGGTTATACATTGTTAGCTAATTTACTTTTCACCACATAAGGATTTGAATTATGCTCAAGCAATGTGAATGGAAATATTTTGTATATTTGTTAGTGAATGAGCCAATGGAGTTGTATTTTTTTTTTTTTAAATGTTACGTCTTAATACCATTTCTCTGCAGTCCAATATTCCTCTGGTTCTCATTGATTTGCTCCTGTTTCCCATTTCTCCCCATCAACAAGCGAGAGATTCACCCGAGTGATTCACTCAGCTCGAACCAACACGTAATCCACTCTACTCTACATGCTCAGCATCTCTGAGATCATGTTGTTCAGTCTCTATACTGAGAGCGCTAATAGGGCCTGTAAACCCTGGTCATGGTACAGTCTGTGTGCTGCTTCCTTTTGTGCAGAGCGGTAGACCATCTCTGTCCTTCCTGACACCCCATAACCCTCTCCCCTTTGGGACAAGCCCTTCAATGTAATCATTTCCCCACTGCCATTTTGGGGCAAACCGTCAGACAGAAGTAAACTATTGGGATTGACTCCCAAGATGCCAAAGCTCCAATTCCACAAACCAGGAAACTGACTTCTGTTTTGGTTTTTACATTTTCTTAAAGATTGTTTTTTAAAAGAGATTTTCACAGTTGCGAAAATTCAATTCACTGAAAGGCTTGACTTTCAGCTTTCCCCTCGGCTCTGTCCTGTTTTGTTAGAAGTCAGGTTTCGTAATTGCAACTTGATAAATCACAATGGATCTCAATCACACCCAGTAGTTAAAATAAAATTACCCATTTGCTACTTTCAACTTTTTAACTTCAGAATGATTTTTCATGGTAATTATTAATGTGTGCAAAGCTAGAGTATGTCATAAAGTGCTTTGTTAACTAATAAGAATGCATTGTGGTCGAGGTTGATCATCCACTGCTTACATTCACCTGTCAATGATCTGATTTCAGAGGGAGCAGCCCTACTCTGAACAGGTAGAGTACAGCTCCTCCTTCCAGGCAGCCTGCCACACTGTGTCTGGCTCCGTCTGTGTATGTCTCCTAGCAATGCATGGCTGAATGCACTGTTTTGCTTTTCCCCATCTTTTTTGAAAACCATAAACCTCTGCTGAGGGACTCCAACACGTCCTTCCTAATTTATATATCTTTTTTTTATTTTTTTTGCCTTTCTCAACTTTCATAGAGATAAGTAGCTTTTGAGAAGCACATTTACTTTGTCTGACCTACTGTTTGCAATGTGCGTTTTAAAACCTTTTTTTGTGACAAAAAGCGGATTCTGTATTCTTCAGTTGCAGATTTGACCCTCATAGGCCACTATAGTAATCTGCCCTGCCTCTTTCAATCAATCATAATCAGTTATACACAATCAGTCAGTCAGTTCATATCAAACGTATTATCAAACAAAACATGTCTAGTAAACAAAGATATTGCTGTCTCTTATGCTTTGTGGAAAGAAAACAGGTACAGTATGCTATACCATTGCTCCCAGTACCCACCTCAACCCTACCCAGGAGTCACCAGTGTGTCGTCCCTTCCCTCAGGTTGGCGATGCAGGTGAACAGTGTGGGACAGTTTGAGATGAGGCGGCAGGGTAGCGAACTCTTCCTAGATGGGGCGCTCTCTCCCCCCTGTCAGCGCATGGGGGCCATGGTGGCCTTCCAGTGTTTCGAAGACTTCAAAAGGTAAAAAACACAGAGAACAACTCTTGGATGTCTGGTTTGCATGGTAATATAGGGTAATAATAAGCCTTGTCCTGACCTGAGGCCAGTTCAACAAGGCTTCTGTTTGCAGTGAACTTGTTGCCAGAATGACAATTTCAGTTGAACGATTTGAATAAACATTCCAAAATGTTATGGTGGAACATCAAACAGCTACTTTCTGGAAGGATTACTGTGGCTTTCTAGCGACAATATTCAAATTGAAAACGACTTAGCTATTCCTACTAAATATACTAGAATGTCTACATGGCCACCTGATTATTTTTAGCGGCAGTTTAGACCCGAAACAGACACGTTCGTCGCACACAATCTTCTCAGACTGTTAGCTAACGTTAGCGAACGGTCGCGGCTAACACAAAACAAATGGAATATTAGGTGTGTGTCCATCTGCTGGGTGTGTGTGCAGGAACTTTGATGAGGTCATCTCCAGTTTTGCTGACCCGCTCCAGGAGAGCCCGCTTTTCCCCGAGTCCTGCTCCAGCCTCTACGAGGAGGATAACTGCAAGGTGACCATGTGATGGGATCGTGTTAGAGGCTTTATGGAACTTTTGCTTCAGGGGGTGCTCTTGAGCCACAAAGGGTCCACTAAATAGACATAAATATTGTCCAGAAATTACCTCATTAGAACAAAATAAAACTAATGATTTGTGTGGTTTCATGAGATAAGAAATGTATATTATATAATATTGATATCATCTTTGCATATGAACTATACAGCTAACATCTCATAGAGTATCTTTTAAGAGTATAATTTGGTATACGAGGTGAAGGCTGAGATTTCTCACTAAGCTGTGATTGATTATTTCCCTTGCGCTCCAGCAGAACATGAGGGAGAACCCAATCCACATCATCAATGTGTCCATCAAGTCAGCGGACACAGAGGATGATGATACCTTGGTCACAGCCTTCGCTGCCTTCGCCCAGTCTAAGGTCAGCAGCATGGTTCATCCCACCAAACTCTTACAGTATAATTATGGCTGGGCTTTTTCTCATAGGGGTGAATCCTATCTTCTGCTCATGTTGAATTTGAACTTAGTCTCCAATTGACCTCAACACATGATTAAGTGAATATTTGACTTAAGTGGAAGTTAAGATTCACCTGTTCATTCTTATCCCAGTGTGTCCTATGATTTCTGCACTAGGATTATACTTGATATGATCATTTCTTATTACAGAAAGATGTACTCTTTGACCACGGCATCCGAAGGATCACGTTTTTAGTCGCACAGAGGGTAAGATGTTTCTACAAGACCATTTGAAATAGCCTCGTACGACCATCCAGATCTCGCAAGCTTACATTTATTTTACGTGGAATCCATGTGTAAGCTCGCGAGATCAAGATTGTCGTACAAGATCAGGATTGTCGTACGAGGCTACATTTGAAATTCCCTTTGCTGTTGTTGAATACAACTGTGAGTAGTGCTCCGTCATCGCTTACCACTAATCTTACCATTAATCTTACTATTAACTTATTTTTAATCTACTTTGGATTTACTATTAATATACTATTAACTTAATATTAACTTACTATTAAACTATGGCTAATAAAAGCCGGGTCGTTCCATTAGTGCACACCACAGCAAAGGATTTTGCAACGGAAAACGAAAACGAGCGTTTCTTATTGGACAACTTCAGGTAGTCCCTCCCTGTTTCCGTTAATTTTCTTGCGTTTGGTGCCTAATGAATACGACCAAGATGAGTCTAATTTTCCTCTTTGATTTTTACCAGAGGGAATTTCCCAAGTTCTTCACTTTCAGAGCCAGAGACGGGGTAAAAAAACTACTTCTTTACAAAAAATTGTTTTCACAATAACCAGACATTTAACCAGACTGTTCATATACATGAACAGCCTTAAAACACTAGTAAACCCACTCTCTAACCACCTGTGTGCGTCTCTCCCCCAGTTCCAGGAGGACCGTATCTACAGGAACCTGGAGCCTGCTCTGGCCTTCCAGCTGGAGCTGAACCGCATGCGGAACTTTGACCTGACGGCCGTGCCCTGTGCTAACAGCAAGATGCACCAGTACCTGGGCGCTGCCCGCGTGCAGGAGGGCGCCGAGGTCACAGACTACCGCTACTTCATCCGAGCCATCATGCGCCACTCTGACCTCATCACAAAGGTACGGGGGGGGTATACACCAAAGGTACGGGGGGGGGGTATACACCAAAGGTACGGGGGGGGTATACACCAAAGGTACGGGGGGGGTATACACCAAAGGTACGGGGGGGGTATACACCAAAGGTACGGGGGGGGTATACACCAAAGGTACGGGGGGGGGTATACACCAAAGGTACGGGGGGGGTATACACCAAAGGTACGGGGGGGGTATACACCAAAGGTACGGGGGGGGTATACACCAAAGGTACGGGGGGGGGTATACACCAAAGGTACGGGGGGGGGGTATACACCAAAGGTACGGGGGGGGTATACACCAAAGGTACGGGGGGGGTATACACCAAAGGTACGGGGGGGTATACACCAAAGGTACGGGGGGGTATACACCACACGAGCGCAAGAGTGCAGGGGTGGAAGGAGGTCCCTTACAAAAAATCTATTCTAAACAGGAGTTAAAAATACATGTATTGATTTTACTCCCTTACATTGAAGATAAATCATTTATGTCTTGCTTGAAATATGACTTTTCTCTCATAACACTTGGAGCCCTTTCTTTCTCTCTCTCTCTGTCTAGGAAGCGTCATTTGAGTACCTGCAGAACGAGGGTGAGCGTCTTCTCTTGGAGGCCATGGATGAGCTAGAGGTGGCCTTCAGCAACACCAAATGGCGCACCGACTGCAACCACATCTTCCTCAACTTTGTTCCGACCGTTATCATGGACCCCTCCAAGGTCAGTGTGCCTGTGCCTGTGCTCTCTGTGCTGTTGGCTCCTCCATTACAAGTGATTGACGACGATCCATTTAGTAATATTCCATCTTGAAAGGGGCTATGTGGATCCTTTGCCACCAGGGGTGCTCCTGATCCAAAAATGGGTTCCCTAAATGTACAGAAATATTGTCCAGAAATTAACTCATTGGACAGAAGGGGCACACCTGCCCCATGCCCACGAGGAAAATCATATATTGTTTGCCTAACACTAAGCATTGTGTGGTTTCATGAGCTAATTAAAGTGATCAATGTTATCTCATAATGTGTATATGAACTACAGTATGTGTTGCCTCTGTGTCCTGTCTAACCCCTTTCCCCTTTAGATTGAGGAGTCAGTGCGCTCCATGGTGATGCGTTACGGCAGTAGGCTGTGGAAGCTCCGGGTGCTCCAGGCCGAGCTGAAGATCAACATCCGACTGACGCCCGTTGGGATTGCCATCCCAATCCGTCTGTTCCTCACCAACGAGTCAGGATATTACCTGGACATCAGCTTGTATAAGGAGGTCACCGACCCCACAACGGGACAGGTAGGTCGATCAGGAAGAGCATTATAAACTGGCACACAGGCTGGGATCAGCTCACTGGTTTATTGGAGCTACAGAACATTGGCACACAGATTGGTGCACAATGCACAGCCAGAGAAATAGTGTTGAATTAGCAGTGCAGCAGGGTCTACAATTCCTAAATGCTTCACAGGGCATTCATAAAGACTACATAAATCATTTATAAGCACAACCTTCTATTTTAGTTTCTCTATCCGTTCAATGCAATGAGCTGCAGCTGACATCTGACCTCCGTCTCCCCTCTGACCTCTAGATCATGTTCCAGTCGTACGGGGACAAGCAGGGCCCTCTGCATGGCATGCTCATCAACCATCCCTATGTCACCAAGGACCTGCTGCAGTCCAAACGTTTCCAGGCCCAGACCCTAGGCACCACCTACGTCTACGACTTCCCAGAGATGTTCCGACAGGTGGGGTGCCTCTCTCTCTTTCTCTTTCTCTTTCTCTTTCTCTTTCTCTTTCTCTTTCTCTTTCTCTCTCACACTTGCCCCTTCCACTTTTTTAACTGCAGGGGCTTTTATATTTGAATCCGTGTTTTACCTTTTGTGTCTCATAGGCCCTCTTTAAGCTGTGGGGTCCGGGGGACAGTTACCCTAAAGACGTGCTGATGTGCACCGAGCTGGTGCTGGACCCGCAGGACCGACTGGTGCAGATGAACCGCCTGCCTGGAGACAACCAGGTAGAACACAGCATGCTCACGTGGATTGGAACTACAACATATTCTAGTGTTACAGAGACGAGCAGGGCCCTCTTTCTTTTGAAACCCCCTATGCTGTCCCGAAACCCCCATGTCAATCCCGAATACCCTACTTCACTCTCTCTCCCTCTCTCCCAGGTGGGAATGGTAGCCTTCCGGATGCGGATGAAGACGCCAGAGTATCCCGAGGGCCGCGACATCATCGTCATCTGCAACGACATCACCTACATGATTGGCTCGTTCGGGCCCCAGGAGGACCAGCTGTTCCTGCGGGCGTCGGAGATGGCCCGGGCCGAGGGCATTCCACGCATCTACATCTCAGCCAACAGCGGGGCGCGCATTGGCCTGGCTGAGGAGATAAGACACATGTTCCAGGTGGCCTGGATCGACCCACAGGACCCTTACAAGGTGACTCATCACCAGTCACTACTTACCAGTAGATTCTACAGTGTATGTAAGACCTTTTTACAAGGACTATTGAGTTGAGCATGCCAGCTATTGAGTTATCTTCATTAGCCTTGTAAAAAGGTATTTGGGTGTAGGGTTGTAACTTGTAAGGGCATACCATGCTAGAAAGGGGGGAAAAAACACACTCGCTGGAAATGGTCATTTGAAATGTAATTGATTTGCGGCAGCAGAGGTCATGGCAATGCACATGAATTACATTTCTAAAGATTTTTCCTTTTCTGACTTAGCGTTATTCCTTCCTTTTACGTGAATTATTTAACAAACTATTTCAGTGTCTTTGTGCGTCTCCCAAAAGGTTGTAAGTTTTTTGGGATTTAAGTAACGGACAGAGTCCCGATCTGCATAGTCAGAGATCTTTATTCATTGAGAATTCTAAAACAAAATGGTGGTACAATCCTTTTATACACATAAGTCATACGAAAAATCCTGCCCCCCCCCCCCCCCCCCTAGGTATTTTTCCACTATACACATCTTGTAAGCACACACACACTTCGGTTGAGCTCATGTTTTCCTCTGCTATCCTGACCATTAGGTCACACACTGTTCTAATCTTTTACTACTCCTTGCTCGGCCAGGTGGCAAACTTCAGTTATCGCATCCTCACAATATCCTGCATACTCCTCAAAAAGTCTAACAGTTTCTCTCCTCCCTAAATTGGGAGGCCCCTTTATCTTGGTTTCTCAGTTGTCTGTAGGACAGCTCTCCTTGTCCTTTGTTGTCTGGTCTAACTCTTACTCACATTGCTAAATAGTAGCTCAATGTCATAGTCTTTACTGGTCCTACACTTACACATTCTAACACATTTCACACAGTTTCAGGGTGTAATAATTTGTCATTAATAATTAATCTATCACTTCCCTTCGTGTGACACCTCTGGTAAACCTACACCTGGCAAAGTTGATTGTTACCATGTGCTGGTGGCATGGTCTACTATGTTGGGAAGACAGACTGGCGATCAGAAGAGTGGGTGTGATATTGATATTCTCTGTGGGGCATAATGGAAAGGTGTAATCATGTTGTAAACTCTATCAACCTCTACACAGACATGCCCTGTTTCTGTGTGAGCCCACTTTCTTGGAACTGATGACTGTTTGTTTGTCTCCACCTGTAGGGTTTCAAGTATCTGTACCTGACGCCCCAGGACTACACCCGCATCAGCTCCTCCAACGCTGTCCACTGCCACCACGTGGAGGAGGGCGGGGAGTCCAGGTAGAACACGCATACCCTTCACCTGAGGGATATACTATAAAGCAGGATCAATGAGTTAGCCGGCTAACTTTGAAAAGCAACCAGAAAGAACTATTGATTTGATTGCTTATTAAAAAAGCTCAAAATATTAAGGCAGGTTTGCCAGCTAACTGCTTGAACCTGCTTTGTAGTATACCCCTCTGGTGCTAGTCACCCTTATCAACTAGCACAGCTAACAAACACAGTATGTTATCCCAGAGGTTCGCTGACTCTCTCTTTCACTCTCCCCATCCCATCGGCTGGACTCCAGGTACATCATCACTGACATCATAGGGACCGAAGAGGGTCTTGGGGTGGAGAACTTGAGAGGATCAGGCACCATCGCCGGGGAGACTTCCCAGGCCTACGACGAAATCATCACTATCAGCATGGTCAGGAGGACACGTCACATCACCACAACGTGCCTACAGACACACACACACACACACACACACACACAAACACACACAGACGCACACAGACATACATACACACAGACACACACACATAGACACACGTCTCTTTGTCTGGGGTTAGATACCCCAGGTGGTTAGGCATACCATGCTTCATGGCTTATGTTAAAGCCATGGTACTGTTTGTGCTGCAGGTGACGTGCCGTGCCATTGGAATCGGGGCTTATCTAGTGCGTCTGGGGCAGAGGATCATCCAGGTGGAGAACTCCCACATCATCCTGACCGGGGCTGGAGCCCTTAACAAGGTATGTCTCTGTCCCTACTGCTTGGATTCATCATGCGTTTTAAAACTCTTTGAGACTTATACAGGAAGTAAACACAGGCCCACTGTTAGGATAACTATGGAGCTCGTATGTTCAAAATAATATACAGTGAGGGGAAAAAGTATTTGATCCCCTGCTGATTTTGTACGTTTGCCCACTGACAACGAAATGATCAGTCTATAATTTTAATGGTAGGTTTATATTAACAGTAAGAGACAGAATAACAACAAAAATATCCAGAAAAACGCATGTCAAAAACGTTATAAATTGATTTGCATTTTAATGAGGGAAATAATTAATTGACCCCCTCTGAATCAGAAAGATTTCTGGCTCCCAGTTGTCTTTTATACAGGTAACGAGCTGAGATTAGGAGCACACTCTTAAAGGGAGTGCTCCTAATCTCAGTTTGTTACCTGTATAAAAGACACCTGTCCACAGAAGCAATCAATCAATCAGATTCCAAAGACCAAAGAGCTCTCCAAGGATGTCAGGGACAAGATTGTAGACCTACACAAGGCTGGAATGGGCTACAAGACCATCACCAAGCAGCTTGGTGAGAAGGTGACAACAGTTGGTGCGATTATTCGCAAATGGAAGAAACACAAAAGAACTGTCAATCTCCCTCGGCCTGGGGCTCCATGCAAGATCTCACCTCGTGGAGTTGCAATGATCATGAGAACGGTGAGGAATCAGCCCAGAACTACACGGGAGGATCTTGTCAATGATCTCAAGGCAGCTGGGACCATAGTCACCAAGAAAACAATTGGTAACACACTGCGCCGTGAAGGACTGAAATCCTGCAGCGCCCGCAAGGTCCCCCTGCTCAAGAAAGCACATATAAAGGGCCGTCTGAAGTTTGCCAATGAACATCTGAATGATTCAGAGAACTGGGTGAAAGTGTTGTGGTCAGATGATGGAGCTCTTTGGCAACAACTCATCTCACCATGTTTGGAGGAGGAGGAATGCACCTATGACCCCAAGAACACCATCCCCACCGTCAAACATGGAGGTGGAAACATTATGCTTTGGGGGTGTTTTTCTGTTAAGGGGACAGGACAACTTCACCGCATCAAAGGGACGATGGACGGGACCATGTACCGTCAAATCTTGGGTGAGAACCTCCTTCCCTAAACCAGGGCATTGAAAATGGGTCGTGGATGGGTATTCCAGCATGACAATGACCCAAAACACACGGCCAAGGCAACAAAGGAGTGGCTCAAGAAGAAGCACATTAAGGTCCTGGAGTGGCCTAGCCAGTCTCCAGACCTTAATCCCATAGAAAATCTGTGGAGAGAGCTGAAGGTTCGAGTTGCCAAATGTCAGCCTTGAAACCTAAATGACTTGGAGAAGAGCTGCAAAAAGGAGTGGAACAAAATCTCTCCTGAGATGTGTGCAAACCTGGTGGCCAACTACAAGAAACGTCTGATCTCTGTCATTGCCAACAAGGGTTTTGCCACCAAGTACTAAGTAATGTTTTGCAGAGGGGTCAAATACTTATTTCCCCCATTTAAAATGCAAATCAATTTATAACATTTTTGACATGCGTTTTTCTGGATTTTTTTGTTGTTATTCTGTCTCTCACTGTTCAAATAAACCTACCATTAAAATTACAGACTGATAATTTCTTTGTCAGTGGACAAACGTACAAAATCAGCAGGGGATCAAATACTTTTTTCCCTCACTGTATGAAAATATGTTTTTTAACTAAAATACCCCTTTAACCCTCATACTATCAACATATTTTACATACATGGATTACCAACTGGGGTCATTTTGACAAACTATTGAAAACTATTGGAAAAAGCAACAATCATAGCAAAATATCAACTTAATTCTTATCAAAACCTCTTAGACATATACACATTTAAAAAACTGACATATTTTAGCAATTACAATTAATTAGCATTTTCTATCAAATGAAAATATGAATGTTCCCTTCATTAATTTGCAGCTTTTTTCCAAAGTACAATCCACATTAGTACTAAAAAGCTGATTTACCATCATTTGATTGTAGTATCATTTAGTTTTTCAGTATTTTGAAGTAAATATTAATTCTGACATATGTGCCATTTAAAGCGGCAGTACACCAAAAATGTAAATATACTTAATTTTATTGACCAAAGGTGTTTCATCCATTGATCATGAGAGACAATTACCAAAAATATGGCTTAGTTTTATTGATTTACTTACTGCAAAGACAGCATTAGCATCACTTCTAGTGAAACAAGGGGAGTGGTAGGGCTTATGGCAGGATGCTTCTAAAAGCATGCCCAAATCCTCAGTCACTTCAAACCAAATGTTATAGCAACCAAAACACCATAGAAGGTTGCACATATAGAATATTGGAGGATATTATAGGAATTTTGGTATTTATAAAACATTTCCCGTAGAATAACTATATGGATAATTATGTCTCCAGAGAAACCTAAATTCAAATAAAGGTCCTATTTATCAAATTGCTATAGGCGGATTAGGTGTTTTTGGCCGGGGTTTAAAATGACCCCAAAGGACTTTTTTCAAAGTCCATATTGATACAGAAACACTAAACAATTATTTTGATTTATTAAGAACAAGTTGATTGACAAAGTCATGAAAAATATAAAGAATTGAATAAATCACCTTTGGGCTATGATCAAAAATATGACTCTCGGGTCAAAATGACAGTTAAGGAGTCTCATATTTCATAAGTAGTGAAACTATTTTAAATCGTTATAACTGCAATGTACTATAATCCTCTGGATAAGTGGAGCGTTTCCAGTGTCCTTGTTAGTGAAGCTGTTGTCATTACAGGTTCTGGGTCGAGAGGTGTACACCTCCAACAACCAGCTGGGAGGCGTCCAGATCATGCACAACAACGGAGTAACACACACTACAGTGCCCGATGACTTTGAGGGCGTTTTCACTATCCTGAAGTGGCTCTCCTATATGCCAAAGGTACATTAGAAAAAGAGGAAGACCAGATCTGAGCCCGTATTCATAAAGATTCGCAGAGAAGGAGTGCTATTCTAGGATCACATCCCCCCGTCCATATAATCATATTCATTATGATCTAATGGACAAAACTGATCCTAGATCAGCATTTTCACTCTGAGACGTACATTTGGCAAGACAGCCCAAACAGATCTCGGACCAGGCTAAAGATGTCCTGTAACTCAGCCGACCAACCCCCAGATAGGAGTTCTCAGAACATTGTTCTACTCTGGTTTCAGAACAAGCACTCTCCGGTGCCGGTGATCCCACCCAAGGACCCAGTGGAGAGGGAGATCGAGTTCACCCCCACCAAGGCTCCCTATGACCCCCGCTGGCTACTGGCCGGGAGGCCCCACCCCAGTGAGAGACACACTCTGCAGCATACGCAACCCTCTTAACTCTGCCCAGATTCTATTTCCCCTAGCCACTGAGTTGACAGACATGGCTGTCCCCAGTGCAGTATACTGTATATTGAATTGAACCAAATCCAACTGTATTTAAAGTGCATAAAAAAATGCAATACACTTTACATATTGCTGTCAGACTAAATATACTATTTTTGTGTGTGTGTTGTATTTAGCTGTAAAAGGGGCCTGGCAGAGTGGATTCTGTGACCATGGCTCGTTCATGGAGGTGATGGGATCTTGGGCCCAGACAGTAGTGGTGGGCAGAGCCAGGTTAGTGTACTGTATACACACACACACACACACACACACACACACAATATAAATGCTTACAGAAGACATATGGGTAACAATTTCTTAAAACCTGCAAGTACAATGCATTATTACATTTTAAGATATATCATATGCGTGTTTGACCCCGTTATGTCTTATAATCATCTCATAATGACCCTTACTAAATATCAGTCATTTCGAGTCAGTTGAAAAATGTTGATACATAGAGAGACATAACATTTTAAGTGTTATTATGTATGTTTATAACAACTTGTAAAGCATTATACCTGCAGGATATGGAATCACTGACATGTAAGCGCTCCGAAGGCAGACTGCCAACTAATTTGTAACAACACCACAGGTTAGGAGGGATTCCCCTTGGTGTCATCGCTGTGGAAACACGCACTGTTGAGGTGGCTATCCCAGCCGATCCAGCAAACTTGGACTCTGAGGCCAGAGTGAGTGGCTTTGTGTCCTCATTGTATGTTGTGTGCATTAGTGATTATGTAATGGACCTGCTTGTGTCGTATGCCAAGGCGACATGTTAGTAAGCCATCATTCATTTCATTTTGATGCCTTCCATCATTTCGGAAAGGGAAACATGATCTGTCAAGGTAACACAGACTCATTCGACACCTGCAGCAGAGTTTAACATCCCTGTGTGTGTGTCTCGCTCTCTCAGCTGGTGCAGCAGGCCGGCCAGGTGTGGTTCCCGGACTCTGCCTTCAAGACAGCCCAGGCCATCCGTGACTTCAACCGTGAGCGGCTGCCTCTGATGGTGTTCGCCAACTGGAGAGGCTTCTCCGGGGGAATGAAGGGTACTGACTGGCCAACCTGGGTTCAAATACTATTCAAAATCATTTCAAATACTGTATCTGTGCTGGATTGAGCTTGCCTGTTGCAATGGGACCACTAAAACATCTCAAGTGCAAATCATGCCCACCTGGCACTCCAGCCAGACTAAAGCAAACGCTCAACGCATTTGAAAGATTTCAAATAGTATTTGAACCCTGGTCTGGTGCTGACTGGAACACCCCCACTACAACACAGCGTTTTCTTTCTAAATCTCAAAATAATATTGTAAATGTTGGTGTTAACACAACTGCACGTCCGTTTCTTTCTTTCAGACATGTACGACCAGGTGCTGAAGTATGGGGCCTATATCGTGGACGGCCTGCGTGAGTTCCGCCAGCCTGTGTTGATCTACATCCCACCGCACGCTGAGCTGAGGGGGGGATCCTGGGTGGTGATCGATCCCACCATCAACCTTCTGTGCATGGAGCTCTACGCAGACAGGGAGAGCAGGTGGGCCTTTTTACATTGCAGGGCAGCTTCTCTCCAAAGTCAATGTGAATGAGCTGCTCTCTTACTCCTTTCTCTCTTTTACTCTCCCTCTCTCTCATCCCCTTTCCCTCTTGTCTCATCTCCATCTCTCTTCTCATCACGACCTGTCCCTCTCTTTTCCCCTCTCTTTCTCATCCACTCTCCCCCTCCCCTCTCCCTGTTCAAGGGGTGGTGTGCTCGAGGCAGAAGGCACTGTGGAGATCAAATATCGCAGGAAGGACCTGTTGAAAACCATGCGCCGGATCGACTCGGTCTATGCCGGTCTGGCTGAACAGCTTGGTAAACAGCCTGGTAAACTCTTTCAACAGTACCTGTAGTTCCACCCATATGTACAATAGGCATCGTGTTTTCTTTTAGTTAGCATTGTTAAAAAAAAAATCTAAATCATGTTTTTCAAGTTATGTTATGATATTTGAAGGAAACTAGATCAAAGTGTGATGACCAAAGTATGAAAAATGACTGTTGCTTCTATATTGATAAAGTTTGATCAAAATTACTGGTCCCCTCCCCCATGTCAAACACTTGATTAAGGGGACAAGATGACATCACCTTAACTCTAATTTTAATACACCAATGGTAACATGATATTTTCTTACCTAATTTAAATAAGTACCACCTTGTAACCAAAATCAGAGAAGTTGTGTTTGCAGAGTGGCGTGGTTTATATAGCTAGATAGCTACTCAACTGGTGCCAAAATGTGACTGTAGGGTGTCAGCAAATATAATTTAAAGTTGACCCTATTCATCTATGGCAAAAATACTATGTTTCCCCTTTCATCTGTATCTGGTGTTGGCTAGTTACTGGTTAGTTACTGGCTAGCTATGTCTTCAGCCAACATGGAACAAAAGGGGGGTCGTTCAAAAGTCTGACGCAGTTGTCAAGTCAGCACATCTGTCAGTTTTGCTGTGAACCGCATCACAAGAGACATGCCAAACGGGAGATGTATATCTTTTTTGATGTTATTGATGCAATTTCAATATTTCAGTTGCTTTCTGTATCACCAAATTAGCTTGAGATGATTTTACTGCAACACTACTCACTGCATCCAAGTTGCTTGCGTTTCAAAGAGCTGTCAGTCAAGGTCATGAATATAAACTCCCCGCCCACTCAGCCTGTCTTTTCAAACTTCCTGGTAGTTAGTCATGAGAGAAAAAGTACTTTTTAGAATGACTGTTCAGGACCTTTTAAAGTTTTGCCATGTCTAGAGTCCAGTGGTGTAAAAATACTTTAAAGTACTACTTAAGTCGTTTTTTGGGGGTATCTGTACTTTACTATTAATATTTTTAACTACTTTTACTTTTACTCCACTGCAATCCTAAAGAAAATAATATACTTTTTACTCCATGCATTTTCCATGACACCCAAAAGTACTTGTTACATTTCGAATGCTTAGCAGGACAGGAAAATTGTCCTGGTGGCTCACTAAACACAAATGATTCGTTTGTAAATGAGTGTGGCCTGGCTATTCGTACATTTTAAAAACAAGAAAATCGTGCCGGCTGGTTTGCTTAACATAAGGAATGTGAAATGATATATACTTTTTCTTTTGATACTTAAGTATGTTTAAAACCAAATCCTTTTAGACTTTTACTCAAGTAGTATTTCACTGGGTGACTAACTTTTACTTGAGTAATTTTCTATGAAGGTATCTTTACTTTTACTCAAGTATGACAAGTGGGTACTTTTTCCACCACTGCTAGTCACAGGATTTCGTCAACCGTTCAGAAAACAACTGGGTCGTGTTCATTAGGCACCAAACGAAAGGAAACATGGCAAGACTTCCTGGACTTTCCATTGTAAAATGTTTTTAAACATCTTTCATTCTGTGTCCTAATGAACATGATAAGGAGACATTGGTTAATAAATCCTCTTGACTGGCCAGATACACCGGAGCTGACGGACAAACAGCGGCGGGACCTGGAAGCCAAGCTGAGGGCCAGAGAGGAGTTCCTGCTGCCCATCTACCACCAGGTGGCAGTGCAGTTTGTGGACCTCCACGACACCCCTGGTAGAATGCAGGAGAAGGGTGCCATCACGGTAAAAAAAAAAAAACTTCCCTCCCTTTGTGTTTTACAACAACAGTCTGTGTTATGATCAGGGGTTGGAACCAAAATTATTTTCCAATCGTTTCGTTCTGAACAGAAACTTTTTTAAAAAATCCTTCCGTTCCACTGTTCGACCAGCAAAATAAAGTTCTGAACCAGTTTGAAAACAAAAAAAGTTAGTTTATACCTTTTCTGTACCTATTTAATCCTCAGAAATCATTTTTATTTTTTTATTTAGCTCAACATTTAAATGACTTCACCAATCAGTGCGACTAGAGCAGCTTGCTATAGAGCGGACAAGCTATAGTTGTTTACATGGAATGGACAGACAAGTGTAGGGCGCGAGATGCGACTGAAATTTTGCAGGTGGGGAAAGAGTGAGAGAGGGTGGAAGAGGCTTGGCTTGAAGCGCTGGGCATCTTGTTTTGACATGGATTATCTGAATTAAGCACACAGAATTATACCTACAGAAGAGCAGCTTCTATGAAGAAACTTTGAATGTCTTCCAAGAGTTGGATTAACATTGGACCAGAGCTAGCTAGTTAACCTTTTTTTAGTTAATAAATCCAGTGTGGAATGTGATAACTATAGTGTCCTTAACTAGTATTGAAAAACGTAATCCATTCTTCTCTAATTAAAAATCTCTCTCCCTAATTTCTGAATCACGCTTGTAACGTCAATAGACTACAGTAGTTTATGCTTCAGAGGGGGAGGGGCAGGTAGCCTACAGCTGGCAGGCAGACAGTGGAATACATTTCTGAGTGACAGCGTGAGGGCTTTGCATAGGTGCTTTGTTGCATTTGTTTTTGGTACTGTAAAAAACACCCGGAACATAAAATGACGTTATTAACCGGTTGCCATGCTTTTAAAATGACAGTTCTGTTCCAGAACAGTGTAGATCAATTTCGTTCCCGGTTCTGATTCTGTTCCTTGAAAGATTCCGTTCTTTTCTGGTTTTTGGTTCTGTTCTCTGAACCGGTTCCAACCCCTGGTTGTGATAGTCAATCAAACAAGGGAAGGTGCCAAAGCAAACCCTGCAAAGCAAAATAAAGTTAAATGAGAACTCAAAGGGAGCACATGGGCAGACAGGAGGAGATGCATGTGTGATGCCCGGTCCCATTCTCCGCACCTGCAATTGGACAGGGGCATTAGTGTCCCTCACTCTATGGTCTATGTAACCCAATGGTGGTCTATGTAACCCGATGGTGGTCTATGTAACCCGATGGTGGTCTATGTAACCTGGTGGTCTCATGCAGGACATCCTGGACTGGAAGAATGTGCGGAGCTTCTTCTACTGGCGTCTGCGGCGCCTCCTGCTGGAGGGTGTGGTAAAGTGTGAGGTCCTGCAGGCCAACCCAGAGCTAAGTGACGGCCACATCCAGTCCATGCTGCGGCGCTGGTTCGTGGAGACAGAAGGCACAGTCCAGGTATGGATATCACAACGTAATGGCTCTGTTCATGTGATACAAGATGGGTTATCCTATTGTAATGGAGTACCCCTGTCTGAAACATGTAATCCCAATTGTTGCCCTCGGAACATAGTTATTTTTGGTCCAATGTTTAAGATGTTGGGTTACTGCGTGGGGGACCTGGGTTCGAATCCCACTGGTTACACAATCTATTCCACTCCAATCCATGGTGTGTAGAAGTGTTTTAGAGTTAGGTTCTGTGCTTAATTTCCAGGCGTACCTTTGGGACAACAACAAAGCGGTGGTGGAGTGGCTGGAGAAGCATTTGGCCAAAGAGGACGGTACACGATCTGCCATCAGCGAGAACATCAAGTACCTGAAGAGGGACCACGCCTTAAAACACATCCACAGGTACATACACACACACACACATTACTACACATGAATGTACTGTGTGCATATAATCCTATTGTATGTATGTACTGTGTGTGTTATGCCAGCATTGTGCAGGCCAACCCTGAGGTGACCATGGACTGCATCATCCACATGAGCCAGTCCATCACTCCATCCCAGAGGGCCAAGATCTCCCACCTGCTGGCCACGATGGACGGCACGGCCCCCAGTTAAACTCCAGATCTGAGCTGAGCTGCCCCAATGCCTTACACAGGAAATCCCTCAAGTTCTAGCATAGAAGAGAGACTGGATAAGTAGGGGTGTGGACCTAGGGACAGGGGGGGCACATTCAGCATCTGCCTATCGGTGCCGCCTGCTTTCTATTGTAACCAGCTGAGACAATAAAGCTAAGACGCCAAAGAAGCCAGAAACGTGTCTAATTCTCAGGATTAGGGCTGGTTCGGCTGCTCAGACACTGTAACCATGCAGCACTAAACATGCACTACATCACGCGTCCCTGCCGTGGGCATTTTTAAAGATTTCTTGAGCGGATGGTCGGGGGGCTGGAACATAGTTATAAAAAAATGTATACACTGCAAATTGACCGAAAGAATCCCAAACAGATCTAGTATTTGACAAAACAGAATCATTTCAAACCTTGATTACATTGGGATGTGATCACTTATGCCTCTCTGTTTATGCGTGGGAATACTTGGGAACAGATTTCCTACATTAAAATCCCTTTGAGCTGATTTCCTGGCGATTTGAGTCTAATGTCCAACAACGGAAATTATAAAAATGTAATAATATTATTTATTATTTTGCTCAGAATACTTGGGGGTCCAAATAAAATTGCCCGCGGGCCGCCTACTGGGAATCTCTGTATTACAGTTGAGTCAGTCTGTACAAACCTATGGAGCTTTTATGCACATTTAAAGCAATTATAGTTCCAAACATATAAACGGTATCAAAAAGCTGTATACAAGCAACCTATTCCAGACCGGTCTACACGTTTTAAAGTTTGAATGGTGTTTCTAGCTTAAACGGTTGAAGACTAGTTACGGGCAAACATTTACCATTCAAGTCTATGGCCATTTATGTACATTGGGATTTATGTAAATGTGGTTGTAGTGTGAAAAGTATAAGTAGTATCAAAACTAAATGTTTCAAGCAACCTGACAAGTGGCAGTACAGGTTCCAGTGGAATAATAATAATAATGTGTGAACAGTTTTCAGCGAGCACACCTAATTATCAAAAGTACAAACCCTTCCCAGCTGATGCTACAGGCAGGCTAAAGCAAATGGTCAAAGTATTTGAACCCAGTTCTGGTCCCATGTATCCGTTAACATTGCTATGATCAGAGGGAACCACCACTACTCGTTAGCATTTCAGATTCACATTATCAATAGGATTGTAAAACCCATATGTTTGAAAAATGGAACATCCGAAAACGTTAATTCAATGGATTGGACCATGTGCCTTCTATCAGTATTCTATCAAGCTTCTCATTGCTACTGCTGTACACTGGCATTTGACAACAGGAGTGACCAGGGTTTTTTCTATGATGTTGATCATTCTGTTCATATCTGGGCGAATGTGTGCCGACCTTTGAATGTACACCAGCCAGGGGCCGAACAAAGCCCTCATTTGTGTACCATATAAAATATGTTTTTTTTAAATGTTAATTATGTGCCAGTGCAAAGATATTACACAAGCCTGTCTGGGGGTTGGTTGATGTGTAGCCTTTACTTCAGTATGTATCCTTGTGACAATATCGACCAAAAAAAATACCCATTTAAATTACATTAAGTTTAATTAATTTCATTTAATTTACTGAATCATTTCAGTGACACAATGGTCTAGTAGGGAATTTTCATTTTTTCCCCGGCATTAATTTAATCCAAAGATGAATTATGTCAGTATTGTCCTTAAAAGACTAACCTGTGCAATTTAAAAGTCAGGTAATACTTTTTTTAAAATTAACCAGTGTTTATTTGTGTGCCCTTGAATTTCTTTCTTTGTATTATTGGTTTTTGACTGAATAACAAATACACCTGTGTTTTTCCTGAGTCATTTCATTTGTATTTTTTTGTTGTCTGTGCTGGAGTCTGAGTGAATAATACAATATAAATGCTAGTGGATAAATTCACACCCATAGTATTTGTATAATAATCATTTGGAAGAAATTGACGTTCAAATAGGATTTATGATTACTTTTGGTCTGTGATATGAATAATGTGTACGTGTTTTCATTGTTTTTAATATAATGCTGATTGTTGCTTAAACTCAGGTGAACAGGGGCAGAGAATGGTATAATGGGTAGATTACAAAATTGTAACCGAGAGACCCCAAGCCATTCTGCTGCTGTTGCCTTCATCAAAATACCAGATATCGATTTGAAATTGTCAATAATATATGTAAAAATACCTGCCATGTACTTACTATACATTACCCTAATAAGGGGTATCTGTAAATAAATGGAATTAATCTGTTTTCAGCAAGACACTGAATGTGGCACCTTTTTTATTTACCCATTAATTTAATTATTTTTGCATAATTTTACAGTACATGTAGCCTGACATCCTCCCCAAAATAATGTGAATAATTCAATGAATATAAAATATTCTGACTGATTTTAGCATATTTTGAAATACTGAAATTTGTAAAATGGTCTACAAATGCTATTATTAGGCATATTTTGGCGTTTTGGAATGTATGGGTAAATACTGTTTAAGAAACAAAAGCTTTTCAGTGGAGATCGCAGTGATTTGAAACAAACACATATTTACAGTAAACAGTGCTTGATAAATTCCTCCCCTTCTCCAGCTGCCATTTATAAATATAAATAAAACATCACAGTAATACTGCCTAGCACAATACAGACAACGGATAAAGAACAGGGAACTAACAGTACCATGGTAAGGCTTACAAACACAGGAAAGTCAACATTGTACAAAACTGGCAGAGAGAGTACGTGTTGCCTGCTAGGTTTGTGTACTACAGTGTAGGACAGCTCGAGTCTTTGCTTGACAAAGTTCCCCCAGAGACGTCAGTATATTTTAGTCAATTTCCTCCCGAATTTCAGTTGTCTTCATTGGTGTGGTTTTACAATGATTTTGATCAAATCACCCTCTAAGCAGACTTTTTTTCTCTCATCTGAAGTAGTGGCTTAGGTATGGCAACACAAGTTGCTCTGTCATTGGGGATAAAGAAAAGCAATGAGGATTCAGGCTTTTCAGTGGAAGAGGAGGTGGGGGGCTTTTTGGTGCCAGAAGTGGGATCGACAAGTAGAGCCACTGCAAAAAATAGTTTTTGTATTTTGATTCTGTTGGTGATGCCTCGATGCAGCTCTACCTGTGGTTCCACTCTGTGGTGCAGGGGATGTTTTCATTAAAGCAGGGCAGTGATGGGCTTGCTGTTGCCTGGCGTGCCCATGTACTGGGAGGAGAGTGCGTCCAGGGAGGCGTAGGAGGTGTACAGGCCCGTCACCTGCAGGTCTGAGAAGGGCATGCTGCCCCCGCTGTAGACAGGAGGGAGGCTGCCCGTCATGGTGCCAAGGTCACAGTCAGACAAACGCAGGGGAGAGTTACTGAAGGTGCCCAACGCCTCCAGATTAAAGCTGTCGTCTTTCATCTCCTCCCACAGGTTACCTGAGGAAGGAGGTAATCTAGTCACGTCACTGGTCATCACTGCTTCTGAGAGCCAAGAAAATGGCCAACTGCCATGCAAAGTAACATTGGTTTGCAGATTGTTAAAGGCCCGATGCAGCCGTTTTAATCTTGATCAAATCATTTCTGGGTAAAATTCGTTTTCAGTCAAAAATAAACAAAAATAGCTTCTTGGCAGAGGTTTGCAACTCTTATTGTTCTATTAACCAATTTACTGCCAAAACTCCATCCCACCAAAACAGGCTGACATTTTAGCTCTTACTCTAAAAGGGCATTTTATCATAATTTTAAAAATGTCACAGTATTATTCCAACCTCACAGTGTGTAAATGTATATAAAACACAGGAAATAACATTTTTAACTGTACAGTTTTAAGACAGTATATAATGTTGTTGTGACTAGTACTATAGCTACCCACCTTGTAGAGCGAAGTCCATGATGCTGGGGTCCAGCATGTCCACCTCTGCGTTGACCTCACCATGGAGACTGTAGAAGTCGTGCGGCTGCTTGCCGGGATGCTGGGTGGCGAGGGGGCTGTGGGAGAGGTCAGGAACGGTGTGGAGGGGGGGCGTTTGGGCAGGGGCGGGGGACACTGGGGCCAGCCTGGCCTGGGCCTGGAGCTGGGCATGAAGCTGGTGTTGCTGGTGCATGGGCAGGCACTGCAGGGATAGGGTGACCATGGGCTGGGGATTCATCTGTCCTGGGACAGGCAGGGATAGGCCGGATGGACAGCTGGACAGACGGGTCATCCCGGGATCCATGGGCTTCCGTCTACAGCTCTCTGGCCGGTCCGTGATCAACCTGTCCAACTCATCTGACAGGGAAAGAGGGAGCAGGCCATTTCAGCAACTGATGATGGACTGATGACTCCATTTGAAACAAAAAAACTGAATGCAGATTCTTTCTCTGTGGCGCTGCTTATCGCAAGGGCAGGGAATTACTGGGGCCCAAGAGGCAGCAATTTTTTATTTTTTTATTTTCTATAAATAAAGTTAATATATACATTATAGATTATATTTACATTATATATATTATATACACTACCGTTCAAAAGTTTTGGGTCACTTAGAAATGTCCTTGTTTAAGAAAGAAAAGCAATTTCTTTGTCCATTAAAATAACATCAAATTGATCAGAATTACAGTGTAGACATTGTTAATGTTGTAAATGGCTATTGTAGCTGGAAACGGCTGATTTTTAATGGAATATCTACATAGGCGTACAGAGGCCCATTATCAACAACCATCAGTCCTGTTCCAATGGCATATTGTTTGTATCCCTCATTTACTCAAGTGTTTCCTTTATTTTGGCAGTTACTGGTTGCCTACTGTCGGGAAGGCCACAATTTGGCCAGAATGCGTGCCAAATATACAGCTTGTTGCGTTGTGCCCATAGACATATAATCCATAGAAGGGTTTTGGAACCTCTTACCCTGTCAATTTCACAATTAAACTCATGGGTACACTAGCAATGGCTTCCTGTTCTGACTTGAATGGGAACTGCCATCTATGGATTATATTTATATGGTTGGTTGCTGCTGTCTGTTTGCCTTCTGCTGATTTCGCGGGAAAAACATACAGTTTGGAAAGCAAATGCCTACTGCTGAAAAGAGAAGACTAATCTGTCTGTAGAACCAATTGAAGCATTTTCTCAACTTTTTGCCAACAGCAGCACTGTTTTTCAAAGTAGCTCATCTTGAGATAGGATATTGCCAAGAGAAGCGCGTCGGCCATCATCATTCCCACTGGCTATAGGGTGAACGCACCAATTTGTGAGTCGCTCTGGCTAAGAGCGTCTGCTAAATGACGTTAATGTGCCCTTGAGCAAGGCACTTAACCCTAATTGCTCCTGTAAGTCGCTCTGGATAAGAGCGTCTGCTAAATGACTAAAATGTAAATGTAAAATGTAATGAGTAGTAGCCTACAGCTTCATCTTCATCATTAGGTGAGTCAGTGTGCCACTGAACATTTTACTTAGTAGCCTACTGTAGCCTGTAATATAAATATATACAGTACCAGTCAAAAGTTTGGACACACCTACTCATTCAAAAGTGTTTCTTTATTTTTACTATTTCCTACATTTTATAATAATAGTGAAGACATCAAAACTATGAAATAACACATATGGAATCATGTAGTAACCAAAAAAGTGTTAAACAAATTCTTCAAAGTAGCCACCCTTTGCCTTGATGACAGCTTTGCACACTCTTGGCATTCTCTCAACCAGCTTCACCTGGAATGCTTTTCCAACAGTCTTGAAGGAGTTCCCACATATGCTGAGCACATGTTGGCTGCTTTTCCTTCACTCTGCGGTCCAACTCATCCCAAACCATCTCAATTGGGTTGAGGTCGGGTGATTGTGGAGGCCAGGTCATCTGATGCAGCACTCCATCACTCTCCTTCCTGGTCAAATAGCCCTTACACAGCCTCGAGGTTTGTTTTGGGTCATTGTCCTGTTGAAAAACAAATGATAGGCCCACTAAGCGCAAACCAGATGGGATGGCGTATCGCTGCAGTTTGCTGTGGTAGCCATGCTGGTTAAGTGTGCCTTGAATTCTAAATAAATCACAGACAGTGTCACCAGCAAAACACCATCACACCTCCTCCTCCATGCTTCACGGTGGGAACCACACATGCGGAGATCATCTGTTCACCTACTCTGCGTCTCACAAAGACACTGCGATTGGAACCAAAAATCTTACATTTGGACAAATTTCCACCAGTCTAATGTCCATTGCTCGTGTTTCTTGGCCCAAGCAGGTCTCTTCTTATTATTGGTGTCCTTTAGTAGTGGTTTCTTTGCAGCAATTCGACCATGAAGGCCTGATTCACACAGTCCCCTCTGAACAGTTGATGTTGAGATGCGTCTGTTACTTGAACTCTGTGAAGCATTTATTTGGGCTGCAATTTTTGAGGCTGGTAACTCTAATGAACTTATCATCTGCAGCAGAGGTAACTCTGGGTCTTCCATCCCTGTGGCGGTCATGAGAGCCAGTTTCATCATAGCACTTGATGGTTTTTGCGACTGCACTTGAAGAAACTTTAAAAGTTCTTGACATTTTCCGTATTGACAGACCTTCATGTCTTAAAGTAATGATGGACTGTCGTTTCTCTTTGCTTATTTGAGCTGCCATAATATGGACTTGGTCTTTTACCAAATAGGTAAAATAAGTACCCTGTCACAACACAACTAATTGGCTCAAACGCATTAAGAAGGAAATAAATTCCACAAATTAACTTTAAAACAAGGCACACCTGTTAATTGAAATGCATTCCAGGTGACTACCTCATGAAGCTGGTTGAGAGAATGCCAAGAGTGTGCAAAGCTGTCATCCAGCAAAGGGTGGCTACTTTGAAGTATCTCAAATATATAAAATATATTTTGATTTGTTTAACACTTTTTGGTTACTACATGATTCCATATGTGTTATTTCATAGTTTTGATGTCTTCACTATTATTCTACAATGTAGAAAATAACAAAAATAAAGAAAACCCCTTGAATGAGTAAGTGTGTCCAAACTTTTGACTGGTACTGTATATATATTTATATTACAGGCTACAGTAGGCTACTAAGTAAAACGTAAGTATAAATAAACGCAACATGCAACAATTTCAATGATTTTACTGAGTTACAGTTCATATAAGGAAATCAGTCTATTGAAATAAATAAATTAGGCCCTAATCTATGGAATTCACATGATTGGGCAGGTGCGCAGTCATAGGTGGGCCTGGGAGGGCAAAAGCCCACCCACTGTGGAGCCAGGCCAATCAGAATTGGTTTTCCCCACAAAAAGGGCTTTATTACAGGTACAAATACTCCTCAGTTTCATCAGCTGTCCGGGTGGCTGGTCTCAGACGATCCCGCAGGTGAAAAAGCCGGATGTGGAGGTCCTGGGCTGGCGTGGTTACATGTGGTCTGCGGTTGTGAGGCCGGTTGGTCGTACTGCCAAATTCTCTAAAACGACGTTGGAGGCGGCTTATGGTAGAAAAATTAACATTCAATTCTCTGGCAACAGCTCTGGTGGATATTCCTGCAGTCAGCATGCCAATTCCACACCCTTATCTGTGGCATTTTGTTTTGTGACAAAACTGCACATTTTAGAGCGCCCTTTTATTGTCCCCAGCACAGGGTGCACCTGTGTAATGATCATGCCGTTTATTCAGCTTCTTGATATGCCACACCTGTCAGGTGGATGGATTATCTTGGCAAAGGATACATGCTCACTAACAGGGATGTAAACTAATTTGTGCACAAAAATTTGAGAGAAATAAGCTTTTTGTGCGTATGGAACATTTCTGGGATATTTTATTTCAGCTCATGAAACATGGGACCAACACTTGACATGTTGCGTTTATATATTTGTTCATTATATATAGCCTCCTAATATTGTACAATCTGTGTGTCGCTTCTTTGGCCTGGCCTATTGTTTGTTTGATTTCAAGACCAGCTTGATCTCAGTTTGTCAGAGTAGCCACTCATTTCGGTCATTTGTGTGGTATTAAAAAAGATTCAGCTAATGTATTCTATCATGTAAATGACGTAGAATTGCATGAAATGCATTGTTTAAAAGGCTAACAAATGATCCCCATGTGTGGATATTCTAAAAACGCCTCACTGTAGCCTATGCCACATTGCAAATGTTATTATGGCTTTATTATAAGGGGGCTTTTTCTTCAACAGTAAATTTACCACGCATTGAATTGCATCTTGGTGCACGGATTAGTTCACAGAAAATTATGGTGTGGGGGGGGGGGGGGGTTATAAAAAAAAAAGCCCCGGGGCCTATGATTTCTTAATCCGGCCCTGCTTATGAGATGTATAACTGAATGGGCATAATCAAATGAATTGGTGGTGGGTGTTCTTCATTGATGGGCTGTGTTCATTAGAGCACACAAAGGAAAACGTTTAAAAACATTATGCAATGGAAAACGAAAATGAGCGTTTCTTAAGTCCAGGTTGTCCCTCCCGGTTTCCGTCCCTTTTCTTCCATTTTGTGCTTAATGAACAGGACCCAGGTTAAGTGTGAATGGGCCTCAGTCAGTCCTGTGGTCTCACCTGGGTTGGCCATGCTGCGGCGGATGGCTGGGAGGTCCTTGCGCTTCCACTTCTGCATCTCCTCCTCCATCTTGTCGATCTTGACCGGGTTCAGGGCCCAGAGGCAGCCCTTACGAGAGGACCCACTCATCTTGTTCTCCACCTTCTCAAAGCACTTGTTTAGTGAGAGGTTGTGTCGGACTGAGTTCTTCCATCCGTCTGGTGCTGTCTTCAGGGGGGGGAAAAACCAGGAAGCGGAAGGAGACATTTAAACGACTCACTTAACACGATGCTTACCTAAAATCTCTGCTACCCCAATCCCTATTGAATATTAGGCCAGTTTCCCAGGCCCAGATTAAGAGTAGTCCTGGACTAAAAAGCATGCTCAATGGAGATTATTTATTGAGCATGCTTTTTAGTCCATGGCTAGGCTTAATCTGGGTCTGGGAAACCAGCCCTTAGAGCAGGGGTGTCAAAGTCATTCCATGGAGGGCCTAGTGTCTGCAGTTTTTTGTTTTTTCCTTTCAATTAAGCCTTAGACAACCAGGTGTGGGGAGTTCCTTACTAATTAGTGACCTTAATTCATCAATCAAGTACAAGGGAGGAGTGAAAACCCGCAGATACTCGGGCCTCCGTGGAATGAGTTTGACATGTGCCTTAGAGGATCCGATCGAGTCGTACCTTAAAGTAGGGAAAATGCTCCTTCATAAAGGTGTAGATCTCGCTGACTGGGAGACTGCCTGTCTTGCTGTTCTTCAGAGCCATAGAGATCAAACAGCTGAGGATGGATCAAAGTAGCGAGACAAGAAGTAAGTGCATTAGGCTATATATACTGTTGATAATTAGACCAGGTTCGTGTTCACTAGGCACCAAAGGGAAGAAAACAGACTGAAACAGGAAAGGACTACCTGAATTTGTCATTTTCCATTGTGCGCCCTAATGAACACGACCCAGGCAATACAATACTACGGTAATGACACTTGGCCCAGGGGGAAGCTCACCTGTAGGAGTAAATGGGCTTGGGGAAAGACTTGGGCTGCAGGTCCTGGTTTTGTGGAGCCAGGCACGGCTGTGTGAACAGGCTTTGGTTGTTGAACGAGACATTGCTATAGAGCCCAGCAGGAGTACACTGAGAGGGATAGAGAGCAAAGAAAAATGAGTGAACAATCTAGAAAATCTGTATTGTGTATTATTTTCTACTTATTTCAAAAACCTATTTATTGTTGTTTGAATGAATGGCATCTTAACATCAAACCCTTAATCAGAATTAGGCGGTAAACTGGTAGAGTAATCTCTAACGCGTTACATTAAGTTGCTCTTATACCCATGTAGTAACACTGTAATTACTCTAGTAGCAATACTATATTAACAGGTTTACGTTGTAATCTAGTTATACGCTGGACAGCTCTTATAACTATTTTAGTAACACTAAATACTCTAACAATACTGTATATACACTGAGATTACAAAACATTAGTCACAGCTTCCTAATATTGAGTTGCACCTCCTTTTGCCCTCAGAACAGCCTCAATTCATTGGGGCATGGACTCTACAAGGTGTCGAAAGCGTTCCACAGGGATGCTGGCCCATGTTGACTCCAATGCTTCCCACAGTTGTGTCAAGATATCTGGATAATCTTTGGACCATTCTTGATACACACAGGAAACGGTTGAGCGTGAAAAACCCAGCAGCATTGCAGTTCTTGACACACTCAAGCCGGTGTGCCTGGCACCTTCTACCATACCCCGTTCAAAGGCACTTCATCTTTTGTCTTGCCCATTCACCCTCTGAATGGCACACATACACAATCCATGTTTCAATTGTCTTAAGGCTTAACAATCCTTCTTTAACCTGTCTCCTCCCCTTCATCTACACTGGTTGAAGTGGATTTAACAAGTGACATCAATAAGGGATCATAGCTTTCACCTGGATTCACCTGGTCAGTCTATGTCATGGAAAGAACAGGTTTTCCTAATGCTTTGTACACTCAGTGTATGTAACGATTAATCTCTAATTCACAAACTGAATCCACAGCCCAGTTGCAGGGATGACGTAGTTACCTGCTGGCTAGTCTGGGTCAGAGTGAACACTTGTTGGGGTGTAGGTTGGTAGACAGAGGCAGGGCATTGGTACCCTGGGGAGGGCTGCCCATTCATGGAGAATGGAGACATCTGTGGAATTAGACCGAGGACACGTTTAATATATTAAGTATATCCTATACTTTACTGTCCTAGAGTATAAGCATTGATTAAAATATGTTTTTTTTGTTGATAAATAATTGGTTGGGAAGCAAAACATACACTTCCGCTTTGGGCGGTGATGACGTTAATTCCCAGGGGGCTGTGCTGCATGTTGCTCTGTTGGTGGATCATGGCTCCCTGTCCCCCTGCCATGGTTATGTTGTTCAGCTGAGCTGTGAGGAAGGAAGCAGTACAACATCCAGGTCAGTCTCCAATCAATCTCCACACATCGGCCCTGTTACAATACTTTAGAAATGCATCCTTTCTTCCTCGTTTCCTTGAGGTAAGTGTAGATATATAGGTGATGGGATAAGTTTAAGCAAGACTACCACCCTATTACTTCACCAATCCAACCATTCAGATCTGTTATTGTACTTCAAGGAGGATGAATCTGTAAAGTATTCAAACAGGGCCCATGGCCCTATCAAGTATTAGCACAGGCCCGAGTCTATAACCCCTTATACATCAATGATTTCATTTGTCTTGCAAGTCTCATTAGCCAGGTTGGCAGTTATAGCTTGTTTCCAACTGTAATGGCTTTGGCCAATTTGTCCTCCTCGACATCAGGGCCCAGCAGTACTCCTGAACTATCCAATCAAAGTGTATGTGGGTGGATTTGAAATGGCACAGCCCCACCAACGTGGACCGTGTGTGTGTCTCACCTGTCTGCTGCTCCAGCAGGTTACCCCCCTGCCCCTGGGAAGGCCCGTTGAAGTCTCCTCCGCCATCACTGCGACCATCAGCCATCTGCTGCAGCCGGGGAACGTCTACCGAGGTGAGCCACGACAAAGACTGCAGGTCCCCGGGGAGATCCTCCTCTCGGAGCTGGGAGGGGTCTGTGGTCAGAAGTCTGCAGAGGCGGGACACAAGCAACACAACCACTCAGATACACAGCCTAGACTACAACTGTGGGTTATATCCAGACCTGGGTTCAAATACTATTTGAAAGCATTGTTGCGACGGAACCAATACCAAAAGTCCCAAAAGTGCAAACTCCAAAACAAATGAGAAGGTAACATTTTATAAATAGTATTCGAACCCAGGTCTGGTTATATCTAGGGCAAATATACAAGACACGGACTGAACAGCGAGTTATTCTAAAGTAATACATCCAATATTGGAGGGGGAGAAATGAGAACAAATCATAATCCAGGAGTATCGTTTTATCTGGGATTTACCACAAGTAGATTATAGAGTGCTATTTAATTAGCTAATTACTGTAATAGTAACATTATGGATACAAAGCCAAGATTCTCAACATTATTAATCCCACTTCAAACTTGCTTGTGAACTTCCTCATCAACATTTTACATTTTAATGGTTACTTCCCCAGCTTTGGGAAATACTGTACAAAAAACCCCACTAGATTAACTACACAACCACAACCTAATGATTATTTAGTCTTGTCTAAAATGAATTTCCTTACCAGCGTACAATGATATTGGTTAAGATTTACTGCATAATTTCTTCTGAATCGGGGCATGGGCTGCCAATCAGCTTTTGCTCATTATTTCTTTAAAGACAGGAGGGCTCTGCGGGGAGAAAAGAGAGGAATCCTCTTGAATTCTCTCCAGTTGTCTCTGCACATACTTACTGTAGAAGAGTTCAGTAATTGGGGTCGCTATGACAACACTCACTATTCAGTTACTTTGTGGGTCTGGACACCGTAGGACCCCCTCCCCACCCCAACCCCAACTGCAAACAAAATCACCCCTAAGTCAGGTGACCACAATCTCCCTCTAACCATTGGCTGAATCATAAGTAAACAGCGCATGGGATCATTTGAAAACATGGGAGAGTGGCACATGTTGCTCTGTAACAGTTGGCCTTGTCTATTGATAAGTGATCACCTATTGTCTCCCAAACGACAAATCTGCCCAGTGGCACGTGGCTCTATTGTTTCCCCCCAGACCCTCCCTTGATTGTCTCTGCCGTTTTTTTTTACCAGTCCCTGCATTAATCTGTTGGAATGACAGCGCTCACACAAGAGAGACAAGTAGGATGCCATCTGCTTCCCTGTCCCTTTCCAGCCTCTCCCCTCTCTGTCCCCCCTCCCTCCCCCAGAAGGAGGGCAGTAGACAAGATTTCATCTTGAGCTTTGAAGTGTAAGCTTCCTCTACCCCACCAAAAAGACACATGCACATCCGCCACATACATTATCTCTCTCGCTCTTTCTCTCTCTCTCTCTCTCGCTCTCTTTCTCTCTCTCTCTGTCTCTCTCTCTCTCTCGTTCTCGCTCTCTCGCTCCCAAGAAAAACAACACAAAATACATATATAGTTAGAGCTAAATCCAAATTGGTAAAACACTTTTTAGCGAGCACTAGTTCCAATGGAAGCATATGTCAAAAATATTATTATTTTGGCCTCAAAGGGAAAAACTGCAGTTGCTACATGAATTGTTTTACTTATAAATTAATGATATATACTAATTGATTCTTCAAGAATATAACTTAGAAAAATACCTCATGAGTTTAGTTCAGCTGTTGTACCCCATCAGAATCCAAAATATAAGCTCGTAAATGTAAACAAACACTGTAAAGCCTCAAATATTCTTACAAATATAATTCAGATATCTTAGCTGATCAGTCCTTGCATCAATTGCTCTGTCTGTCTATACATTTAAGAGTGGTTATTCATTTAAGAAGCTTTTTTATTGTTTCAACTCAATACAACTTCACATAATTTTTCCACTTACCTTGGCTGTAGTTGGATCCCCAATACAGTTTTTGGGATATGTATTTAGTTTATTTTACTTAGGTATTTGATAGTCATTGTGTTTTGTCAGTATTCCAATAGCCCACCCATTCATTCTGAAATATGTCTAAAGCACCTTACAAGCACACCAATCCAACTCATATTACAAAAGTATCCCTTTCTCAAGGACATGTCTGAAGTTTATTGCGGTTCAATCAACTTTTGAATGTTTTAATTGAGATGCATCAAATACAGACTTGACCTTCAGAAAGGATACATTAGGATTGGGATGCTTGTAAGGTGTTTTGGACCTATTTTCAAAATGGAAGAGGTACAAAAATCATGTTCTGTTGAGTTTTGAGTAGAACATGAAAATTCTCTTTAACAATTAGTGGGATTTGAACAAAATATTTCAACTCGATTGGAAACAGTCCTAGCCTATGACTCATACTTTATATGTTAAACGAATGAGAACTATGCAAGGCGGTCACATTCTTCATGCTTTTCTGAAAATCCCCCACACACACTTAACCCACAATAAAGTGCATGTTCAGCGAGGCATGTTGGTCTATGGTGTCCCCCATCTAGCACCAGCCCCCCCCCCCATCCCCCCCCTTATCGTTCCCTCCCCCTCCCACCTCCTCCTCCTAATTGGGAGCCACTTCTCCCTGGTAGTGACCCGGAGAGCCCCATCTCTCCCTCGGAGCCGGCGGGCCAAGCGGCTCAGTCTCTCCGTGTGCCGACAGCGGGAGTGTAAACAGAGCTGATGGTTTCTGACAGATCCATTCAGACTGAAAATCATTTATTCTACGGTTGTTGTTTTTTCTTTCCCCTTTTTCATACGCCCCCTCCCTTCACTGAAAGAGTTGTCCATCTACATTTGGATTAAACATATAGGGAGATTTTGGAAAACCTATCTTGGAATTATCCTTATACCTGAACATTTTGAATCATATTTTCAGTGTTAAGTGTAGCCAACTTAACAAAGATACAACATTTATCAAAACCTTATATCTGTGGTTAGGATTTAGTCTGATTAAAATCATTAAAAGGCTGTCTTTAAAGTAACTGAATGTTATAAATCCAGTCTTACCTGTAGTCTTGTGGAGAGGGATGATGACCTGCATTTTCAAGAATTCCTGACATGCTGGTCGTAATTCCACTTTCTATCATTTCCTGGGATATTTGATAATGCTGCAACAAGGGAAAAGTGCAACTGCATAAGACATCTAGGCTATAATACTTTCATTTAATTTAGGCCTAGGTCTATTTCTGTTTTCAAAACTCAAACAACAATCTGAATTCCTTTGTTTCCTTGTTTTATCTACTCATTATATAGACTATTATCCTTGCATTTAGATAAATAAAATATTAGCATATCAAACAGACTACTTATGGAGAAAAATAAGCATTTTCTATTATTCATAGATTATGACCAGTTAATAACAATAAGACCTACTGTTATAAGCTAATGACAATCATTTCACCTATTATGGCAAAAACATATTGAATATGAATATAATTGAATATTAAAATAGAAAACAACACTTGTGTGATCTTTTTGGTGTATAAAATAAGCAAAGTTAAAGGTGGATTCTCAGTTCACATTATGTAGGCTATGCTTCAACTTAATAGGCTATAAAATTGGGTTTTATGGTATGGAAAACAAAATGATGGCAATTTCTTGATTTTGCCAATGATGGCTTTTTATTTCATTTTAATTCACAAGGCTATTTATTAACTTGACTGAAAAAAAAAATACTTGATATGCAATCCCAAAATATAGCAGCGTTTCCCACCCTTATTGACATATCAATTGGCCTGACTGAAAAGTCCTCTAATTTAAATAATCCCCTCTCACTCAAAGTTTTAGGCCTACAACTATTTGCTGACATTCATCCTTGTAATACCGGGAAAAAAAGAGAAAATCTTACCTGTTTAGAATAATCTGCAGCAAATTTGAGCTGGTGATGAGCCCGTGTAGCTTCTGTATTTTCACTGTGCTGCACTTGTTTCCCAAATACCCTTTTTAAATTTCCCTCTCTGGAACTGTCCAGCAGACTGTCATGCGCAGTAGGCCTACCTCAACGGAGCCTCTTGTTGCTCAAGGAGCCTGCTGCCAATGTAACAACTTGTGACAGTCCGGTAGAAGACAGCAAGCACACCATCCGCACGGACTAAAACTTTTTGTATTTAGGCCTTTATGCTAGTTCTTCCTTTAATTATTGTGATTGTGCAGTTCCTGGATAAACTGTAGGCTATCCATGGACAATTACGAATTTGAGAAGTTATGGATTCAAAACAAATGTTGCGCTCTATAGCTGCAGCTACTTACACTTTATCCAATGTTGTTGACAATTGTCATAGTAACACGACAGATGATAGCATATATGTGTGATACTTTTTGTTGGTCAGCTAAAATAAATTGTTTTGGTCATGATCGATGCGCAGGTGCACTTTAGATGCGTCGCTAGACTACAATAGGCTACAAAACACTGCATCACTCTGCAAAGTCTTAATTAAAAATCAGCACTAGATAGTATATATATATATATATACCAGTCAAAAGTTTAGATAGTATATATATATATACCAGTCAAAAGTTTGGACACACCTATTCATTCAAGGGTTTTTCTTTATTTTGACTATTTTCTACATTGTAGAATAATAGTGAAGACATCGAAACTATGAAATAACACATATGGAATCATGTAGTAACCAAAAACATGTTAAACAAATCAAAATATATTTTATATTTGAGATTCTTCAAATAGCCACCCTTTGCCTTGATGACAGCTTTGCACACTCTTGGCATTCTCTCAACCAGCTTCACCTGGAATGCTTTTCCAACGGTCTTGAAGGAGTTCCCACATATGCTGAGCACTTGTTGGCTGCAGGTAGCTTAGTGGTTAAGAGCGTTGTGCCAATAACCGAAAGGTCGCTGGTTCTAATCCCTGAGCCGACTAGGTGAAAAATCTGTCGATGTGCCCTTGAGCAAGGCACTTAACCCTAATTGCTCCTGTAAGTCGCTCTGGATAAGAGCGTCTGCTAAATGATTAATTATTAATTATTATTTACTCTGCCGTCCAACTCATCCCAAACCATCTCAACTGGGTTGTGGTTGGGGGATTGTGGAGGCCAAGTCATTTAATGCAGCACTCCATCACTCTCCTTCTTGGTAAAGTAGGCCTTACACAGCCTGGAGGTGTGTTGGGTCATTGTCCTGTTGAAAAACAAATGATAGTCCCACTAAGCCCAAACCAGATGGGATGGCGTATCGCTGCAGAATGCTGTGGTAGCCATGCTGGTTAAGTGTGCCTTGATTCTAAATAAATCACAGACAGTATCACCAGCAAAGCACTCCCACACCATAACACCTCCTCCTCCATGCTTTACGTTGGGAACTACACATGCGGAGATCATCCATTCACTAACACCGCGTCTCACAAAGACACAGCGGTTGGAACCAAAAATCTCAAATTTGGACTCCAGACCAACTGACAAATTTCCAACGGTCTAATGTCCATTGCTCGTGTTTCTGTATACCCCCCCTACCTTGTCACAACACAACTGATTGGCTCAAACGCATTAAGAAGGAAAGAAATTCCACAAATTAACTTTTAACAAGGCACACCTGTTAATTGAAATGCATTCCAGGTGACTACCTCATGAAGCTGGTTGAGAGAATGCCAAGAGTGTGCAAAGCTGTCATCAAGGCAGAGGGTGGCTACTTTGAATTATCTGAAATATAAAATATATTTTGATTTGTTTAACACTTTTTTGGTTACTACATGATTACATATGTGTTATTTCATAGTTTTAATGTCTTCACTATTATTCTACAATGTAAAAAATAGTAAAAATAAAGAAAAACCCTTGAATGAGTAGGTGTGTCCAAACTTTTGACTGGTAGTGTATATATATATATATATATATATATATATATATATATATATATATATATATATTAGAAACCCTCGACTGTGATGGTGTCTCGCTACTTGTGAGCGTCTGAATGAATGTTCATTTTAGGCGAGTGTTTGCAGACAATTTGTTTCCCCGCCGCTGCACCCGGGTCTTTCTCTGCACAAAAGCGGGAAAAATAGCCTGGGAGGCGCGTATGGGAGGTAGGAGCCCAGGAAACAACAGGGCGGCAAAGTTTACACTTGTCTTGTCAGAGGAGATTTGTGCTGGTGAGGTCAACCTGTGTTATGGGACACAGACAGTATTTCGTCTTCAAGTGACAATAAATAGAAGCAATAGACTCTTACGGGCTATAAGATCCCAGAAATAGAGTAAAAACTGTTAAGGAAAGGAGGAAAAAGTTTTCCTTGTTTAGGCCTATAGGCTACTTCACTGTTATTTTGTGGGTTTACCAAATTTAAAATCTGTTGACCACGTTCACATACACAAATAGAATTTGAAAGACCTCTAAAAGTAAAATTCACAACTGGAAATTAACATACATTCCGCTAAATCTGTGGGGATAGAGCCAGTGACAGCAGTGTCAACCCCATGGGACACCACAGATGGTAAATCGCGCTGTCACAATAGACACAATCAATGATTACATGCATGAAAGTAACTGACAAAATAAGACCTTCACCAAAGACTCAGAACGTTTAAGTCCTAGAGCCTGTGGGCTTCCACTGTATTCTTCACAGGGCTCCAGTTAGATTATTTGCCGAGGGACCCCAACCCCCTTCACTGATTCATGCATGTCTAGTCATAAAAAAGTCTGACCATCCTATTGTCTTTCTAGGGCTCTCCCATATATATGTAAAATGGTAATGCTTTATTTATCACTACAGGCTATTTTATAATATTGTTGCTGTTAAGAGACAGAAAAAAATATGTTGACATATAAATTATGTGATTGTAACTAAATATTTCGAGTTCTGCTTGTGTGTTTAATACAGGCTGGTGTCCTTTTGACTATGCCCTTCGCATTCTCAAATGATTTAATAAGTGATTACATTAGATATATTATACTGGTAAAGGATTGTAGTGTGTGACATACAGACACTGTCTACAGCCAAGGCAATCAACCAGGGCCCGGTTTCCCAAAGGCATCGTTAAATCTCGGAGCTGTTTCCCAAAACCATCGTTATTAACGTTGCACTTGAAAACGCTCATAATCTAACGCCTGCCTCAGACCACTCGTAGAATAGCTAAATGCGTCGTTAGATGCTTTTTAGCCCTCCCGCATCACTTTATACACAGAAGATCTCAGCTAAACGTAGAATCACAGTGTTTATCCGTCTCTGTGACCGCGGATAATTTCTCAACGAAGTTCATTTTAAATACAAAGTTGCCATTATCTTCGCAATTGTTACAAACAAGCGAATGATAAAAATATGCTTAAAATGAAAACCGAGATGATTGCATTAAAATATAAATAGCCTACCTACAGTATAGGCTATAGGCTTATACATATATACATTTTCATGCTCTTTCAATTTAGTTTTATTTTGGTATTTTGGCTACTGTCTAATTTTTTCCTCAATATATTTCATAATGTGTAGCCTAACGTGCGCAATTATGTGTCAAATCTTAATTTAGTGTATTATTATAGGGTAATTATTAGAATAAGCCGCCTCAATATTTGCAGCAGTAGGTCGTAATATCTCTCTAGGAGCTGATCCAACGTCAGTAGACCTATTGTGAAATAATTACAATGTTAAGGTAAGATTTTAATGGAGAAAGCTGTTACTGGACCAGCACTCACTTTCTTTAGATCCTATCAGTATCGACACATATGCTACAACGATGCACGTAGAGACCTCTCTGTGTGGTGTTTTGGGAAACGCATGTTACATCTCCAGCCCTTGCTTTTCTTTCGATCCTATCAGTATCAACACATGGTCTAACAATGCACTTAGCATCACGAACGTTCTCTCTACGTGCTTGTTTGGGAAACACTTAAAAAAGTTGCCTCATAAATAACTATGTATCTGGTATGATCATCGTAATGCTTAAGTTACATCACAACCAGGAAAGAGGCCCTGGTCCCATATTATTAAAGTGCCTCAGAGCAGCCTTGCATGGACAGGGGGGATCTGCTCCTAGATCAGAACTCCTGCTCTGACAGGATTTATGAATATGGCCCAGATCACCAGATCCCCTTAAACAAGTAATGTCACCACTGTTTGCATCAGTCAAGGAAGTCCCAGTAA